GTTGAAGCCCGTATAGAGCTTAACCTGCGTGAGGTATGCTCTGAGCTTGGATCGGTCTCCGTTGTAGAGATCCGGGGCGGCGATCTTGGGTATGTTCTTTGGGTCGAAGGCCTTGGCGGGAGCCGAGTGGTCGTTCGACGATCCTTTGACGGAGGACATGTTGTCTTCGTGAGTCGGTACCTCTGACGAGAAGGTGCTCAAAGTGTAACGGTCCGGTATTTACTCGCTGTAAATACAGAAGGCTGCAGTTGATCTCTGATGATCGAGAGGTAGGTGTATCACGTAGACGGGAAGACAGTTACTAAGTATCAGAATACTATTTGAAGTTGAGCACGAAGCTCCTATCTAATGGCAGACGTGCCAGTCTTATATAGAACCTTCGTTAGCCTTGGATCCCTATGGGTCCTATGATCCCAGGCTCCAGGAACCTTGGACCCTATGGTTCCAAAAGCTCCATGCCATCACGTGACACATGGTCCCGTGATTTCGTTCCTAGTTCTTGGCTTCTCTGTGCAGCAATGCTGCCGAGCCTCAGGGCCAAGACACACGTGATACTCCTTCTGAGTGCGTTCGTAACAAAGTAGCCCTCTTATTATAACTATTAAGTCATAGTTCTTAGATTATAATAATATTATATTTCTAAGTCTTTTTATTTCGTAGTAGAAGGTTTATTATATTATATAATTTCTACACGTTATACTATAGAATAGAGAATATTTTATACTAGTATATACTTATTAGCGAGAGTTCTAGGTTTATTACTATATAACTATACTTATAGAGCCTAATAATAATACCAACTGAGCCTTTAATAATACTATAGTAGAGTTAGTAGAAACACTAGACTTTACCTCTTCCGATTTAGCTCTTAAGTCTATTCATTTTAGGTTAGCTTTATCAATAGTAGCGCTCTTAGCGATTAAGCTATTAATTTCCTAGTTAAAGTCCTTATCCCTTTTAGAGTTTATAAGTCTCTAGAGTTTTAATAATCTTATATAATCTTTATAAACTTTCTTTAGGGTCCTTTTGAACTTACTAATAGTCTTAGGTCTTATTACTATAGTATATTTATCGCTTAGTTCCTTTTTCTTTATAAGCTTAACTAAGGAGCTCTAGAGTTTATAAGCTACTAGCTTTAGTATCCTTCTTAGCTCTAGAACTAAGTCCGGGTCTACTACTATAGGAGCTAGAGATTCCTTAAATACCTCTTTTATATTCTCTAGTATTTCGAAGTGAATATATTACCTTAAGATCTTTAGGAGGTTAAAGATTAGTAAGCTTTAGTTTATATTTATATCTATAGTATTCTTTCTAGTACTCTTCAGCGTTAACTCTAGTATTATTATTACTAGTATAGCTAGTACTAATATTACTAGTAGGGGGGTCGACTATCTATTACTCCTCTCTAATACTAACGGTATTAGTATTAGAGTACTAGGAAATAGTAGTTCCTTTATTAGTTACTACTTTTTTTATACTACTCTTTCTATAACTTTCTTCCGCTACTTATATTCCTTATAGAAAGCTAGGTAGTTTCCCTTACAGTTACTATACTTATATATAGTAGTAACCTTTAGCTCGGGGTACTTCTTAGTCTAATACTCCTTTAAGTCATAGAATCCGTACTTTCTTATTATAGTATATATACGAGTTATATAGTTAAAGCTATAATAGTTAAAGTATTATACTACTTAGGCTTTTCAGCTATACTATTAAGTCGCTTTTAAGGCGCTCTCCTAGACTATTTGTTATACTATAATATATATATTTATAATCTCCTTATTATATAATTCGATTATAATTATATTATATATTTTCCTTAGCTTTACTTTAGAGAGCTACTTTACTCTCTTAATAGCGCTTACTAAGTATAGTAAGTTAGAGTTATTATAGAATAGCATGTTAATTATCTATTCTTAGTTTATTATATTTATACTTTTAATCGGGATACTTAATACTACTACACCTTATATTAGTACTATAACTTCTATACTCTCCCCTAGGAGGCTCTACTACTTCTTCCCTTAGTGAATTAGTCTCTCTATTATAGCTATATTCTTAGTATATATAAAGATATCTCTATTATATATTAGTCTCGCCGATTTCACCTATTATAGTAGGATAGCTAGTATTAATACGGTAGCCCGACTGCTATTATTACTATAACTAATACAGTTGCTTAATACGCTAGTAATAGTGATATTAGCTTACTTAATAATATACTTATTTAGTTTAAGCTACTCTTAGAGTAGTTTCTTTATAATCTCACTATTAATAGCGAGTTATATCTCCCTTATAGTAATACTATTAATCTAGAAGGTCCTAGCTATAGATATAGTAGATACTATAACTACTTCTTTAGTAGCGATTCTACTACTAGCTATTAACGTATAAGACTATCTCCCTTAATATATCTATAGTACTATAGTTGTATTTAACTATATCTCCTATATTAGGGAGTTGCCTTTACTAAGTAGTTTATATAGTAACGCGGTCTACTATTTATACTAAGCTACGATATTAACTTAGAGCTACTAGACTACTTTCTAAAGTATATCCTACTTATCTTATTTCTCTATTACTTTAAAATAGGTGATAATTAAGTCTAAGAATAAGACTGCTATTCTATAGGGTATACTAACTTTATATTTAGCTCTTAAGTTATATACTACTTTAAGTTAATACGCTTCCTTATTAAGGTTCGATACGTGGATTTTCCTATTTTGTTGGTATCGTACCGGTAAACAAATAACAAGTGTATATCGATATACGTCAAAATCCAAGGTTCAGTTCAAAGGTGTTCAAAAGTGTGTATTGTAAAGAGTGTCTACGGGTCAGAATATATACCACCTTCCGAACAACCCCCGGTTCGTATCCGAAAGGGATCCATCCCCTAACCGGGATTACCTGCACCCCCTGATTTCCCCCTATACCTCCATGGTAAAGGTCTGCGGACCAACATATTTATACTTTTCTTACTTATAATAGGCTAAGGAAAACCTAAAATCAGTACTATAAGGGTAAGAAGCTTCTAAGAATCGATTCCCGGGATTTATTTTACTATACGAGGCGTAGTTGTTAAGTTATTTCTAAAAATTGAGTTTAATCAAAAGATAATATTTTTTTTTAGTTATTATACGTAACACACTATCCACTTGCTAGTGGAGACGGGGATCACCAACTCTGATCTGGCCTCTGTTATACAACAAAAAGAATGCCAACGTCAACGCGATAAGGAGGTAAATAAACACTATTGATTCTTTCACGATATTCCCTGTTTTGCTTGATATTTGGAATTCTGTTACTCTTGTTTTCACCAATGCATATTTTAATCTTGAGTTCAAGAATATAGCTTGGCATTTACCCCTATTTTTCACCACTAGCAAAACTCTTTATGATATCAACCAAAACAGAAACGTCTGTCTCAATTCTGCCATCCCCTAGCTCTCTCTCATTTACGCCTATCAATAAACCTGTCTTGATATTAGATGGTAACATTTTTTCATATGAAGCCACTTATATCCAAGCGTATACATTTCTCCTGGTCCCACTTGGGGAGAGTGATTATGATATTGATCGGAGGAAGCATCAGTCTTTTGTCTGCAATTCTGGTTTCTATGCGCTCAACTCCTATCAAAGAGAGAGATTATAATACGGACGTTGGCCGAATTTCATAGCATGTCGCTCCTAAATTCCAATCGTCCATGTTCTTTTATTGCGTATTTCCAAAATAATGTATCGCTTTGCCCTTCATAAAAGGCCCATCAATTCCTTCAAACATCCATTTGATCGCGGTACTCTAGTTCGGTGGTCTATCCAGTTAATAGCAGTCAATTTTCACCTGGCATGTGTTAACCTAGGGAGGATACATGCCTGCATGGGTTGGCTAGTGTCCAACGACATCCAACATTCCGGCCCATTCTTATTCCCTCATCGCTTCAGATGCATTCACTATTGTCATACATCCACAATACAGAAAATTCTTCTATCTCCAACTATGCAGACTTCGTCCTTGGAGCTGCCACCCGACGAAGCATCACGGATGCAAGTATTATTGAAGTGAGCAAGATCTCAGAGCAAAATTACCTTCCAATACATTGTGCAATTCAATCGCATTCTCTATTCCACTCTATCACCCTTCCTTTCAACGGTAATACCCTCATTCACGTTTCGCTAAGAGTCAGTCTGCCTCCTGCCCACGGACTCGTCGAAGTTCGCTTGACCTCGCCTCTCAAAACGGCCCTCGTCATCACTCCCGTCTACACGCATCATCCATCCACGACACACATCTTCCCCGGCTTAGAACCAAAGTCCAATCGAAAGGCAGAGAGTTTGGGTCGAGTAAATGGTAATCAATTTAATCCAGACGTCTGGTACTTCAGACAAATATCACGTGTCGCCGGTTATTCGCTTGCTCGTGGTCGGGCTGTTTACTCGGATATAGGTACGTAAGCACCTCCTGAGAAGTACAGTCGATAATACCTTAAAGGAAAAAGCAGGTTCCGACCCACCGTGAGAGGGGCACTTTCCTAGAATAATAATCATATCACTGTTACAACATTCTGGTAACTGTCAATTGACAGTCAACTGATAGTGATAAGAAATTCTTGGCAGTTGAGAGGTTGTCATCTCAGCAAAGTGCACCTCCTACGGTGGGTCGGAATCCGCTTTCTCCTGTAAGGTACGAGAACAGTGAAGGAAGCACGTGATATCGAGGGCGAATCCGAGTTCAAACGTGAAGACCGGGGACGTCGAAATTCGGCTAATTCTGATACATAATAGGGTCATTTTTCACATAACAGCTTCCACGTTTCTGAATGGATTTTCATTGGCGTGCCGGTAATCTCAGGTTCTCATTCACTGAAGCATTGTCACCCTGCAACTCCAACAATCGGGGGATGGGGCAGGAAGAAATGGTGGACTTCATTTTGGCCAGGTACCCATATATCTCTGATTTCTACACTGACAGTACAGAGACTCTATCATCCCTCCACCTCACTTCAACAGCCCTGTAACCCCCAAAATATCTCTCTTCCCACACCACCTTCAGCATCAGGAGACGAATACCCACTATCACGATCTAATCTCTCAATCTCCTCCAACCAAAACCCAACTCTCTTCTGCCGCTCCGCCAATTCCTCAATCGAATCTCCGTTTCCCGACAGCATTTCAATCTCCGTCTCCAAGACCTGATGGCAGCCCTCACATTTCTCCAGGTCGAGATCGGAGATATCTTCCGTCCGGCAGATGACGTATCTGACCCATCCTTCTGGCACTCCGTTTCGGCCTGCAAGTCCAATTTCCTGCCCTGATCTTCCGTGTCCTTGTCCAGCACTCCCAGTTTCTTTGCTCGAGTCCAACATGAATCTCTCCCTCCTAGCGGCAAATATCGATGTCCATATCTTGGAAGAGAGTAATAACACCCAACGAGCAAGTTTCCAGAATGCAACGCCGATGCTGAGGAGCGCGGTCAGAAGCACCGTGACGACGAATGATAGGATCTTGAGAATAAGAGTGCCGAACCGGGAGGCGATATGCCGAGCCACAACACTGAATGATGGCACAAAGCCGCTTGAGTGGTTGGGATCCATGCTGGGGTGGCTATCGCAGGGGTATCTTGGCCGTGGCGTGCATCGAAGTGTATGTATCTGCCGTGGTGCCACGATGTCGCGTCTAGACATCTAGACCAAGGTTCGTATAAATTTGAGGTTGGGGACTTGGAATCTGAAAAGAGCGCCACTGATCACTAGGAGCTATCAATCGTGTAGTTTGGTGAATGGTCTTGAGGTTTCAAGGACATCGAAGAGTGACTGTGGCGGGACAACGAAATGACATGTTTGGGGGTATGAAATAGGGCCGTTAAGAATCTTTCTCGTTTGTTCTGTGTGCGTTTTGATTTGCTATATTGGTAAGAACGTGCATTGCAGACTGCAGATTGAACGAACTGACCAATCAGAGGCTTCAGATGTTTCAAATAGCCGCCTTGGAGAAGATAATGGACCGATTATCCAAAGGCTGATGAGTCAGTTTGAAGGTACGTACACAAAGCCACAAAGAAGTCGGAACTTAGTAGAAGAACGAAATTCTTAATGAGTTTGGAAGTTTTAGTGTCACGCTTCAAAAGGCAACAAGATAAGCGGAAAGGTAAACCAAGAGAATCAAAATGAGAGGTTTATATCTGTCGCTCACATTAAGTCTTAGGACTCAGTAATCTAGCTAGCCAAATTGTAGAGACCGAAACAGCGCATACGACAAATTTAGCTATGTACATAGTTCCCAGGTAACATGACATCAACTAGACTATGGCCATCCTAAGATTGTCTATAAGTCTAGTTCAGTGATACCACGGTACTAATCAAAACACAACGCCACGCCAAAAAGAACAAAAGCTCCGAGAACAGAAAATTCCACCCCTCAACGACATTCTGATCCTCGTCCTCGTCAAGTTCTCAACCTTTCATGTCGACTGAGGAAGTGATAGCCATGACTTTCGTCGCCTCGTTTTCTCGTTGTCTCGTTCTGCTCGTTGAATCCCATTACCATAATCCAATGACAGATCTCTGTTCTGGCAATCGTGTTGTCATCAAATCCGGACTCATCATCTCAAAACTCGCGCATGCCTTCATGCCCACACCCTGCGACAGCTAGGAAAAGCCCGAAAATGCCGCCGGATAAGCACCTATTGACTTTGATTCACAGAATACCCCAATCCTCGCCAGTTCATCCCCAACGCGATCGACGAGGTCTCCAACAGCGATGATCTCTACCAGATCCGAGCTTTCCCTCACATCCTCCAGATCATTCAGTAAGAAGTTGTAGAGCTCGAGTTGCTGCTGTATGTGCTGAGGCATAGGTTCGATGTACTCTGGGCTTTGGGATAAGTATGAAGTATTCTGGAATTCGGTAGTGACGCTCATGGGCTGAGTAGTAGTGGCAAGCGTTGGCTCTTGGTCGTGCGCCATTGTTTGGTCCGCGGGCATTTCTTCCTCCATTTCCTCATCATCGTCGTTAAAATCAAGCAACTCCAGATCCTCCTCGTCACCACTATCGAAAGCAATATACGCCTCGTCATCCGCGTCTCCACCCCTTCTGGCCTCAAACTCAATATGTTTCCATGCACGTTGCTCCCGTTCCTCGGTGGGTATTGCCTGTAGTTCCTCAATGGCACCTTCGATTCCGCTCGGAGAAGGGGGAGAATCGGTGGAAGGCTCGACTGTATCGGACCCAGAAGGATTCTCAAGACGTTCTAGGGCTACCAAAGCGATTGATGGAATTCCGTCTCGGAGAAGTCATCGTCATCAAAGGTAGAGAAGGAGTATGGTTCGCCATCATGCCGGAAGCATACGGGGTTTTGACGGTCCATCATGTTGTTGTTTTGATTCCTGCTGTAGGAATTCTGGGAACTATGTAGAGGAATTGATGAGTAGATTGCTGGTACTTATTGGTTACTATAGTTTTTTTTGTGAAGACGAGAATTGGAGGAGGTATAACAGGCTCTAACGATGTGATACTTTGTGATATCAGCTGAAGATGAAGTTCTAAGGAGGAATTGGGAGCTCGAAACATAAAAGTTGCTTTGAGGTGCTACTGTGGATAGTTTCGTGTGAGCTAGAAACATAGTACGTGCGCTGGAACTTTTAGGGCGGTTGTTTACTTGGAACCGAGATTGATAGTCACCTCGCTTAGCTGGTTTTATGATAGTGCAGCTTCGTCAGGTTGGGTCAATGGGGTCTGTGAATTCAGCAACTAATCTCACAACGTAGTTTTTAAGTCAGGTAGGACTTATATTTTCTGAATATCTAGCAAGGATCTAGTATGTAACGCATAATCCAGCGATTCGCGAACGTTTGAGTGAAGTACCAAATTATAAGTCTTCTCTGAACAGACTATCGGGTTAAAAGTTGGATTTCGGATAATGTTAGAAACGCTTTCAGATCTCCTGTACAACTTTAAGCTTTTTGCGGTGAGATTTGTTTGTTAGAATGCGTGCATACCTGGAAGCGGCCGAAATTTTTCCAAAGAGCTATTTCCCACAGGCGTAAATTTCGTCCAGTCTGACTCCCCTTGCCCATCCGTATTCTTCATTCTATGTACCCTCGGGTCATACTTGACAACCTTTCCAATGATACTGACCTCATTCACAGCGTTGTAGCGGCGAAGGAGTAACATAGATTTCTGATCAACGATATCGCCTTCTTTTGCATCGGGAGGGCCGACATACCACCATCCAGTACATGTTTGTAATTGACGGAATGTTCCAAGCACCCTCCTATAGGTCCTTGCCGGTATATCGTTATCTATCACGTTCATGCCTATTGCATCACCTTGCTGTGTTTGTAGAGCGGCGTAGAAGTCTTCGACTGCTGTGAGGTTCTTATCTAAAGAGCGTGCTGTTGGTGTTCCGCCAGGCAAGACATCTGTCCAAATGAATGACCTATCGACATACGAGCACTCTACTCGCTCGAGAGAAGCGACCGAAGCAACGACCTCGGTACAGTCTTCTTCAGTGAATAGAACTTTACAAGACTCTTGTTGGTCAACTCCATGAATCTCAGCGAATATCGTGGTGGGTGCGCCTGGAAATGGAAATTCCAGAGCTCTTTGAACATTTTGACTGAAAATAAGTGCATCGCTCGGGGAAATCTCCCCGCTTGAAAGACACCATCTCACCAGATCCGCATACAACTCTCCATTTGTCTCTGAATAGTCGACAACAGGAAAAGTAACAGAAGGCTGTCGATCCAGCTTATCCATCTGTTGATTCCGAATATCCAACAGGGCCAAAATCCCATAAAGTCTATCTCGGGGATCAATGCATTGGAAATGGCGACTGGAATTGATCAAGCCCTTGAGACTTTGCCTTTCAATTTGACGAAGCCTCATTAATTCTTCCAGTAGCACCGTAAGGTGATCCGTCGTGTTCTCTTCTGCAATCAAGTTGCCGAAAACTTCCCAGAATTGTTGAAAAGCATGCCAGCTCACGCTCGCCGGACCACAATGAATCTTTAACTTAGCAGCCAAGCACACTTCCTGGATAACCCACAAGCGACCCCAGTACGGCCTCGTACAAAGCGAATTGAACTCGTCTCCATACTGGATGTAGAGCGGCTCATACCTTAGTTCCCCAAACTCAAGATTGAGAAGCTATTTTTGCAAATGGCCTACGCGAATGACCTTCATCGCCTCCGTGCTCCCATCAGTTTCCTCACCGACCCAAATCAGAACTCCAGACGCAGAAGCGTATATCGACCCCATGATCGAAACCTGCGCGCTACGCTCGGGGATATCGTTTTGATTAATACACAAGGCGTCTATCCATAGGGTCCTTGCCATCCCATGCATCCGATACCGTAGATGGTATAACGCCCACCAGAGGTTCCTCCGTACGGGAACTGAATGGCCATCGATGTCGATACAGTGGTATATCCCTTCTGGTCCCCAACAATAGGAGAGTGTTTCGTATCTTGGGTGGTTGAGACTGAGCCTGAGAAGTCGCGCCTGGAGTTTGGAACGGATTGAGCTAGTGCGTTTACTTTTTTGTGCCTTGAAGCTAGTGCTTAAGCTTGAACAGGGCTCGCGCTCATTAGTTGTCTTGATCCTGAGAGTTGCGGTTCTCAGTGAGCAAATGATTGGACTGTCGTTATTCCCAGGGTGCAGGACCAAGAGCCGGATTTCTGATGCTGATAAAGGTAGGTAGAGGTGTTTGCTCGAGGCGACTGACATATTTCGAGACAGCAGAGGTGTCTATGAAGTTAACACTTCAGGTTGTGGAAGTGGTACATTGCTGAAGTTGAGGCTTTTGGTGACGACAGGTGCATTCTGTATCTAGCTGATTTGTCATCCCTGCATGCTCCTCTCCACGTGAGTATTTGCTGGCTTTCCAGACCGGGATCCATAACTTTAAATGCATCATGTTATGCTCAACTCAACTCAGCAGCTATATGGAGAAATGTGTTGTTCGTGACTATGGAGTGTTGTACTGATACGCCACGGGTGCTTTAAGGTTTTCCAGCACGTTTCTGAGACATTAAATTTAGTTGTTACTAATGAATCGAGACAGATCCAAAGCAGGTGCCAAGTTTGGGAGAAACTTTTGAACATTCTCCTTTCCAACATGATAAGAAACTTATCCTGTCATAGCTTCTTGTATTCGTTGAAGTCGTAGCCAGCTCATTTTGGATCTTACACTGTATTCGTTTCGTACACCTCCTTGACCAACGCCGTATTCAAATACTCATTGATCACCACGACCTTTCCCGTCTCATCATCAAATTTCATAATCCAACAGTACCTATCACATAAATCAGCGGTCCTCTGTAGACCAGACTACACAAATCTTACATCTGGTCATATGGATTCCCATTCTTCTGCACAGCAAACCCAGTTGCTTCTATAATCGCTTTGTTACCGATAACATCCAGTGCTTCAATCTTCATCTCCAGCGCGCCCTGTAGTCGTGCCTGCATGGGAGGCGAAACTTTCTCTAGCCAGTCTTGGAGGTTCTGTTTGAGCTGGTGAGATAAAGTGACATGTAGGTAGATGCGGGAAAATTACGAAAACTCCAGTGCAACAAGTCAAGTCTTCTCTCAGACTTCCGATGGTCCAGCGAACGTTTGGATCAATGGCTGTCACGAAAGGAACCCAATCGCCACGACTTGCTGGGTCTAGAAACCCTCGGACGTGTGCTTCTGTGAGTGTAAAAGGCATCTTTGGTGGTTGTCTTGGCAGTGGATGGAGGATAGCTGAAATCTCCCGATTCTAATCAATATACGAATGTGAGGATAGTGAGCCGATTTATAGACACAGAGTGAGAAGTTGTGCGATCAATCGAGCTTAGGTAAGCACATTATCAAAGCCATGCAATGCAGTCAGATGAGTGCAACATGCAGATGGCCAAGAAAGGATGAGATTGGCTGCACAGAATTATTCATCTAGTCCTCTCGCTTGGCTGTGGCCTGAATCGGGAAAACGCATCGATCATGAACCGTGGGGCGCCTTTCTTGTTTTTCTTGGTGATGTAATCTATTGTATATATAGAAATTATGGGCTGGATATTTGGAGGAATTTCTCTTGCTTTGAAATTCAGAAGTGATGTTGGGAAATCGCAGCCTGAAGGGGCCATACTACAAGCCCGTGTTAATATCATAAAAGAGAATTCAAAGAGCAAATGAGCAACCATTATGGCATTTGACAGTGAGAAGAGCCAATCAATAAACGTTGTCACTTCGTAGCAAGTAAAGCCCATGCCTCAAATTTCAAGCCGCCATATTCTTGCTTCTTCTCTTCCAGCACCTCAAACAACACTTCCTTCCATCTTCCCTTCTCCTCATCTGTCCACCCATTTCTTGCAGAATCTGTGAAAGGTCCACAACCAAATTGTGTCAGTCCATCCAGATTCTCACCCGTCACTACCACTGTCGGAGACAAAACTTGGATGCTCTCCTTTTCGAAGCCCGCTTGCACCATGACATCGATGACTGCATCGACTCGGTGATATTCTGCCCCCGAAACCTTCATAAGTGGCAAGTCCGGGCGTATCCGTCGCTGGGTCTCGTGAATGAGATCTCCAATCGCGAAGGTCTTCCACGTGGTAATGACAGCTTGGCCGGACGGCTTCAGGGTACGGTAGGTCTCCTTGAGGCAGATGGCGGGGTCCACAAAATTAAAGATGCTGAAGTTCGTGATGGAATGGGTGAAATGATTGTCGGGAAAGTCGAGGATCTCGGATTTCATGACAATACCAGTGAGCTTGGAGGTTTCTTTTGGTTTCGCGAGATCGGAATTAAACGCTTCGATCATGGCAGGTACCATGTCTGTTGCAATTATTGTGGGATATTCTTCCGGCTTCAAGTTCTTTAAAATCACGCCAGTGGCGGTCCCGGGTCCAGATGCATTGTCATGGATGATGGAGTTGGCTGAGATAGGGGCTAGTTGATCGGTGATTGACGCAAAAAGATTCGCTGTCGAATTGCCCGATTGTCGAGGATAAACTTGGGAGAGTTTGGTAAAGTAGGCGGGAAGGTTGCTTGTTGGCCCTGCTGCCGTCTTGAACGATGTGGTGGAGTCTGACATTGTGGTTGCGGCTTGAAAAGAATGAGCGGACTTCTATACGATTTAGAAGGAATTGAAGAACGGAGATGTCTGGGAAAGGCCAGGGCTTTGAGTGTTGCGATATTTGGAAAGTGGGCTGCGTCTGGTGCTTTCAAGCTTATGCGACTGTCAGATGAGGACTGCGCCGCCTTATTGGCAATCTCCGGAAGCACCATGCTGTCAGCGCTGGATAAGGAGTCGAGAAGTAAGCCCTGTACATCTTCCTGGGCAACATCTGCAGCGATAGCAGCTTGGAAGGCCAAGACGCTACTGACAATGTAGATTGTAAGAAAGTCCACCAAACGATCTCAGCTTACTATATCCATCTCTAGATCATTCGGGCCCGGATTCCCAAGTTATGATCATATCGACACATCTCCTCACAAAAGAGAAAGAAACAAGGAAGTCCGGCACACTGACCCGAATACTGACGCAGCTTCAACCCGCTGAAAGTTGGGGTGTCCATTCCAGTCGTAAGCTAGAAGCGGTCTTGTCAACAAGACCGGAATTACCGAAAAGTCACGTCCTTCGGAACTGGTGCTGGAGGAGCAAATGCACCAGCCAGCTCATTCAGCTGCTGGGGTGTCAATGGTGGCACTGGATATCTCGTCGTGTGGGCTCGAGGCTGCGGAGCAAAAGCCCCAGAAAATGCCTCCCAGTCGACATGTGGTCTAGAATTGGAAGCTTGAGATGGTTGCTGAGAAGGACGGGCTGGTGGAGGTGGCGGTAAGTGATCTTTCTTCGGCTTCGACTTTCTCGGCTCCGACTTGTTCGGCCCCAGTTTATTCGGCTTTAACGACTCCGTCCTGTAGGCTTGAGCGTTGAGATAATCCAGATCGGTGGAGGAAAGTGAGGATGCTCGCGAGAGAGATGGGCTATCAGTAGTACTTTGAACTTGTGCTGCGTGGAGGTTGTCTCTTGATGCAAATCTCACGGCACGTCTGGCACGCTCTTGTTGTCTTTGCATCTCGCCAGCGCTATTCCTTCGGCGAGCTGGTGCTTCGGGGATAGAGTCTCGGGAATCGATCGCATCTTCGACCAGACGGCCAAATCCAGCTTGGCTAGAATCAGGATTAGATTTCTTTTTCCAGTCTCGGACTCGGCGCCAGAGAGTGAGCATTGCTAGCGTGAATAGGCACTTCTGTGGAGTTCTGTCACAGCATGTAATGGCGACGATGCGAACTCCACGGCTTAGGATTTGCTGAGGACAGAGCTGAGATCTCAGACTACGATTCAGGGCAGAGGGTGTGGACAAAACTGTCTCGTGACTTTGAGATTGGTCTCCCAGGTTAGACTACCTATGTGAGCCGTCAGCATAAGCAGGGAGCACGAAGGTGATCAAAACACTCACAAGCGAAGTAGACGCAGCGAACTGACCAAAAACAAATCCTTTACGCCAAACATTGGCATCACTCGCACAAGAAAAACAAGCTTTCGACGGATATCGTCAGAAGGATAGAGAAAGAAAAAATTCTGGGCGCGACCGTGTCATATTGGTGATGCAGCACGCGACGCGAAATGAGCAGTCACGTGTCGGGACTTCAACCCCTTTTCCAGATTGGGTGTCATTTACGCTGCAATATTTACCCGGGCCAACATCCGGACAGAATACAACATCGGATTTTGGCAAAGTTTGAAGATATTTTAGTCGCTCCGGGGTTCCATTCCTCTCTAATAACACAACGCAAATCACTAATCAATTACCGGTTCCAATCCTCCCATGCTCCTCGTGGTGAGGAGAAAGACCCGAAAAGCTTCTGCATCGAATTCAACTTGTTTAATAATGGATTCTTCGAATCTTTGTTTTGCCCTTCAACAGTTGGAGGACGGCGCCGATTTTGTCAGGACGGTTCCAGAAACTGCACTTCGAGGAACGTCTCCACACCTCGCGTAAGTTTTTACCAGGCTGACGATATTTTGGAGCATCACAGTTAGGCATCTGTCAGAATGAAGCCTTTTCACTAGACTTTAAATCCGCAGCAAGCGATAGAAAGAATTAGGTTTATTTCTTCAGGCCAGTACCAGTTCTTAGAGACATCTCCTGAGCATCATTCCAGTGCCGTAACATATGACGTTTTTCGAAGCCAACAGATGAGAGGTAATTCTCATCTCCAAACTCTTCCATATCAACCACAACCAAAGTGCAGCCTAACCGTAGCAATAATCCCTTTGCTTCACCTGGTTTACTTCTTTGCAGCCTTCGCACCCTCCTCATCATGCGCCACAACTTCAATCTCAACTCTCATGTCATCAACTCCAAGTCTCGTGACCCCAACAGCCGTCCAGATAGGCTTATGATCTGGCATCCACTTCTTGAAGTTCCTCGCCATAGCAGTCAGAGCTTCGTCGTTTATCGGAACATGGTACGAGTTAACACGGTAGACTTGTGACCAGCCTTTTCCACCCGCATCTTTCAAGCAGGTTTCGACGTTGACGAAAGCTTGGTCGATCTGAGCATTGATCTCAGTGTTGAATTGGACAACGCCACCCTCCTTCCAGCCTCCTGTGTATAGTATGTGAGCACGGAGTTCAGTGAAGTGAGGAATCTCTTTGGGGGATGGGCCAGACCTTGACCGGAACACTCGATACGATCTCCTACACGGACAGCTTGGCTGTGCCCGCTGTGTTCAGTGACAAGTTCGCCTTGGCCTGGGTATACATAGTACTGTAGATGAGACATGTTGGAGAGAGATATTGATGAAGATGTGATTTTTGTGTTATTGTGGAGGGAAAAGCTCAAGCCTAGGAGTGGAATTGATTGCGAATTTAATAAGCAGTAGATGAGGGGAGTAATACTTATAGCCTCGAAGAAGGATTTGAGCCAAGTCCGTGTGTCCCAGCTCATCATCACCAGATCCAGTCGTACGTAGGAATCTCGCACTGAGTATTTGTCCGATCCACATGCGCAGGCTCTTGGCTCACATCTTGGAATTGGTGTTTGATTAGCAAGCAGCTCCATCTTGGCTAGCGTACGCCCGTAAGCCTACATTTGCGGGGATAATAAGCTCCACTAAAACCTCACCTTTAGATTGAGGCTCTTGGTATGATACTCACTTTCTTATCAGCGTGTAAGCTGACCTCTTCACCTGCAGAGCGCTGTCGCCGTGAGCAAGTGTTGACGGGAAAGGCTTGTTGTTCCGCTGTTTTTCGGTCCCTGAACCTAATATTTTGACCTGATTCGCACATCTTATGCTTCAATCATATTCCTGAGTTTTCCAGAGAAGGCGAAACGACATTTTGGATGGGATCACGAGGGTGATTGCCACGGTGTGTCTTACTGGCACCACGGATTGGAGCCAGCGGTGCTGCGGCCGAGATGCAGTTGATTGTTTTCCAACAGTAGCCTCGGCGGGGTCAAATGTTTTCTCGCATGAACTCAGGCAGGGATTAGACTTACAGCAAGCAGTACTTGTTCTAGAGGCAAGATAGTTTGATCTCTGAATCTGAAGTCCTTGTTTGACCGTCTCCAAGTTGATTGCCTGGGACGTGGAGAAAAGGTTTGACAATTGTTCGAAAGTAGTTAACTTTCCCCTTTTTCAGTTTCTCTAATTTCAGATGAAGATCTCTGGTACGCTTTCTTCCCTATCGCAATCCCTCGAGTTTGATGTCGGTGGTGAAATGGCCAGTGGCCAAGGCGCGACTAAGCGAGGACAACAGAGGCATTGTTGACATTAGCATCAGTAGCCGTCCATTTAGTTCGGCCGCCCATTGAAAGTCACCCTGCAGCACCATGCAAGCTGAAATCCAGGCTCGCTTGTGAGATCGCAACTCTTCAGTTAAACATGCGAAATTGCATGGTCGTGAGCTGCACTTCGATGCTTCCTGCTAGCCTTCAAGCCAGTAAGTATGTCAACGGCAGGTAATCTTGAATTCCACTAGACTGTAGCTTTTGCATTGGTTTAGCCTATCAAATACTGGTTATCAATGGGACCAAGATACCGATTTGGCTACGTTAGAGCTCCTTCTTGTAACACAGGAGAAGCGACAATGTTTTGTGATCTATGTGGGTTAGGGGTAGTGCAGGAAGTATCTGATTTGTTCTGGAGTCCTGATGGTAATTTTTGAGTAGAAATGTTTCCGTTGTTTCAACATGCGATCAATTAAAAGATCATTCAATTAAGATTATTATTCTAAGAGAAGCGAAATTTTGTTGTGTCATGCACAAAGTTGTGATTCCAGAATGACACCCGAGAAAATGAGTAAATGGCCTTGGCAATCAAAATCTCGTTTACATGACCATCCTCCTTCCATCTCACAACAGCATGTATGAGATCTACAAGAAAGCAAGAGCAGCCACGCCGACAGCAAGAAGTCCGGCAGCAGGCTTGTGGAGGGAAGCAGCACCGGTGAATTGAACCTGAGTGCCAGTTGCGGTGGCAGCGGGCTCGGTGGTTTGGGCTGGGATGGTGTATGGGTTGTAGCCGAGGCATTGAGCAAGCTGAGCACTGCAGGTAGATTGATTGGCTCCAGGCTTGGTGCGGCATTCGTTTGCTTGCTGTTGGCAATCCACTGGGGCTGAAGTTGGTGTGGAGGAAGGATTGACTGGCTGGGTGATGGTACATGGGCAGTCGGTAATGGTTAGGACCTCATCTTTTGTTGCAACGTAAGTCTTGTCGTTGTAGACCAAGGTGGTTGGGTATGGGCAGTAGGTGGTGAATGGGTAACGGTCTCGGTGGTGTAGGCAGGCTTTGACTCATATGGATTATATCCAAGGCAAGCTGCGAGCTCGGCAGAGCACTATAAAGTTAGTCAGCAAACACTCTGATCATCCGTTGAAGAATTGATTCTCATACAGTAGATTGGTTGGCGCCGGGTTTGACGCGGCATTGGTCTGCAGCAGCCTGGCAAGACTCCCTGGGAGTATACGATGAGGAGGTCGCAGTAGCCGTGTTGTTGGCATATGGGTTGTAACCAAGGCAAGCAACAAGCTGTGCTGAGCAGAATGACTGGTTAGCCTCTGGTGCTGTACGGCACGCATTGGCTTGTGCTTCGCAGTCGGCTCTCTTGTTCAGGAGTGAAGCGTTCGTCAAGGCAGAAGCCAGGACAACACAAGAAGCGACGCTGTAACGCATGTTGACTCTTTGGGTAGTTGTGGGGAGTTTCTGGGTGTGAAGAAAATATGATTAAGATGAGGGCGGTTCAGCTTCTGAAAGTTTTATGAAGTAGTGAAGAAAACCCATGTTAGGAGCACAGCAAATCGTCCTGTATATATCCATTACCATTCTCCTGAATAATAATACTGACGTATGCAAGATCAAAACACGAGAACACCTTACTACAGCGGGCTAAGCAAACGCAAAATTTCGCCTATAGACCGACGGTCTATAGTAGTAGGTATCAACTAATGGTAAGCAATGGTAAGACAAAATTTCCGGTACCTTTTGCTTCTGCAAACGGACTAGTCTTGGGATAGCGGCCCTCAACTGGCAATATATAGTAGTCGGGTACGTTCCGAAGTCACACTACAATCGGCGCCCAATTGTTGAGTATTGGGTAGAACCGCTCCAATTATCCACATGCTTGGCTGATTAATTATTATCAGCACTGCGGAAGTTGTTGCTGCGTTCGGTAGCTTTCTTTGGTTGTTGAAAACGGGGCAGTGGTTTAGGTGAGTGGCCAACTGTGCAGATCTATAGCTTTTACCCTATAGCGATGCAGAGACACGGAGTGATAATGGTACTTAAGGAGAATGACAGGTTGTTTACGGCTGCCGAAGCAAGCTCGGTGTGGTTTTCGTTGTCTTTCATGGAGATGATTAAATGCCACAACGCGAACTTCAGTTGGATATTCTACACCACTGATTGGATTCGTATGAACACCAGGCCAATTACCCGCTTCAAACAGACTTCAGGCTCGTATGCAGGTACGGGGCAGGACAATTAGCGCCACACGTATCATTCTTCCGGTCGTCGTCTTGTCCGCGTCCGGAAAAGGATGAATTTGTATTACCGAGGTGCATGATAGGCAACTCGGCTATTGTGTCTTTCTTATGGAATTCTTTGGGTAGTGGAGGCGACTTCAATGGTACAGCAACCAAATGCGGCTCTGGCACCAACAACACTACTACTACGCTAAGTCACCGTCGCTACCAAATTCAGCGGATTTCTCTTCAAAAACTACGCCGAAAGGAGATAAGTTGAGACGGTCTTGTGTTAAGCTCAAATGCATTCTTGGTTGCATTCCACACTTGCAGTTTAGTACGAGAATAGTCAACAACACGCACATTTTTGACTAGGCCACTTCTGCAATTGTAGATTCAAATACCACCAGCTAGTCACACTGTGTGATGTCAAACAAGCCACTTGGAGGGCACACTCAGCAACTTCCAGCCGCAGGTACTTCAGAGCCGATGGTTTATCTTAACAACTCTTAATGCATTTCGATTTGCTTGAAGAGGAACACGAAATGCTTGAAATATCTGCAGACGATCTTGAGAAAGGTTCATCACGTCTCACTGGAGCTGAGAGTTCAAAAGTGGAAAGAATTAAACAAAAAGACGAACTGTAACGTCATTCACTTCTGCATTCGGATTTGTCCTGCGCCAATACCTATCAAGACAAGTGTCTCAGTCTGTCTCGGAAAATCTCCAACTACTCGCGATACGAGACTCCGCTTTCAGCCACACTAGTTAACCATAACACTAGACGGCTTCCAAAAGCGCAACGCCGTTCACTGGTTAACAAGCTATTCGTAGTGCCTCGCCTTTCTCCCCGGTCATGTTTGTTGATACGGCGAGCAGCCTGGATGAGGTGGATCAAGCGAGAAATGATGCCGAGAGTTGCCGAATGTGAAGACTTCCAGCAGCGCAGCATATTGTCGATTTGTAAATGATGTCAGGAGAACTTGTAGAGTAAGAGAAAAGAGCGAGAAACTCATGATATAAGATGTACTCCAATCACAGTCAAGCAGGTGCGCTGTGATTCAATTGCTTGATAATAGTTGACAACGATTTCTGACCTGACTTCGGAGACAAACCCAAATAATCCCATTCTTCATACCATCTAAATACGTCTAATCTTCCGATGAAATAAATATCATAAATCTGTGATAGACCAGCCATATGCTGAGCCCAAGTCTACCAATATTCTAAACCCATCCATGAAGAAGCCCAAACGCCAGTGATGCCCAAAAGTCATGATTCCCAAACTTACATTACAACCCACCTGGTTGCCATCTTCCACCAATCTATCCCTTCCAATTCCAACCCACTCGCAGCATTCTTGCAATACAAATAAATACAGTACCGCATAGAACGCTGCTCCCAGAAAATATTATGAGGTAAGTGAAGCCACCATCATCGTACGGAATAAGGGCCCCTTGAATTGGCAGACTCGTCAAGCTCCTATACAGTATGTTAATCACTGCACCTTCCAAATTTTGTCTAAGTATGCTGCTTACGCAAATCCAATAACTGCCTGATACGTTCCAAATCTCTGACCAAGTTTGCTGACGGGTCCCAGCTCTGCAGCACACGGCATCATCACACTGATGAATGCACCGCTGGCAAAGCCATAGAATGCGCTGAAGGCAAAGATCTGGGTACTTGTTGGGTTTCTCTTGAGCTCCAGCGGTAACAAAAACGCGAGGAATGCAATTGTTGTGACAAGCGAGATGAGGGATACGGAGTTGAATCTTCCAAATCGATCGGCCAGATAGGCGGGAAGAATACGGCCTACGATGGATGCGCCGCTGAATTGAAAGTTTAGTCAGCCGTGAGTCCGGTATACACCTGTGTTTGAGGCTTACTTAAGTATAATGATGGTGTATATTGCTTGGTCTTCTGTGAATCCATGATTCAGACTCATTGATGGGAGGTAGTTCCAAGGGGCAAACAGACCCCAGCTGCGAAACGGGTCAGTTAATCCTCTTCAACATTTATGAAGGAACTCACATGACGAAGAATGTGCCAACACAGTATACACTAAACGTGGGTTGTTTGAAGAGACAGAAATCGAGGAAATAGACGTGCGATTGCCATTTCTTTTTTGGCAACCGTGGATGGATGAGTGTGCACGCCAAAGCGCCTGTTAATCCCACAACGAGAGCGCTCCATCGTACTGCACTTGGAAAGCCGACTTTCTGAATAAGAATATGGAGGTAAAGAGAGTGAATGACACCGCCTGCTTGAGTCAATCTTAAAACTAGAAAGGTCGATGGATGACGTACCCAGACTGCTACCAGCAAGGACAATTCCCAAAGCCAGAGCCTTCCGCTTGTTGAACCACTGTCCAACTGAAGTCGTTGCACAGGAAAATAATCCTGCAGCAGAGATACCGAAACCTACACCCTGGGCGAGGAATATCTGGTAGTATGAGGTACAAAAGCTTAGCGAGAGGACCGAAAGAGTGCAGCCAATGGCGCAGGGGATGGCAACACATCGCGTGCCGTGAGTGTCAACGATGCGACCGAAGAAGGCTCCCCCAGTCCACCTGAACCATTTGTCAGAATTTGACTGCCAAGAGACTCTGTGGGATGACTCACATGAAGAAAAGTTGACATGTGAAGATCCATGAGATCGTTGAGGCTGCATACTGTTTGAGGAGGGTTTGTTCGTAATACGTTTGGAAGAGGCCCAACCTGCCATCAAATGTCAGAACTTGGACTTGAAGCTCTCGTTTGTTGAGGCCAAAACATACGAGTTGAGCCAACCGAAAGTACAAAACAGTGCAAAAAAGGATCCAAGGACGCATGTCCAGCCCGAAACACCGCCTTCTCGAGCGTATTCGTTCTGTAGTGCCCAGTCTATGGCATGGGTGTCGATGCTACTTGACGTTCGTTCCGAGTTCTTGCACTTCTCCAAGTCTCTCTGTTCAGTAGTCTCTGATGGTAGAGCAGAAGCGTTAGAAGTTGGTGCCGCTGGTCGCATGTCCACGCTTAGTTGCAACTTGTCTTCGATAGCAGTTGGGGTAAAAATAGTGTTGTGTAACGAGACGACTTTACTTTAAATGGGGCAGATATATATCTAGATTCAGAAGTCCCACTGTCACGAAAAGACTTGAGTGAATCTAAGCGGAGGATTTTATGACGGAATATCACTGACTTGAGACGTTCTCCGATATTCCGTGAGTGATTCAAGCGTGAAGTTAAATCTGAACGAGAGGAAAAACAGTACTTCACCTCTAGCTGAGACAGGTTTGAAATAACAAGAAGATTCAGTCAATTGAAATTGGACGTCGAGAAAATCACACACAGCTACAATATCTATATTGGCCGCTTTTAGTGATCTTCGGCGACGCTTCGTGTAACCATCAAGGATGAAAGCGTGTAGCCGTCCAAGCGACGCCCCTGGCTCAAGTGCCCAGCTCGATTCAGACAATACAAACAGACATGATGATGACGAAATTGGAAAAACCCACAACGATTTGGATTACCGAAACAGATGTTGGCTCGGCGATCAGTCTCTGTCTGATCGCTTGACAATGGGTATAAAATGAGAACACATAACAGATAGGCAGGCTTCGAGAATGTTTTCAAAAATCTTTTTTACGATCCAAATATGATATTTGACAGGTCAGCCGTGTGCTGAAGATGCTAGATCTAGGCTGGCCGGGACTCGGGGAGCAGTCTGCCGAGCGCAAAAATGCTGGTTTTAGACTAGAGTAGTATCAAGATTCCTAAGACGATTGCAAGTGACGGACACGAAATCTAAAGCTCGGCATATTTCACAGAAGCCCTTTGTCTCTGTCTCGCCCAAAATTTTTGGCGAACTTCCCTGAAAGAAGATGAAGGAACATCAACTCTATGGGAAAGCTTCAAAAAGAACCAAAAAGAAAAAGGTTGTTCAACACGAAGAACATCGCCAGCTAGAGAATACTGTTCATTAATGATCAGTCTCGTCGCAAGGCACAAAACCAACAAACGACAGCGAATATGTCTACTTCAACCTGCAGCCTCCTTTTTGCCAGCAACTCAACACATCACGATCATCCGCAGATATGGAGCCCATCTCTCTTCGGAGCATCACCGTTCTCCTCAACTACGGATTGATGACTTTGGACCCACGTTTCAAGGATACAGCACTAATCACTTCCAGCTTTGCTGACCCAAGTCGGAGCCAGAGCTCCGCGACATCGAATCCTGGATTTTTAAAACCCAGCCCGAGAGTTTCGAGTAGAGTCTGATTTACTAGTCATCTAGATAGTGGCAGATTACTGATCTGGCATCTTTATTCAGACGCTTGAATATCCACTACTTTGAGAAGCTCGCCACCCCACCTTCAGCCGAACACCCTTCAATTATCGTTGAGCTTCATCCCATGGCAGAACCACTCTCGAAGACCCTCACCTTCGCACAAAGAGACTTAATCTTCCTCGAGTCTCGCAATCACAGCGGATGCTTCAAAGGTGCAAGTTTGTACGAAATGTTCTTCAAACTTTGCACTCCGGGTCAGAAGCTGTCAATTCAAATCACAGATGAGGTAAATAATCCATCTTAAAACTCCCTGCTGTGGAATAGAAATTGACAGCGCAAATCCCGACATTGATTGAGTCGATTAGAACCCTCTCTTGGCCGCTTTCAATACTTGTGAATTCCTCGGGATCAAGATGCACAATCCAAAACTACATTCCCTGTCGTCTGTTCGAAGTCCAGTAAGATAGAAATCATTCACAGGCGGTTCAAATGACGAGTAGCACGCGGTGATGATGATACCTCCCCCATCGATCCCTCGATCCCTCGATAGTCTTTCGTCGTCCACATGACTCGGATGCAATAAGGAAAGGCTGCGCGGGGTCTGTACGGCGAGAACTACTTTGTGGGAACAGAAGCGGAATGTTGATACCATTGAAGGACATATGCGAAAGGCCGGTGGATACTGTCAAGGCGATGAGAATGGTGGATGACATAGGCAATGCCGAGGGGCACGAACTCATGTCGAGGTTGGAGACATGTGCCAAGCGTGCTTTCGAACGTTGGCAAAGTCGAGAGACACAGGGAAGGTGTGAACATTATGGGAAAGATGGAAAGTCGATGAGATGTGGCGCTTGTAAAACCAAGGCAGTGTAGCATTGCTATAGGAACACCAGAAGGCGAGGTGGGAGCTTCACAAACGGACGTGTGGGAAGCTGAAGAGTGGGAATGAAGGACATCTGTCTGAACAAACCTCTGACTGAAATCACCCAGATAGGGGCTTTTCTCTTTTTTTTTTGCAGAAATATGATGCCTTGACTTCCATTTCATGACTTTGGGCTTGTGCTAGTGCTTCTGGAGCCCAAAGAATTCGTTTGTTTACCATCTTCAACAACCTTCGCTTAACCCCGCATCAGGCCTTGCACCAGCGGCTTTCAACAATAATGTCTCGCTTGATAGAATTTACGAACTGTAATTCCAATACCTAATTTTTTTGAAAGTACTAGACTTGTCTGAGAACATCCGAATGAGTTCTTTTTCTCTGCAGGTGAGTGGCTTCTTACCTCCACGCATGTCAACAAAAACCCGACTCAGAGGAAACTTTTGGAAGAATAACAAACATCTTTCTGAGATTCCCTACTTGAGGCAGCCGTCATTGATGAATTCCATATAACTTGTTCATCCTTCGCTCAAACTCTCAATCTCACAGGATTTTGCCTCACCTGCAGACCTCAACACGAGCACACCAACAATCCGTTCCCCACCATGACCAACACGCCATCAGCACTCCACACACCTCAACCACCAGGACCCATCTCGCTCCGCACTTTAGCCCTCCTCCTCAACTACGTGCGCTCAACTACGAGCGCACGACCTCCGATCCCTGATTCACAGGTGTCATGCTCAGCGGTAGCACAGGCGAAGACAAAGGCATGGCCGAAGGAGTAAAGAACCTGATTCTTGACATTTGGAAAGGCGAGGGAGAGTCTGTTATGAAAGTTTACCATTTCAATTAATATACTAAACATTCCACCATTAAGAAAAGTTCGTGGGCTGATGTACAGTTTCTAGACGGCGATCCGTCCATATCTTCGCACCAGACACTAAGATCTCAACGGGTGAGGATGAGAGCGAGATCAAATATCCACCCGCAACATGCCAGATCCACCCCTTCGCCACAGATGGTGTGAGATCTCTTTCTCTCGCTCACATAACGGGATTTGATATGCTATGAGACGAGAGGAAGGCGGTAGGGACTGGGATGCGATTCAGATGTTTCAGGAATTCTCTACTTTGTGTCCTGAGGGACAGGAGGTTGAGATTGAGATGGTGATGAGGTATGTTTATTTCCACGTGGAATTTACGGTGCCGTACAAAGTGCCAGAAGAGAATCGTGACAGATATTTTGTTTTATCCAGCCTACTAATACCCATCTTTTACGATACCTCCAGACACCCCTCATCATCCCAGTCTCCTCCCACACAGTCATAACTTTCACCCTTCCAAACCCAAACACAACATCCGCACCGTAATCTAAGTCCACGCAGAATGCGACTCCAATTCCGAAATCACATCCTTCTCATCCGGTGCATCCAACGTAAAAACCCAAAGCGTCCCCGCCTTCCCAATCCACCCCCCCCATCATCAAGATCCGAAAATCAACCTCTTGAAGATAAAACTACAAAGCGCTACGTAATCCTCGACCCAACACTCCTCCAATACCACGACTTCGGCCGCGGTTTACAAAGTGAAAATTACTTCCTCGGCCCTTATACCTCCTATCCTACCTCCAAACCCTGTCTGTCCAAGATCTGCAGGGATATCAATCTCCCGCCTCCCGTCCCTTCCCTCCCATTACTTCCCTTTTCTTCCCTCCCTTCACTTCCCACCCTGTCATCCAGCTCTTCTCCTCTTCTCCCCCTCTCCAAATATAAACACAAACACAAACACAAGACTAGACCAACAATCCTAGATCTAAACCTCTACTAAACTTCCCTGGGAGAGATAGATAGTTACCCTACAGGGTTTTTTTTATACAGATAACATCTGTAATTTATCTACATTTTATCTATATTCCTAGTAGTAGTAAAATATAGTAAAATACAGATAAAATTCAAATAATATCTGTTATAAACGTATTAAAAAAGTGTAGATAATATCTATAATAGATTTATTAAAAAGTACAGATAATTTAGTATATATTAAAGGTTACTTAGACTTTTCATGTTTCGATACAAAGTTAAATACAGACCTTTTATTACTTACCTCCGGATCACTTAAGAGAGAGACCTACCTCTGGAACACTCGGGAGGGAGACCTACCTTAGGAGGGGGAGGGAGACCTACCTTGGGAGGGAGGGAGGGAGGGAGACCTACCTTTAAGGGAGAGAGTAGGAAAAAGGAAGGGAAAGAAAGGGGGGGGGGGGCGGGGGAAATAGGAGAGAGGATATTTAACTTTATTAGTTAGAAAACTCTTAAAATACAGATAATAGCTGTATTTTCCTTAAATTACAATTAATATTTGTATTTTTACTCTAAATCCTTAAAAATCAATTAGAATTAGAGAATCTAACTAAAGAAAATACAAATAATTAAGTAGAATATAAATAGAAAATCCGTTTAAAATACCTGTTTACAGATAGTATCTATAAAAAAAAACCCCTATAGGGTTAAGTAGAGATAAAAAACTGAAAAGTGGTGCGAGCATTGTGATCAGGAGGCGGTGGGGGCGGTAAATAACAAGGAGTTTAAAAGATGTAGTGCCAGTGCCAGTGCGTGTAAGGAGAAGGGTGAGGAGGTGTGGTCTTGTATGTAGTGAGGAATATCAGAATATGGGGTGGAGGGAGGTTGTATAGATTTAGTGGTGAGAGGTCGCATGTTGTGGTTGGGTTGAAGAGGGTTGGTGCTGGAGTGAGGAGTGAGGATGGGGAGACGAGGAAAGATTACGGGGTGGGGTTGGGCTTGGGCTTGGGCTTGTTTTGTATTGTCGTTGGGGAATGAATGAATGAATGAATGAAAGAATGAGAAAAATGGAACTTACTTGATGTGATGATTAAAGCGTGACTTACCTGAAGTTAAGGAGAGAATTCAGTGCATAGTTATTCGAAGGCGAATAAAATAGAAAATCGTGAGCTAATCAGAGTGCCACAAGTCAACTCTTAAAGTCACAAGACATCTGTCAAACAAATGACGAGAAAGTAGAAGTATAAATCCATTCTCCAATCAATCAATCTCAATCTCAATCTCGCCTCCTAGGTATGTGCTTCGCTCCTCCTTTCCCCTCCGGATTCCACTCACTACTCATCCACTAACTACTAACACGAATATAATACACCTATCTACTCACACCAAACCCTTCCCGTATTTCTGCCATTCCAGTTACCTGCCCATTCGTCCTCCTTCAAGAAACTCACTGTAATCCTCGACATCTCAAATGCCGTCTCAATAAACTCAATCCAACACCCTCCCCGCCACAGCAGCAGCACTCTTATCCTTCGTCTGCGTCTTTTTCAACGCCTTACCCATCTGGATCTCACCTAGCAGCGCAGCAGGTCTCCCCGCTCCAGCCGGCGGACCAGGAGCCGGCATTGGCGGAGGAGGAGGCGGACCACCTGGGGCAGCAGATCCAGGCATAGGTGGAGGCGGAGGTGGTCCACCAAAAGGTGGCATAGGAGGCGGGGGAGGAGCACCACCAGTTGGCATAGGCGGTGGAGGAGGAGGAGAGGAGACAGCGTCGCGAGCTGGAGCTGGACTGGTGGGAGTTGATCCAGCGCCTCCAGCGGCGGAGAGTGGGCGGGGAGGACCCATAGTGCCGAAGAGGATGGAGGCGAGGTGGCGGGCGTTACCTGCTCCGGGGCCTTCATCGTCCGATGAGTCGTCTTCTTTGTCGGAGCCGACGACGGACCATTCGTCTTCTTCGGGGCGGACGCGGGAGCGTGAGCCGGTTGGTTGGGTGACGATCGGTTCTGGGGCTTTGGGAGTGTCTTGAGCTGGGAGGCGGTGGAAGGGATTATTGGATTGGCCTGATGGAGAAGCTCCATCTGGTCCAGTTTGGGCGAGCTTCTTCAAGAAAGGATTCTTGGTCTCGGCATCGGATGGAGGGCTAGCGACAGGAGGAAGGGCAGTTGCTGTCGCTGCGGCAGGTACTGGAGATACAACCGTTGGGATCGGTGGTTGTGGGGGCGGAGAAATAGCCTTTCTCTCGAATTCCTGGCTACCCTGGGTAGGAGTCGACGCTTGGGGTGTTGCTTGATCAGGTCCCTCATCATCAGACGAGTCATCACTGTCATCCATAGCTTCCAATTGACGTTGCAACTCTCTCTCACGAGCTTGTGCAGCTTCAATCTCGGCTCGCTGTGCCGCCAAACGAGCCTCCTTGTCCTTGGCCTCGGCTTGGGCAGCCTTTCTTCTGCGCTTCTCTTCATCCTTCTTGATCTTGCCAGCTTTAACTTGGTCTTCAAGAGCTTTCAATCGTGCAGCAGCAGCTTCTTTCTCTTTCGCAAGCTCGTTCTCTTGACGCATAGCATCGTCCCTACTTAAATTAGCATACTTCTATACCGCAAGTATTTAAGACTTACTCGAGCTCTTGAGTAGCAATGATCTGTGCCTTCTGCTCTTCCAAAACCCTCTGCTCATCCTCGGCTTTACGCTCACTAGCATCGCTCTTCGCTGCCTTTCGCGATGGTGGTGGCGGTGGCTTCTTCGCAACAGGAGCTGCAGCTGGTTCTGGTGGAGGAATACCTTGCTCCTCATTAATTCTCGCTTGTCGTTCGGCCTCTCGCTTGGCATCTTCTTCTTCTGCCTTTCTGAGCTTGGCAGCTCTCTCACCCTTCTCGCGTTCCATTCGTTGAGCAGAGGTTTCGCCAGGCTTCGAGGGGGCTTTGATACCGAGGGCAGCAAGGCGCTCAGCCATACGCTGCTCAGCCTGTGCCTTGATATACGCAGCACGGTCCTCTGGAGTCTTGTATTGTGAATAAGTTCCACCAGACGCTGGTGCAGGTGCTGCAGCAGGAGCAGCTTTGGATTGGACGGGAGAAGTGGCAGCTGGATTTTCATATCGTGATGAGGATTCCGAACGTGAAGTGTCCCTCGTGTTGCGGCCCCGATCGTCGGTGCGAACTCTGGCAGACTTGCTTGATCTCTGCAAATCAAAAATGAAATCCTTGACTTCATCCTCAACACCAAGTCCATCTTCCCATCTCCGCTTCTCATGCTCGCTAGTTGAATCTTGTGCCCCCTCCTTAAGGCTGTCTTGAAGACCTTGAGAAAAGTCACGCACACTCTCCTCAACATCCCGGACCATGCGCTCGTTATTCTCCTTCTCGTTCTTGATCTTGATATTCTCCTCTTCCAAACGCTTCGGGGCTTCAAAGTCCTCATTGCTAGACTCGACCTTTCGTCCAGTCAAAGCAGCGGAACGTTGCTGCATCATAGCTTTGGCACGAGCCTTGAGGCGGTCCGATTCCGTGACGGATCCACCAGGTCCAGTTCCAACAATAGAGGATGCACTTCCGGGATGAGCCTTGGCATCGCGAAGACGGAAGAGTTCGAGCTTCGCTTCAGCAATGCTTCGTTCCGTCTTGCGGACATTAGAAGCGATTTCCGGAAGCTTGTCAGTCAGTCCCTGGAGTTGTCGCTTCAAAATACGGCGCTCGGCTCCAGAATCAACATTGCGCAGGGATGCATCAGGATGAGAATCAATATCCTCTTGAATACGTCGAATACGGCGATAAAGATCATCTGCCTCGCGGCGATCTCGTCTATCGAGCGCATCGTCCTCATCGGCCGCATTCTCGTCCTTGAAGTCGATGGCATCAAGCAGAACTTGCTTCTCGCGGATCTTCTTCTTCAGTTGTTCCAGCGAAAGATCGTCATTGGAAGTTGACGATGCAGGTGATGATGGACGAGGAGAACCATTGCCCAATCTCCGACGAGCACTGGATTTATATCCAACATCATCATCGTTGTTCTTGAAAACGGTAGCATCCTTTCGTCCACCGCTAAAGCCAGAAACACCTCCACGGAAAGAGTGATTCTTCAAGTAGCTGACACCAGTCTTCTGGGGCAACAGACTCGCTCCAGAGTGCTTACGGAAATCAGACTCTTGAGAAAGAAGTGATTTGACTTGTCCGATGGAATCATTGAAGTTTCTGGTGGAAGGTGGGACAAGCTCGGGAGGCAGCTGAGCAGGCAATGGGTATCCGTTAAGCTTACGATAAATCAAATGCATAGCAACTGCGAATTCGTCCATGTTGAGACGGCCCTTGTTGCCGTGATCTGCAAGAGTCCAAACTCTCTCCATATCTTGCTTTTCAAGCCCACTCTGCCCGAAGACTTCGATGGCTACATCACCACCGATGAAGCCCTTATTGAAGCCATCCCAAGCCTTGAAAACAGAATCGTATCTGGTTTTCTCGTCTTTGGTCACTGCCCATGGAATGACGGCATTTCCTTGCAGCCCAGAAGTAGTGAAAGAGCCCTGCTCTCGACCTTGTTGGGGCATCATGCGGGATTGAAGTAGGTCAATATTAGGTAGTCCACTTGCTGGAGCATTGACCAGGCCCCACTGTCCTGGACGTCCAGTAGGTTGGCTATTCAAAGGAGCGACCATTCCGCCCATGCCAGTCTGAGCAGGTGAAAGACCTTGACCTTGACCATATCCAGTTGGCATTGGTGGCATTGGAGGACGGGGCCCAGAATAGCCAGTGACAGATGGGTTCGACAAATTCTGGAATCCAGTCTGATTTGCCTGCATACCCTGGTTCTGACCGAAACCTGTCTGCATGGGCTGTTGGAACCCACCTTGTTGTTGCCCGAATCCTCCGCTGGAGAAATTGTTCTGCTGGGTTGGGAACCCGGTCATTTGTGCCGTCAAAAGAGCAGAATTCGAAGGAGTTGGCTGCGGTTGATGGATAGTTGGAGATGCCGCATTTTGTCTGCCAGTGAAATCAGGAGCATTCGTTCTGGATGGCAGCTCTGGTGCATCATCCACCACCCCAAAGTTAATAATATCAACCATGCTAGAAACCTCGTTCTTAATATTATCCGGAAGTGTAGAAGGCAATGCCTTTCCTACAAGCTTCAAGTTGCAGAGGTACATAGCAAGAGCGAATTCGGGGAAATGTAGCTGCCCAGAGCGAGTAGTGTCGGCAAGAGTCCTTTATCCAACATCAGCACATTTCCTGTCCGCAGATTCCCAAACACAGAAATAAACCTACCAGATCTGTGATAATGCATTTCCATCTAGCTTCGACCGCATAAGCAAGTCCCTCGACTTATCTCCGGACAAGGTCTGCTCATCCCCAGCCGCAGACTTGAACAAAGTCTCAAACTTCGCCTGATCCTGCGCCGTAATGAACGACAGCCGTATATTCGGGATCTTCGAACCCTTCGACTTTGATGCCCGGCGTCCTCTCGCGGGAGCTGCGGGGGCAGGGCTCGATCTGAAGCTATCGGCCATCTGAGCAAAGCCCGTAGGCTGGGGCTTCTGAGCCGGAGCTGCAGGCGGTTGCTGCTGAGCTTGACTTTGGTACTGCTGAGGAATCTGGGGCATCGGTGGAGCGCCGGTCTGGAAGCTTTGTTGCTGTTGTGGTTGAGCATTGTTGAATTGCTGTTGCTGGCCTGGGAATCCGGTTTGCTGCTGTTGCATCTGCTGGGGTTGTTGGAAGCCAGTCTGCTGCGGCTGCATAGGATATACGGTGTAATTTGGCTGCAGAGGAGCTTGTTGGCCAAAGCCGGTGGGATTGGGATTCATGAAGCCCTGCTGCTGAGGTTGTTGCTGGCTTTGCTGATTTGGGAATGAGTTGAACTGCTGGGGCCCGCCTGGGCGACCACTCTGGCCCCCCAGGTAGGAGTTCGATCCTGAAAACATGGTAGGTGTTTACAGGATACGAGCGAAAAGGAAAAGTGGTATGGTAATTATGGTATTGTCGAAGGTTCGAGGTCGCTGTCCGTGATTGTCTGCCTCGATTACACACGCGTGGCTGAGGCGGCTGGCGGCAAGATTGGCGGCGGCATGACGAAGCTTTGTCCTCCTTGTAAGAGCTCTGCCAATGGAAGCAATGGACAAATTAGACACCAACCATGAGTGATTGTATCTATTTCCAGCAATCTGGCTTCAATAATTATTTCGAAGAGCTATAGCCGAGTTCACGTTTATTGACATTCTTGAGTTGGTTAAGGATTTATTCGTAAACTTTTCATCCACACAGCCACAGCTACAATCCGCGTATTGCCTATGCCCACCTCTTGCAGCCTCACAGCACGGAACACTTGCAAGACTCTATCTATGATGCACAATGCGCCTACTAGTACTAGATACAAAGCCATATCTATTTATTCATTCCAGTTCCCTTTCCCATTCCCATTCATTTCCCTTTCCATTTTCAATTCGTTGCCATTACCAGCCTTACGGCTGCTCTGCACAGTTGCAAGTCCCGATCAAAGTCAATTGATTCAGCTAACAGTCTTCTCCGAGACATTTTTGGGGAAGAGAGCCTTGCCAGCCGCCTTTGCAGCATTGAGAGCTCCAAAGAGGGAGAACTGGGTGTTGACGCCGTCGATGCGGTGGGTGGAGTTGATGTTCTTGACCAGGGTCATTTGGTAGCAGGTGGCTCCTCCTTGACGGGAGGTGATGACGGAGTACGCAAGGAAGAACTCCCAAATCTAAGAACTGTTAGCGACACTCACTTCACGGGCTTCTGAAAAGACTTACTCTGTACCATCTGTTACCATACTTGGCCTTGACCTTATCCTGGTTGGCGAGCCAGTTTCTGTACCATCTCCAGAGAGTGGCAGAGTAGTGGACTCCGATGGTATCGATAGTCTTGACTTCCCATCCAGCACTCTCGACAGCGCTGATGTAGTTGTTGAGAGGGCAGGAAGCATCAGCACCAGGGAAGATATACTTGTTCATGAAAAGACCCCAGACGAGATCCTCGTACTGCCAGCTTTTTCTCAATCCGGCGACTTGGAGGAAGAAGATTCCGTCGTCATCCATCATATCATTACATTGTTGGAGGAAGGGAGTAAGATGTCTCATCCCAACGTGCTCGGCCATCTCGAGACAGGTGATCTTCTGGTATTTGCCTTCTGGGACTGGGATGTCACGGTAATCCATGCAAAGAATCCTGCTCTGCTCTTCAGAGATACCAGCCTTGCGAAGTCCGTTATTACCCCAAGCAGTTTGGTTGCGTCCGAGAGTGATTCCAGTAGCCTTTGCGCCGTAGTTGACACTGGCGAATTTGGCAAGAGTTCCCCATCCACAGCCAATATCCAGAAGTGTCTCGCCCTCCTTGAGATCAATCTTCTCGCAGACAATAGCAAGCTTGTTATCCTGGAGTTGCTCGAGAGACTCCTCCTTATTGATATCAGAGATCACACCAGATGTGTAGACCATACGTGGGCCAAGGAACCATCCGTAAAAGTCATCACCTCGGTCGTAGTGGTCTCGGACTTGCTCCTCATCTGACAGGGATATGTTAGAGGATTGGAATAAAGATGATCGAGCGACGTACCTTGAGATCTGGTGTGCATGATGACTTCCGGCGCAAAAACAAAAAACACATGCTTGAACAAACCCAGAGTAAATCTGAAGCTAGCCCAGTCATGTCTGTATTCCATAACCTCCAAACAATCTCCATTGAAGTCAACTTCTCCATCAAAATACATAGAATAGAAGGTCTCCATTGGGATCTTGTTGCTTCCATGGTACTTGGCCTTGTCGGCAGGGTTCTTGAAGGTAAGATAGTGCTCGACTGGACGACCTGGGAATCTGGCCTTCTCATTCTTACGAGGGCTGAATGATGATGCCAGGTACCAGAAGCTGATCAGGATTGGGACTGTGGTGAAGAGGCCGAAGAATATGGAGGTCTTCAACCCGCCGCCAATCTTCCAAGACATATATGTTGGAGTACCAAAGACGAGTCCAAAAAGGAGGAGGTTCGAAAAGCTGGTGTTGCCAGCGGCATCTGCTGGGAGAGGGGCATTTTTAATAGAAGGGTACTGCGAGATGTCAGTTGAGGCTGCTCAATTGCTAGTTGAATGATGAAAAGTTGTTGAGGGAGAGAAGCGAGAAGGTAGAGGGGCAGATGCATTCCCGTACAGCATATGCTGGTGGTTTGTATGTATCTGATACAGGAATGCATCTGCCATCCTTTGTAGAGCATCAGTTATCTGGCACTCACAGAAGTAGTCTTCACACCACATTCCTCGAATTTCTCAAATGTTGGTGTGGGCGCCTTTGGGGTCTCGATGAATTCGAACTCGCTCTCGGAGCCATTGACGCTCTGCGCATTGGAAGCCATAATAGCGGATTCCTCGATTGAACTGTACTCGACAGCTTGACACTGTCGATATATATCAATTCCAACGTTGGATGGGGAGAGTCGTGTCTTTCTATAGAAATGTGGTTCAGGTTTGGGCACCAGCACAAGCCTCTCATCGGCTCGGATTGGCTGGCAGCTTGGGCGGTGAGGCGGACTTGGCTTTGGCAATTGCGGGTCGCGCGCACTTTCGCTCCCAATACGTGCTAGTGGCATCCATCTTAGCTTTTCAGCCTTTTCCCCTGCATTGGCCCTTGCTTGGATGTCTCAGGGGGTTCGTTCTTTTGTTGACTTCCATCTCTTGCACGACCACTGAGAATCCGAGTACTGGCGCTGGCGATATCAAGATGCTCCTAACGACAGACGAGGGCTGCCGGGACAATTCAAATGGCTTGGCCCCAGTCCAAGAAAGAGCGTTCATTGTTCTGATTTTGCAACTTGCATGGCTTTCTGGTCGTCGATCATCATCGAAATTCTCTCTCGGTATGGAATGCTACTGGATTCCCATCTACATCTGGTCTGCAAAGTCGCACCACAATGGGGATGAAAAGTTTGATGTTCTTGATTGTATTTTGGGGTCGACATAGTTTTCTATGGTTGTTTTGTGCTCGTCCCAGCAATATTTTTGCATTTTCTATCTTCCTCATTTTATTGCCGAAACACTCCATCCAACCTCTTGGACCGCCAAGGATATTTTGACAGTGTCTCTCGATAAACGATTAGCAAGTTACGGTTTCTCATTTTACCGATGTCATGTAATAAGTATGTTTCATTGCTTGATTCAGAGTAGTCAATTTTGATATTCCCAGCATCCCGGACGGAAAGAATCATCTCACATCACCAAGTAATCCTCTTCGTCCTCCTCCTCATCTCCTCACTATCCTCGCTCACCCTCTGCAAACATACCAACTCTGCCCTCTTCGCTCCCAGCTCTGCACCACTCCACTTTACTCCTTTAATCCTCGCCCAAGTAGGCACATGTCCATCCACGATAAACTCCTCCTCAACCTGCATTGCCCACTGCAGAACTTTCCCGGCAAAAACACTATCCCAGATTCCCTCTCGCCGCGGATGATCCAGCAGAAAAGTAATCGCTTCTCTCCGGATCGTCGGCTCGCGACACTTCAGCCCTACAACCCACAGTGGCACGATAACTCGAGTATCGAAGCAGAAGTTCGAAGGCCGGGTTTTGCTTGTTGCAGGCATCTCTCGCATGACTGCTTTAGCGAGGAAAACAACCCGTTTATAGACGGGATTGTATTGATCGTGGATCGACTCGTCGATTGAAAGATGGGTCGAGAGACCGATATAACCAATGGCCATGGACAGCTGGATGAAGAGCGCATAATGTTTCTGCGGGCCTTCAGCAACCTTCTCCAGGACAGGTGCAAACGCTTTGTTGAAGCGCCACACATCGGACTGGATCTCCTCCTGCTCTTTCATCGCCCACCGCCAGATATCAGATTCCTCCTCGACGTCCGGCCCAAGATACGCGGAATGGGTGGTGATGAGATAAACGCCCCGCCGAATGATACCATTATAGTATTTCCCGGCCTCAAATATATCTTCAAAGGTATCGGGCATCGATCTCGTGAATCTCGGGCCCTCCATACCGAGCACAGCATGCAAACCTGGCGAATGTCCGTCGGCGAAGAACGAGTGCTGAACAGCCAGCCTGCAGAAAATCTGCACAAGATCATCTTCAACGACATAAGGCGCCGGCGAAAGCTTGGTATACTTCTCCTCATCGTCCCTATAATTTTCCTTCCACTCCTGGATGAGTCGAATACCAGCATGTACCTGCTTCACAGCCAAATCCATATTTCCTGTCCAGCTCTCGAAAGCCAAGATAAGCAAGCAGGTTAAGAGCATAGTCCGCAAATCAAGTTTCTTCTCCGCGGCGTCAGCAGCCATGTACTTGACGGCTTTCACATATTGCTTGAGTGCATTTTGATGGTGCTCATTTGCAGCTGCATCGCGCTCTACAGGCGTCAGGCTCATCTTATCGAAACAGCTCACCATCTCCGCTGTTCGATCCAGCGCACCAAGTGCAACGATGGCATGACGAATCGCAGGGTTGAAATGGCAGGATTCCAAAAGTCGCTGTCTCGTGCATCCAGAATCAAAAGTTGGGAAGATATCGTAGCCTGTCCGGACACAGAAGAGTTCGAAGTACTGGTGCTCCTCGATATTAGCGAAAGGAGAATTGGCAAGGGCGCCCATTGAAGGCATAGCCATGCCCGACCTCATGGATGTTTTGATCTGTGCTGTATTCGGCAGGATGTCACGTTTCTGAGCGGTCTTTAGCTCGAAGATCTTGGGAGGTGGGCGATACCCATCGCATTCAACGCCGAATCTGATGCAGCGGTTGCAAGAGGGTTTGCCTTCATCGCATTTCACTCTTCGCTTCCTGAAAGGGGAAGTTGTTCAGCATATTCGATTTAAGAGAATCAATTCAGTGTCCTGGCTAGGGGCTCTGGGACATGGGATATCGAGTCCTCCTTACCTGCACGTTCCACAGCCTGTCCTAACTTTCGGTGCAGCCTTCCGCACTCGTGGGTTTTGCGCAGCTGAACCCATCGTGAATCAAGTCTCATCGGCTTCAATCAACACCCCACAGTGTCAAGGTCCCAATGTTACCTTAATCTCAAGTGCCGGTATCGAAAGCCTCTGCCGTCAGCACCGGCAGATAAAACATACGAATTTTGAAGAATCAAGCTTTACAGTGTGTGCCCGACTCGAAGTGCAATTGGGACATATTTATCGTTGTGTTTGGGTAACTACTTTGGCTTGCAGTAAGCCCTGCTGCATGGGTGACATCCAGCCAGTGAGATGATGGAAGGTTGGCCAATCAGAGGACGAAGATTGGGAGAAGGAATTCGGTGTTTCCGACCGAGTTTTTGCCGTTCGCTTACTCCTCCAGGCTTTCATCTACAACCTCAACCTCGATGTCACCAGGCCGGCCACGTTACACAATAAACATCCTCTAGCGGTGCCTCAAGATTCGTCTTTTCATGTAACGTCAAAGTTCCTGTCCGTTCCACCTTTGCTAGACCTTTCCCTCTTCCGAGACTAAGCACGGATATCAGGCTCCCAGCCTGATATTTGCAGCCGGAATTGTGTACATGTGTTGAAAGCCTGCCGTCTCGGTATCTGCACATATCATGCAGAGAAAACCTATCTCATCGTCTTAAATATGAGTAATCCAACCGAACAATATGTGTACCAACCAATCCAAGACAACGACGGAATCCGGCTGATTCAGCTCAAACCGTCCATATCAAGGGACTCAATTATCAGTTGCGAGCTTATTCACACAAGGCTACGCACCGTCAAACAAGATATCCTCGAGCACTACACAGCTTTATCATACGTCTGGGGTGATGCAACTCAAACAACTGTGATCATGGTTGGGGAGCAGACTCTAGAGATCACCAAAAGTCTTGACTCGGCATTGAGACATCTGAGAGATGAAACGAGGGTGTTGAATCTTTGGGCTGATGGAGTGTGTATCAATCAAAACGACGATGAGGGAGAGAAAGGAAGACAAGTCCAGCAAATGGGGAAGGTGTACGAGACAGCGGATCATACTGTCATATTCTTGGGCGAGTGTGATTCAAGTACCGAAGAGACGTTATCTGGAGTCGTGGCTCAGCTTGAAGAGAATCCCCAGGATTCTGGTACAGAGCTTGATCAGAACGGTAAATTCGTCACAAGTTTTCTTCTCAAACGTCCCTGGTTCACGAGAGTTTGGGTTTATCAGGAGCTTGTTATGTCTCGTGATCCTATGGTTCAATGTGGCCGAGTCCGATTCTCATGGATGTTATTCCGCGATTTTATTACTCGGTGGTACAGTGAACCTCCACGACATAATATGTTGAGAACTTTGCAGGTCTCTCCAGGGCACATCGTGCAACAAATGGACCAATCCCGATGGGCATTTCTGGCTGCCCACGTGATACCAATAGACGCCGCTACGCAGCAAGTAGTTGACGTTCAGTCGAAGTCGGCTAATCCAACATACTTAACAAAGGAGAAACGTACCGGGTACTTGAACCTTTTGGAGACCCTGGTTTCCAGGCGAGGTTTTGGTGCCTCCGACGCTCGAGACTTAGTGTTCAGCATTATTGGATTCTCAAGGCACATTGACATACGCGCTGACTACGGGCTCACGGCGGCCCAAGTCTACCAAAATTTCGCTTGGAACATCATGGGTCTGTTTGGGAGCTTGGAAATTCTCAGCTATGTTGAGGATATCGATTTGTCCCAGCGTAGGCCAGGTCTAGCTTCATGGGCACCTGACTGGACTATTGTTCAACATCCTGTTCGACGCATCCGAATTATGTCGAAGCCCAATGACTACGTGTCTGACACAAAAGAATCGAGCTCAACAGAAACTGAGGATGCGACTCGTGCGTATCATACAATCAGATCCCTCACCAAATGCAACAAACTCTGTTGCAAAGCATATCGTATATCCAAAATTAAACAAATCAGCGCCATCATCGATAACCTCAGCACGGAAGGAGACTCATCGGTGGATTCTCTACTTCGTCCCATTAATAATCAATCTGGAAACTCATACTCGGAATCAAAGAGGCCATGGGATACAGTGTACTACAATTGGTGGCGAAGATGGCTGGGATCGGACGAATCTATCTTGCCGATTGAAAGAGTCACAACCACTATGAAGGACAATACGGGTCTTCCAGTCGCTGGGCAACCAACAGAACAATATCTGGTCGAAAGGCTTCAACACCCATCCCGCCTAAGCATTCTTGATGGGAGGAGATTAGCGCGTTTAGATACCGATCAGCTCGCTGTGATACCATCTTCGGCGAAGGTAGGAGACCACGTTTACCTTATTCAAGGCTGTCCAGTTCCATTTGTTCTACGGCGAAAGCAGCGTGCTCAAGAAGATACCACAGCACTTGATGCAGAAGTAAGCGAAGTTAGGAGGGAAATGACATCAACTTCAGGCTGGGTGCGGCCTCGTGTTGTTCATACTACTCTCATCGGAGAGTGTTATGTGGATGTCTGGATGACTGAGCCCTACATGGATGACCCTTGGCGTATCGCATCTCCTGTGGTATATGATAAGCTACTCGTAATCAGTTGAGTTTAATGAACCCAGTCATGGGGCATCACATGTCTCAAACAACAGAGTGTCGACCAGCTTCCTTGCTGTCAATTTGGTTTATTTTCCAGTCTATCAAAATGTCTATCAAGGATCCCAACAAATTCCTCCCCGGGTGGAAGAAGCACGCCGTCTAGCCATACGCCAAAAGTCCCATGACACCCTCTACCCAAAATGCAAATCCCAATCTGTTAACCGCTCCAGTACATCAAGTGACTCTATGTGCGAGCACCTTGAGCACCGTTGGCCTTGCAGTAATCAGTGATCTATGTCCGAAAAGTCAGTTATATCTTCTTTATCCAAATTGCGCGCTGGGATATTCTTACCTCATTGCCTCCAATGCTTCCGGCTGCAGAGTTGCAGAATGGGATTTCGTTGGCGGTAGTCTGCGATTCTGATCAGCAATGTTTGTGGGGAGTGGATTTGATTGGTGGTGTTAAGCATACCATTTTGCAGTCAGCGCAAGTCTCCCAGAAATCTAAGCCGGTTTGGCCTTGGTTGCGGAGAAGGTAGTCGTTGCAGGATTTCTCGGTTGCGGCTGCGTTGTAGACGAACTAGAACGTGTTAGCAAGCACTTGATTGTAAGGTTGTTAAGCGGGAGAGAAACTCACTCCTCCTTCGGCATCATCAACACAGATGGCATTGAAATGGGTATCAGCGATGACACTAGAATTGATGTCAGTACTGAAAGCGAATAAGCATTAAAGGGGGGTTGGCTTACCCGGCGGCGAAGGCAGCAGCGACGAGGAAAGTTGAGAATTGCATTTTGAAAGTGTAAATGAATGTGTTAAACGACTGTAACGAGTGTAAGTTGATTGTGAAGTTGGAAAGGTATTAAAGAGTGTGGTTGAGATGGGTGAAGAGCACTTAGTCGGGGAACGCGTTCAGCCTTATATTATTTCAACATGCACGTCAGAATACATCTACACTCGCATTTCGGGGCCGCCGATAACTATTCGCCGAAGCAGGATGGAAACCTGAAACTCTGCATAGCAACAATTGATTAATTGTCTTGTCCCAAGGATTCCCCTCAGCGTTCTCGGAAGTGTCAAAGCAAACATGGCTAGCCGCCCGCTGTCAACCTGAAGCAAGGGATCACCAAGTGCAAAGTTTACTAGCGAGGACTCAGCCTCTTCATATTCTCCGCAAATAGCTACTTCTTCACAAACTCATCTTAAAGATGCTATTCTAGATATGCATATCTGGTGCTAACCTATTCGGCTATGTTTTGAAACGTAAGCGAGAGTTTATTTTCTCCTGAGAGCTTGTCCCGACTACATGCCGACTTCGACCCGTGAGTGCCGATAGGATTAACACCTCCTTTTCAAGGATATGCGTTTCATGCCTTATGAATCGACTCATGCAAAGACTTAGCGATCCTGAACATGACCTGATATGACAATATTTGTGGAGATGGGGTGAACTTTGTCAAGGTGTTTTGATGACGACTTTACCGAAAAGGACGGGGGAGCACGGTCCATTCAGCCCTTTGACCATACCCCGTTGTCTCTGCATGAATCTTCACCTTGCTAGCCCCTCGTTTCAACAGCCAGATCTCGTAGAGATTGTGGAGTTGTAAGCTTGGGGTGGCTTCATAGCGCATAACTTGTGTTTCTGGAAGTTTACCAATGAGGCAACTTGTGGCTCTGTTCACCCTCAGGCCAACCCACAAATCATCAAACAGCAACGCATAGATCACTTTCTGCGCCGGAAGTTCATCCGAAAACTCTCGACCGAGTTTCTTGTAGATTTGATCGCCTTGGTAGGACTTGACTTCCTCGTTTCGATGACCCGGGCCTTCGGTCGTGGCTGCTGTCCGGCGTGTCCGACCACGCCACTCATCACTTCGCCAAGTCCATCCTGCTCAATTGAGATGTTCTATGATCCTACCGGGTACAGCCATGATAGCCATAGTCGATAGTATATAGTGAGGCGGTATTCCGACTTCTCAACTCTTCATCTCAGCATCTCGCCTCAAGATCCTAATCACCACCACACTCATTCTTTCTTTTCAGAATTCCACACTCATTACTTGAGCAGTCACTCACTTCAATCTTTCTTCATCATTCAATATGTTCTCTTCCAGCATTCTCTCCCTCGTCATGGCCGCTGGCCTCGCTTCCGCAGCAGTCGTTCCCCGGACTCTCAACCCAGATGAGATCATCGTCTATGGAGAGGGCCGCGTCGAAATCATGAACAAGACCGCCTGGGAGTCCCTCCAAAACGGCGCCATGATTGGCAGACCAGCAGCCATCCACCCAGATCTCGTCTCCGGCACCGGGCCAGTCAACTCCACTGCTTCAACCCTCAACAAGCGTTGCGACAGCATCACAGTCTTCACACCCAACCCAGTCCAAACTTTCCTCGACTGGGACGTCCTCATGTCCTCCGTCATCCACGCCACAGGAGATTCAGCTACCGTCTCCGTCACTGAAGGCTATTCCATCTCCAACTCCGTTTCCGTCACCGCTGGTCTCTCGGCTGCTATCCCAGAGACCTTCCTCACAGCTTCCTTCGGAATCAGCTACTCAGAGACTTGGTCGTCTACCTACTCTGCTGCGTACACCTTCGGCGTTCCCGATGGAAAGTACGGAGCTGTTGTCAGCAACCCATGGACTACAAGACACAGCGGCTTCGTTGACTCTGGCTGCGTCGGCTCTGCTAGCCGTGCTTTCTACCAGGCAGACTCATACACCAGCAAGGCTTCCGGTGGACTCTCTTGGGTCGATGGAACGATCAGTCTTTGCACTGGTGATGAGTTCCCTCTCAAGAGATGCTTGGGTGAGGGAACCTTGTAGAGGGGTCTAGATGGATGGACGGTTGTTTGCTTTTTCTCTTTTGTGCATGGTTTCCGGGAGTTTGGGGAGAACGGATAGACTGGTGGAGTATATAGACATGGCCAACAGGCTCAATTAGGATCAATAACACATTCAGTGTTTGTTCAAACTTCTTTTCATGACTATGACACTTGTGATTTTTCCAGTTTTAGTCCCTGTCAATTTCTCCAAATCACACAATCTATATACACGAGCTCTTTTTTCAACACTTCCAGCTTCCACACATCCACTAATTATGAAGCATCAAAACATTCCTCGCATCCTTTGTGATTACACTTCCTACAAATCTCGCTCGGATCGTTCATTATGTCTTTGAGTTCGAAGCACTAGTTAGTTACATTAGCGACGCTCTCGTATTTGGAAATAAACTCCACATTACATTGCAGCAAATCCAATTGCACTGAACAATTTTTGGTGCGACGGGCTCCGTATCGATGCACTGAGCACAACTTGGATGTTTGCAGGCCGAACATGACTCATTATTGCGAAAGTATTTGGCCGTACCATTGAACTTGTCGCACTAACACAGAGATCAACTCTTATCATTTTTTCAATAGACAGACGGTACTTACTTTGCAACAAACCCAAACGTACGGGAATTCGTCTGATGATTTCTCAGCGGTACCCATTCCACTCGGTGCCTCGGAGAAGCTATCAAAATTCACGGGGCGTGTTAACATTATCCTCGTCAGAAGGTGGATCGCAAACATAATTAAATAAGGAATGTCGGTTCAAAGAAATCGGCTCAGTCCCCAACTGTGAATCACTTCTTTGTGAGGTGGTCGGCTTTGTTTGGGTGGCTCATTCGCAGACTCGCTTAAGCGAGGGCCAGCCACAGTCACGAAAGGGGCGAAGCAAGGCTGAATTAGACTGAGTCAACATGATGAGGTACCATCATTCTCATGTGTATTCAAAAGAAATATTCTTCATTGGGCCACCGAATCTTCTTCTCATCATCGTACAGCCCTATGTTGCCCTTGTGATTCCAGTCAAATGATTGTACCATCGCTAAGCGAACATCTTCTGCGCCATCCGCCTGCCCTGAGTTCTCGAAGCTGACTTGGCATCTGTCGCATTTCTTATGGTTACACGGATAACCGTCTATTTGTATTGACATGCTGATTATGAGTGCTATTGGTGTGACTGCACTGCATTTCGTCAGCCAAAAAAATGTTGGGATTCTTGGGACGCTGGAGGCGGCACTTACTTGGCAGCATTGCCAACTGATAGGCTTGACGACTATCTTTGATAGAATTCTCGACTTTAAATCTTTGATCTTGGACATGTTTGGGAGAATTTGTGTGTTGTACTTCTGCCTGTCTTGTGGAGATATTGTGAAGGATGGGATGTGTAACTAGTGTATGTTGATTGGAGTCGTGAACTGCGAAAATTTCGAAATGATAGAAATACGTAGACTAGAAGTTTTAAGAACCTCGGTGAATAACTGCATCTCGATTAAATGCATGTCCAAGATATCATTGTCACCAAAAACCACGTCAATGCAGGGCTAATCAACTATTCACTCCGCCTTCGTCTCCGCTTTATTCCTAGAAATAGAGCACTAATCTGGGTATTCAACAATCAAACTGAAATACTAAGAATAGAAAAGCTGTTTGTTCCATTTTCTAGGAGCAGGTTTTAAAAACCAGTTTGTAAAGAAGCTCAATATTAGTCATTCCCGTCGATCGGGCTTGTGATCTCCGGAACCTCTACTGTAAGCATAGAACCTGTGATAAGTCGTGACCTTGACCACATTCGCTTACGAGGCATTATTAACTTTTCGGTTGCGACAATCAAATAATCCGATTTTACATGACTCAAACAATTGTTTATATCTTGTGAGGGGTAAATAATGCGGGGTAAAATGTGTTGCACAGGATGCTGTGGGGCATCCCCAGTCCCAAGCCCCACATGTTCTCCAATGTTCTGTCCTACAAGAAGGCCGTGCTGTGTAACAAGGGAAAACTTCATGAATTCTCCCTCGGTCAGTCTGTCGGGTTTTAGACAATCTAACACATGCGAGATACGGCAACTAAAGTCCGACTTAGAGATGGCGGAACTCACCCTCGAAGGACCTGGGATCATCTATGTGACCTCCAAAATAGTTTGCACCGATGTACTGGACGATAAAACATACCTGAAATGGTACGAAGAGGACCACATCCCAGATATCCTCGAAAAGACACCGATCAACTCCGCATTCCGTTTCAGCAATGTCAAACCTGACGCCGAGAGACCCTACTTGTTGGTGTACCCGATGGAGAATCTGGCAGATATTCATGGGGAAGGCTTCAAGCAGCTCAGACTCTATAGCGATTTCATGCCGAATAAAGGAGCTCCGTATGATTTTGCGGATCTGGACTTCAGGGAATATAAATTGATTCAGAAATATGATCCACGTGGAACAGCTGGAGGTAAGGAGCTTAACAGCCGGTCGCCTGAAGGCACTCCCACTAACAGAACTGCAGAGAAAGTGAAGTTCATAGCTACTGGAGGGTTTGAGTTGGGCTTATCATTGAAAGAAGAACATCTACATGATTGGTATAATCAAGAAGTGAGTGCTGGCGTACACCCTATCACTCGCCGCTTGCTCTGATAAAATGCTTACAAACTCAAGCATCTCGAACGTCTCTCAACAGTCCCTGGATATCTCCGTACAACGAGGTACAGACTTATGCACCACTCAACAAATGAAGACACCAGGGTAATGTTTGGCCTCACTTCCAAGGACGATCTTGTAATACAGGAGAGAGATGAGCCTCCAACCTGGCATGCGATCCATGAATTTGATGAGAATTTCGACATGAATGCGTTGAGAGAAACTATCGATACTGAATGGACGAAGAAAATATTCAGTGATACGACGAAGCAGGAATATAATGTTTACAGACATGAGAAAAGTTATGGAGACGGGGAGTTCTTTCGCTGAGAGTTTCTTGGAAGGCGAGAGGCTGACAAATGAGCGACAGAAAGATATGTAGAAAGATCATAAAAAACAAATAAAAACAAAGGTTTCTCTCCTTGCGCGCCTTGGGCCCTTGAGGAGATTTCGTGAATTTCGAGGACTCGGGCTGTAGTCTCTCAATTAGGACAATATTGGTTTAAAACTATCATTTCAGGAGCATGATGAATCCATAAGTAGCGTTGCGTCTCGATTTCGCGTTATGTCAAGCTCTCGCCAAGTCGGGGTTTTACAAAGCTTGCCGAACTCCTCTTTCACTCCACCGAGCTCCATTCCCAAATGAGTTGACAGCATTGTCTGGTGGACGAAATGACGTTATTCCAACTGGAACGTGATATCGGCAGTGTCGATCCGTGTAGTCACACAACGTTGCTCTGCAGGTATGGAGCCCTGCAGGTCAGAAATTCCGAAGTTTACGTCAAGTCATCTGATTTCCGCTTGCTACCTAGCATTTCGGGCCTTTCCTGCGAGTCTGCATCAGACAGCTCCGTTACACGTACAGAACTAAACGAATAGGGCGCTCATAATGAGGGGTAGCGGGGTTAGCGTCTTGTCATTGACATTACCTTGCCGCAAGAGTGTATATTTTGCGGACTCAAGCGCACCAGTTGATGAGAATATTCTGACTGTCGTGCGATCTGCAGAGGATTATCACGTTCCTGCAGGAAGGAGAAAGTATATAGCGTAAGACGTACAGACATCAAACTAAATCTTCTTCTCTCTCTTTTAAGCTTTTGTTATTTTGGGTGTCAGCGAAGTCCATTTGAATTCTTTGTTTTGTTTCACTAACCGACATGCGTATTGAAAATATACTCGTCGCCCCACTGCTGGCTACAACAGCGTTGGCATGGAACACTACAACCAAGTACGCAGTCAAAGAACCCCCGCTCACAACTGATTGGACCTATAAAGTTGGAACCAACCCGTGGACGGAGTACCCGAGACCCCAGTTGGAACGGTCTGAATGGCAGAACTTGAACGGGATCTGGACATACCAAAATGCTTCCAGTCTGAACGACGCGGACGCGCCTCCGTTTGGAAAACCTCTCGCAAACGAAGTGTTGGTGCCTTCTTGCTTGGAGAGTGGTCTCTCTGGTCAGTATTTGAAAATCTCGAAGACAGCATAGTGTGCTCACAGACTTTCAGGAATCCAAGGACGAGATACAATATATTCCTGGTTCTCCACATCGTTCACTGTACCATCTTCTTGGTCTGGAAAGAAAGTATTACTCAATTTTGCAGCAGTAGACTATGAAGCAACAGTCTATATCAACGGAAACCAAGTTGGCTTCAATCGTGGAGGATACTTCCGTTTTACGATTGATGCCACTGAGCATGTGACCTTTAGCGGCACCAATGAACTGTAAAGTCTCTGACAAAGTAGAGTGCATGTGCTGATAATTTGCAGGCTCGTATTTGTGTATGATCCAGTCGACAGTGAAGGGTCTGTGATTCCAATTGGCAAGCAGACTTTGCGCCCATCTCACATTTTCTATACGCCCTGCTCGGGAATTTGGCAAAGTGTTTGGATCGAGGCAGCTCCCGAGAACTACATCACACAGCTGGATGTTGATGCAAATATGGACGGGCAAGGTCCGTCTTCTTATCTCCATCCCTCATAATACGTTAAGTAACTCAAAATCCTCTTAGTCAGCGTCACAGTGCACAGCTCATCTGGAACTTCAAGCCCCGTTGAAATCACCCTCGACGGATCAACACATAGCGGTTCTTCTGATGCACCCTTCCAATTCACGGTCGACTCTCCCAGTCTCTGGTCACCAGATTCCCCCACACTGTACAATTTTACAGTCAAGCTCGGCGACGACGAAGTGAAGAGCTACACCGGCTTCCGCACGATCTCCAAAGCAGAAGTTGGTGGTATCGTCTCGCCAATCTTGAATGGCGAGCCAATTTTCATGTTCGGTACCTTAGATCAAGGGTTTTGGCCTGATGGTATTTATACTGCTCCGAGTAGAGAAGCGATGGTGTATGATTTGCAAGTGTTGAAGAAGCTGAACTTTAATATGGTTCGGAAGCATGTGAGTATTGATCTCGGCAAGCGTGCAACATGACCTGACTGAGAATTCCGTAGATCAAAGTCGAGCCAGCTTTGTTCTACCAAGCATGTGACCAAGTCGGTCTTCTTGTTATTCAAGACATGCCATCGCTCAGAGCAGACGGCGTTCTTCCGAACGATGCGCAGCAAGCTGAGTTCACTCGTCAACTTGAGGTCCTTATAAACCAGCACAAGAGCTATCCAAGTATTGCGACTTGGGTAAGTCCTTCCTTCATGTCCCCGTGGGAATTTAACCACAAGTTAACCATTTACCTACAGGTTATTTACAACGAAGGATGGGGCCAGTTGAGAGACGGAGTCTATCCTGAATTTGGACTTACAGATCTCGTCCGCTCGATCGATCCGACTAGGCTAATCGATAGTACTACGGGATGGTTCGATCACGGAGCTGGAGATTTCAGTGTAAGATATGTTCGACAAGACGACAAGAAGAACTCCATACTTACAAACCCTATAGGACAATCACCACTACGCGAACCCACAATGCGGTACTCCATTCTACTCAATTCAGTCCAGTCCCTTCGACCCAACACGTATTGGGTTCCAAGGAGAATTTGGAGGTATCGGCCAAAATGTTTCAATTGACCAGTAAGTCCTCCCCCAGTCCACCTCCAAATGATCACAAACTAAAAGTCCCACCTCACAGTCTCTGGAACGTCCAAGAAGCAATCGACACCATAAATCAAACCTACGAAATCGACCAAACTCTTGACGCCTGGCGGTATCGTGGCCATTTCCTTCTCAACGAGCTTCGAGAGCAGACAGAAAAATACTCATGCAATGGAGGTGTCTGGACGCAGACTACGGATGTTGAGGGTGAGGTGAATGGGCTGTTGACCTATGATAGGAGGATTCTGAGGCCGGATGAGGAGACGTGGAGGGCTGATTTACAAGCCTTGTATGATGCGGCTGCTGCGAGGAGGAATAGCTCGGTTCCGACTTATTGACTCGGTGGGTTGGCTGAGTTGTTGACAGACTGGACTGGGCGGGCTCAGAATGTTTTGAGAGGCGGAGATTGATGGACGTATTGTGGAGGTATAATGAATAGTTAAAAGCTGCTACGTGTTAGGGTAATCAAGGAGTGATTTACTATATCTGCAGGTGAAGTCAACCCATTTCTCTCACAGCGTATCAGACGACGATGAGAAACTTCACAAAAGTCACAAATATGTAGAAGGTCGAAAAGGCCAACGGGGCGTCGCGGACGTCACTTTCATACATGTATGAGCTTCCACCGATGTTCTCAGTGCGGAGCTAGGTCGAGTTCGAACGCCCGAAAGCTGAAGAGAGTTTCCCTGAGGCATGACGTGCAGCGCATATCTAGATCCCTGACTCGCTAAACCATCACGAACTGTTTTGAACCAGCCTGAACCGAAAGACTCTTGCTTTCAGAAAGTCTGGTTTGGAGGATTTACTTCGCGAATATGCTTTGTAGCAGAATCTCCGTGTTTTAAAGGGTCACAGGTGGAAGTAACAATTCATTTATGTAGACAGGTACGGCGACATTCAACTCCTAAACTCATCATGAATAAGCCAAAACCCCGAACTTACTCAAACCATCTAATCTCTAAGATAAAATCGGAGAATTTACGAATCTTCAAGTCAAATAGACTGCGAGACTTGTTTCTGATCCTGATAATCATATCATGAGCTCGTATTTATGCGCGAAAGTTTCCATGAAACAAAAGATGTGCGGGAGAGAAGCGACCCATGCTTTCGGTACAGCGTTGGTGCTTGCTTGTCTCTTGGCAGGCGAATTGTAGCTTGCCTCCGCAAGCATCACAACGGTTATTAATTTTTGGTAAAATATGGCTCCTGTAGAAAATTCAAAAGAGATGTTTTGAAGGAAGTAGTCTGGCAGTGCACGATAGTGACATGCATATTGACATCCTTGATTCAGCTTGTTCGATATTGCAGTCTTGCCGAGAGATAAAAAAATACGAGACTCCATCCCAGGAACTTGCCACTTCCAGAGTTTAAACCATCCCGTAGCTCGGCATTCGAGTAATGCATAGAAGGGATGTTACAGGCGAAAGACGTCTTGGCTTTCACTGCTACTCATTCAGGAACTCTGATAAGTCCACCACTGCCCATTCCGATATCATGCAGTCCAGAATCTGTAAGAATGTACGATGCCTTTCATCTTAGGTCCCAGAACGGCTTCATGGTCGAATAGCAGTGATTCCTCAAGCATGCTGGTCCAAAGTCGTCCGTTATTCCATAGGCAGGTCACTGCTGCTACCATTTCACTTTTGTCGATCATCCTTTTGGGAAATTATTATATCTGGGCCATTGGGAATGGGAAGAAAGACCTCTCACCTTTCGGTAATACTTTGGAGAATCACCCCGCGACCAACAAGTCGCAGCCTTTCGTGGCGCCATCACCAGTGACGGTGACAATTCTTCAAACGACGACAGCATCACCGTTACCCACCCCAACTGCGACAGCAATCCCACAGAAGCTCTGGTATAAGACCGGGCCTAAAGGAATCAGTGAGGCTTCAGGACAATGGATCAACAGCTGTCTCTGGAACAACCCATCATATCGAAGGGAGATACTCACCGATTTCTCCGCTAATACTTACGTCGAAGCTTTCTACAATCATCGGCCAGACATCTTGAACACTTACCTCGCTCTATCAGTCCCAATTTTGAAAGCCGACTTCCTGCGCTACCTGATACTTTTGGCAGAAGGTGGGATATGGAGCGACCTCGACGTATCTTGCTCAACGGTACCAATATCCGGATGGATACCAGAACAATATCAACAGGATGCTGCGGTGGTTGTCGGGCTGGAATTTGACAATGATTACTGGGGGCACGACGAATATCTGCGAACGCAATTCGCGAGCTGGACCATCATGGCTAAGCCGGGGTCGCCACATATCGAGATGGTCATCCAGGATGTGATGAGGGACTTGAAGGACACTGCAAACGAGAACAACGTATCCATTGCAGGATTGACGTTCGATATGATCAGCGATGTTGTGGATGTCACAGGCCCCAAGAGAATGACGAGGAGCATTGTTCGAAGCCTGGAATTACAACTCAAAGAGCCAATTGGCGACAAGAATACTTCTGGTTTGTTTGAACCGAGGTTGTTAGGCGATGTTTTGATTCTACCGAGCGCGGCGTTTGCAGCGAGGCAGGCTGATTACCCTACCGATCGAGGACCAGTGCTGGTGTCGCATCATTATGCGGGAAGTTGGAAGAATGACCATGGGGGAGAGAAGCGTCGATGAGATCAAGTGGAGAGATGGAAAGTAAAAGTTTGATAATCAGCGTCTCCGAGAACAAAACAAGATTTTCCCAAGGGAACACTGAGCGAGTCCGAGTAGCGAAGAATGGAAATGCGAAGGCCATGGAGCAACCCACATTTCTATTGCTAGGGCGTCCAAAAAAGGTGGAAAGGTGGGAAGTGGCGAGGAGATAGGCAACTATGGAGAAGCAGTTGGGAAACAGCTTCTCACGTGAGCACTGTCGCCAATTTGAGAGGAGGCATATCAGTTTTCGTGCCCCTGTCGGGAATGACACCGGGCATGAAATGAAGTAAGTAGAAGATGATGAGGAAGCTAGAAGCCGCAAGGAATAGAATACAAATAGACATAGAGATCAGATGGGTGGCCAAGTCCATATATTGTGTAGCTGAAGGAGAAAAGGAAATTCATAGTTGATAAAATAATGTTGTGTCTGATCAGTACAGCTTCATTCCACGCTTCCACTTTCTAACCGTGGGAAAAACCCCTGTTTCTAAAAGTCATGTTTAGGACGTGGCAAATGAGGTCTCGCGTTCCGCTATAATGCGGTTACTTGTATCCCTCCATCTACAAATCGAGTGCGACGGGAGAGTGATTAAAAGGCTTGCAAATTTTGAGTGGTGGTTTGTCCGTTCCAGAGAAATTGTCTTACAATATCTTTCTGCAAACGTCTAGAGAAATGGGACGAATTGGAGTACGCTGGCCTGACCCATATGACTTACCTCGGCTTGTCTAGATCGTTCGGATTGTGACACCCAAGGCCAATGAATATGATAGAGTCCTCGCACAGCTGTTGGCATATTGACATGCAAGTAAACAAGTAAGATGGAGGCGAGGACTGGTCTGGAGGGACAATACCATAAACTGGATTTATTATGTAAGCAAATGCGGCCGCACCCCGAATCCTTGCGAAATTTCCTGGGAACTTTTTCTGAAGCTTCGTCTCTGCCCACACCCAACTCTGGACAACATCATATCAGCACAACATGGCAAAACGAAAGCGCACCGTGAACCTCACGCAGGAATATAACAAAACCAAAGCCCCGGTACCTACAAAGAAAGTCAAAGCCACGGCCCCCTCTACCCCCGCAACGAAAGCTCCAACTACTATCCAAATCGTCGCGGGGTCCTACGATCGAGTTCTCCACGGCGTCACAGCAACCATATCTTCCAATGACGAAGTCCAATTCGCAGACACTTTCCTCTTCAATGCTCATGCCTCAGCAATTCGCTGCCTCGCCCTCTCCCCAGTCTCTGCACCGGTCCCGAAACAAACACAAAAGATCATTCTCGCCAGCGGCAGTACCGATGAACGCATAAATCTCTACCACCTCTCTGCACACGCTCCCTCAAAGATTACCGTCCCAGTTATCCCATCCCTCACCTCAAAAGCCGTGGTTGAGAATCCCCAGAACCGCGAATTGGGCTCCTTACTACATCATTCAAGCACAGTCACTGCTCTGTATTTCCCGAATCGGAGCAAGCTGCTGAGTTCGGCAGAGGATAGCACAATTGCGGTAACGAGGACGAGAGATTGGACTTTGTTATCTACGATCAAGGCGCCAATCCCGAAACCAGTTGGCCGACCTAGTGGAGATACAGCACCTTTGGGCGGTGCTCCGAGTGGAATTAATGACTTTGCGGTACACCCTTCCATGAAATTGATGATCTCGGTAGGAAAGGGAGAGAAATCGATGCGCCTATGGAATTTGGTGACTGGAAAGAAGGCTGGAGTGCTGAATTTCGAAAGGGGAATGCTGGCAGAGGTCGGAGAAGGCAGACACAGTAGTGGAGAGGGACGGAAGGTGACATGGGGCTCGACAGATGCAGGAGAGGAGTTCTGTGTTGGGTTTGAGCGGGGTGCTTTGATTTTTGGAATGGACAGCAAGCCAAAGTGCAAGGTTGTGCCACAGCCAAGGACGAAGATACACGAATTGTGCTATATTCAGGTAGATGAGGAGCAGGATATTCAAGTGCTCGCGACATCTACCGAAGACGGGAGGATACTGTTTTACTCGACGAGACCAGCGGATCTTGTGTTATCAGAAGCGGTCGAGGGGAAAGAGACGCCTCTGCCATCTGCGAAATTGATCGCACAGCTTGGCGGAAAAGAAGTTGGGCTCTCGGGACGGATTAAGGACTTCACTGTCTTGAGCGTGGGAGAGGGGGCATCTAAAGAGCTCTTGATCGTTGCAGGAGGCAGTGATGGAGCTTTACGCATATGGAGACTTGCACCCAAAGATCTGACGAAACATAGTGGAAAGGTCAAGCAGGTTGGGAAGCTACTGGGAACGTACGAGACAACGAATCGTATCACATGTATGAAAGCATTTGTTATGCTACCGAAGATGGAAGGGGCTGAAGATGAGGAGATCGAGGACTTTGAAGGTTTAGAAGATGATGAGGAGGCAAGCAGTTCTGATAGCGAGTAATGATACCCCGAGCTTCTTGCAGTTTATTTTGTTCCTGACAACTTCGTTCAATATGAGGTGTCTGATACCACCGCCTCAAGATGTCTACCTTCCATTAATACACGATACACCATCATCTCCGTCACTTTCTCTCTCGACTTTCCCTGATATGCCGAGTGGAGACTGGGCTTCACATCCAATTCTGGCAGGAGGCAAGAGCTGAGCTGTATCACACCTCCTCTATCCAACTAAGCCCATTGCTTTCGAAGCATTCAAGGAGTTTTGACGTACAATTCTTGTGCTAACTCAAATGCAAATGAGGTATTCAAAGATTGGCATTTCCAAATCCATCCCGGAGTAATCTATCAATCCCCCAAAAATGTATCCTGACCAAACGAAAACGTACATCACCAACAGTATTCATACAGAATTTAAGCTACTTCAAGACCCCCCATCAAAAGCGGTACATCCACCCAGGCCACAGTCCATCCCACAATCACAGCATAGATCATCGAAATCTTGCCCAGTTGCTGAGGGGGACGATATTGTGCTGGCAGCGCTTTCTTTGGATGACGTTGCTGAGGCTTTGACAGACGAATTTTCGATACCGGGCGAGGTCTTCCTGGTAGTGATGGAGTGGAACGGTGCTGTTGGAGCCGCTGCAGTATTGGCAAGTGTCGCTTTTGTAGTGCTGGGCGCGCAAGTTAGCCATATTGATTTACCTGCGGCAATTGGCAAAGCTAGCCTCTTCACTTCTGGCAGCTTTTCATCTTCTATCGAGAGTTTATCCGTTCCATCTTTAGTCGCAGTTTCTATCGATCGGTTCTTGCGGAATCTGGCGAAGGATATCCATCGTGCAATGAAGCTGCCCATATCGAGGTTTGGGATCGATGTCAAAAACACGGAAAGAGAGAATCGAGTGAGCTTATCCAAGTAGTTCACAAGATGATTTTCAAGGATTGTCCGAGGTTTAAATGGGCATTTATACAATTTTACGTTCCAAAGAGGTCAGGCTGTGGTGCTACCAGCCCTCAGCTCTCAACGAACACAGATCCTCTCACCGAGGCTGGTTACGCCACCAAGGCTGTGCAGGAATTTGTTTTGGGCCGCCCCAACAATTATCTTCCTCTCCTTTGGATATCTGTAGAGAAAATGCACTTCGAGATTCCCTCGATTTTGAAGTTGCAAATATGGACCCCGTCGGCGCAGCAGCTTCGGTTTTGACACTCCTGGACGCAGCCATCAAGACGACGAAGCTGATCAACCGCTTTGTCCACCAATATCGTGATGTACCAGCTGAGATCACTAGGCTCAAGCATAAAGTTTCGGTTTTGAGAAGTCAACTTGTGCTACTTCGAGCAGTGGAAGATGCACTTGGAAGAAATAGCTTTGAATTGGATGACGTCGAGGCCTCGATTACCTTGGAAGCATTTGTGCAACGCCTGATCATTATATTTTCAGAAATATGCGGACATCTGGAAGACCATTGTCTTACTGATGTCTCGGGAAAGAGAAGCAAGCTGAAGTGGGCTTTGCTTGATGCTTCGAAGATTGAGAAATGGGAATGCGAAATTCAGCAACATTCAGCCGAGCTCGGTAACATACTAATGTTACTCAATCTGTCAGTCTGAGTGACTTTTAAGGCTTCAGAATCCAGCTGACAAGGAATACCTTAGACGCAGTTCAACTTTACTACACTCCAAATTCGAAGACTCAAAACCAATCCTGGAAACAACTTTCTTGCCGGCGAAGGTCCAGCTACAGGACAAAATCCATCTCATGCGGACTCTCTATTACTTCGGTAATTGGGCAATTATACCCTTCATAGCGAGACTTCAAGGACTATCATCAAAGACAAGAAGAGGCAACCTCTACACCTACAACTTTTCTGTGCACCTGCAGGCTTTATTTTGCCTCAAAGTCATTTATTTAGACTTCAAGATATGCCAGCCCTCATTGTTCTCTCTAGGAAACGCAACTTTTGGCATTGACCTCAAGGTCAGGACGCTGGTTGAAGAAGATTCCGAGGTCATGCTGGCAAGTAAAAGAGGTGACACCGAAGCAGTATGGACGCTTTTCCAAGCAGGCAAAGCAAGTGTTCGTGACGTGACTCCAGCGAATCGGTCACCTCTGCGAGTAAGCTTTTCCAATGAAGCTTAATTATCCTTACTCACACTCAGTAGTACGCAATTGAAAGTGGTTCTACTGACCTGGTCCGCTATTTGATCAACAACGGAGCAGACGTGAACGAATACTGCGGTTTCATGCAGACGTGAGTTGATAACAAAAGCTCTTCATTTGTCATCGATGGAAGCTGAGATTAGGCAGGAACCTCATCCAATGCGCATTTGCTTTCTCTTACATCGAAATCGCACGGCTACTAATATCAAACGGTACTGAAATCCACCACATAAATGCCACGGGATGGACACCAGCATTCCACATCTTCGGCACTGCACCAAACCCAATCCTGAGATCATCCTGCGAGTGTATCGAGATGCTCTCTGCGGCGTCGTTCAATGATTTTGATACTCAAGATACAGAGGGCTGGACATGCATGCACCGCGCAGCTGCGTACGGCTGTGCAAATGATATCAAATTATTAGTCAAACTCAACGTTAGCACTACAATCCAAACCATCAAGGTCTGCTGGACGCCAATATTTTGTGCTGTGCATTTTGGCAATATATCGACTTTTGAGGAGCTGCGACGAACAAATCCCGACTTTTTGGCTTTGAAGGATGTAAGGAGATGGACACTACTGCATGTCGCTGTAAATGCGAAGCGGGTGGATATGATTGCTCATCTGATTAGTCTTGGAGCTGATCCATATGCTACGAGTCTTGCTACTCAGTTCTTGGTTCCAGTGGATTTGAAGGGTGGATCTGTTACACCGGGTGACATTGCGGTCTTGAGAGGGGAGAATATACTGAATGCGTTTATAGCGGCTCTGGCAAATTGTGGCCATGATGTAGAGGTCTATCGAGATGGTGGAGAGGTTGATATATTTTGGCCAGCTGTAGAAGTGATTCCAGATTCTGTAAGTACTAGAAGGACATGAGGATAAGGCACCCTCAATAATCGAGATCGTGTTTACCTCTGTACCATGCCAAGGAAACTGTAATCAGCAACAATAGAGGTAGAGGTAGAGGTAGAAGCTCTTCATGCGCCTTCTTGAGAGCTTTTTAGTCTCTGATTGTAAATCTCTTTGTTGAAATATAGGGAAACTCGACTATCAACACTTGGACTCGCGATTGAATTAAACAACACCAATGGGGAAAAGCCTTCGTGGCCTAAGCTTATCTATGTGCATAATTGTCTCGATACATCATCATCCACTCTTCTGACTCTTCACACTACTCTTCGTCTTTTTCTCCTCGCCTCTTCCCTCCAAACCCACCAGACCACCCCCGTAATCCCCACCTCCAAGCACAACGCAAACACACTCCATCTGAAGCCTCTCTTAAACCTCGGGCCTTCGCTCACAGGATACGTCCACATCGGCAACCAAGCATTCACCGCATACGCACACGCATTCATCACACCCAGTACAATAGCACGTTCTTCCGCGTCAGATGCACAGATCTCGTTCGCCCATGACATGGCGAGAGGTCCAAATGCGACGGCGGCCCGGACGACGAAGAAGGAGGTGTAGAGGAGGGGAAGTGGAATGGTCCAGATGGAGAGGAGAGTGTAGGAGATGATTCCTAGGGACTTTTGAGAGGAAATGGAAGGTTAGCCGGGCTGAGCTTCAGGAGGAGTATAGGGAGTGACAGGGACATACAGCAGATAGACCCATTACCAGAGGTCGATTGCGGAGGTAATCGCTGAGTATTGCAAAGCCGATTGTCGTCACGAGCTGAACTGCGCTCTGACCGGTAGGAATTATATTCTGGTTTTGTTTACACAAGTCAGCATCAACGTACTTGTTGAGAAGAAGTTTCAGAAGCAAGCGAGAATTCGAGGCGAAACTCACCACCCAACTAACGCTCCACCCCCTCTCCTTCAACAACAGTGCCAACGGACTCACACTCCCACCCGGACCTGTATTAACAAATGCCACATACAATCCCGTTAGTGCCCCGATCCTCCACCCGCTGAACACCCTTCCCACCCCGCTCCAGGTCAACCTTCCCCTTGGCGCCCTCCCCACATCAGCCATCCTCTTCCTCGCTCTCACAGCATCACTCTCCGTAAGATAGAACGCACGAGTGTTCTCTGGTAAATCCGGGATCATGAAATAGCCAGAAATACAGATCGGCAAACTAATAATGCCATCCATAATGAATAGCCATTGCCAGCCCTCCTTCCCCAGCGTGCCGTTCATTCCCCTATACACAGCGGCTTGCAGGTATCCCGAGAACATGCCTGCAACCGCAGAGGAGGCGTGGAAAATGCAGGCGCGTTTGCCGAGTTCAGACGGAGTGTACCAGGAGCCGAGGAGGAATTGCGCGGCGGGGTAGAAGATAGATTCGACGAGGCCGACAAGGAAGCGGATGGCGATGACCTGGGTGGAAGAGTTTGCTGCAGCGAGGGAGAAGGTTAGGAGTGTCCAGACTAGTTCGCAAGAAGGGATCCAAATTGAGGGCCGGACTTTGGCGAGTATGAACTGGGAGGGGAGTTGCCCGATGACATAGCCAGTTGTCCAGGCTACGTCTATGAGGATCAGTTCGTTGGAATTCATTTGGAGGGCTTCTTTCATGCCGGAGACGTAGGCATTGGAGATGTTTGTTTGGTCGAGGTTTTTGATGAAGTAGCCGAGGGAGAGGATGGTTAGGAGGGAGACGTCAAGTTTATGGAGGAATTTGCGCTCTGATTTTGTTCTTGTTGGGTCGTAGTCCTGACACTGTTAGTCACTTCGTAGCATGGAAGGTTTCTGGCTCTGGAGTAAACGCTTACCCAGACATATGACCACCATGGTACGTTCTTCAGCTCATCGAGCTGTACAGAGCTGCTCTCTGAATCCGAACCATCCCCAACTACATGAGACAGAAGCGGTACTTTGTCGTCTGCCATCTCATCTATGGATAATAACGGAATGGACAACTCGTCTTCGCACCGCGCCCACTCGTCCTTCAGATTCTAGAGAGCAGAAGATTATCAGACCGACGCCACATTGTCAGAAACACATTATTAGAAAGAGTTCGGAAGGCTTACTACTCGCGCCATTCTCATACAGGTCATGAGGCGTGACACCCCGTATATTGCGTGATCTGAAACTCATCCCATCTCTGAATACGTGATGAGCGGAGAAGTCATCGCCTTCACAGTGGATGGGGATGAAGCATGACAAGTGATTAGTGAAGGAGCATTTCTGAAACGCGACGCGGCGGAACTGAGCCGAAGTTTTGTCAGAAATACTTCCACGTTTGGCGCTGTACATATGTTGTGCTCTTTCAGAATTTGATGCCATAGATACAGGTATATGCGACTACCGAATGAGAAGAGAGGTTAAGCTGTCCAAACGATAAGAAAGCAATCATTATCTGATGACTGCAATAGGGATAGAGAGAACAGCACCAATTACCTTGATGAGATAGGTCACATCAAACGGATGAAATGCAGCTAGGGATAGACGATTGGAGGTTGGGGGTGCGGATGATGGAAACGGTGGCAGCACGCAATTGACCCCACATCTTGTAAATTCCCCAGACGCGAATGAGCGTCAACACTGGGTCTACCCCTCCTTTATTCAATAACGCGGGATTCTGCCAAAAACGCGATACATTAGAAATCAACAGTGTGAGCGGGCACGGATTTATGCCGAGCGTAGGATAGATAAATAAGTAATCATCGAGATTCGAGAAGACTTACTTACTTGAGAAGATTATTAGACAATTCCAGTTGTGTCCCCGAGCTGAACTTACTACTCATGTTTTTGTCTGAATATTGAACACCTCTAGCCCCCTCTGTACCAATCTAATCCGGTTCTCTCCCAAAGCAAGTCCAAACATGGCTCCATCAGCGATCGAAATTGAAGTGCGGCCCATCGCCTCACACATCAAGGACTTCGTCGTCCAAAAGAAAGACACCCTCCCGCTCCCACCAGCAGCTCGCGCCCGACTCGAAAAGGCCGGCATCGACCTCAGCAACGGCTACCCCGAGCGACCAGGCAAGCCACTGTACCTTGACGACGCATTTAGCATTCGCAATGTTGAACGAGAGCACGTTGATGCTGGAGCACGAGCCGATAAGTCGAAGTCGGCGCTGTTCTCGGCTGCTAAGGAAGTCATCCACTTGACTGCTCATATCGGCACTGAGATCGTTGGTCTGCAATTGAAGGACTTAACCGATACGCAAAAGGATGAGCTTGCGCTTTTGATTGCGGAGAGGTCTGTGGTATTTTTCAGAGACCAGGATTTGAGTCCTCAAGACCAGAAGAAATTGGGAGAGTATTATGGAGAGGTTGAGATTCATGTGAGAAAGTCTTTTTTTGAAATGCAAGGGATATACTAACGAGAAACAGCCTCAAGTCCCACATGTGCCAGGTGTTCCTGGAGTTAGCGTTCTTTGGCCAGCACTCATGGCTACCGAGAGAAAAGCCTCCTTCAGACAGCCAGGAGGCGCTTCGAGGTGGCACACGTAAGGTTTATTGCGGCCGAATGAATTTACAAGTACTAATAACAACCAGAGATCTGGTTCATGAGAAACACCCGGCCGGGATCACTCATCTGCACAATGACACTGTCCCAAGTATTGGAGGTGACACTTTGTGGGCGAGTGGATATGCTGCTTACTCGAAATTGAGCCCTGAGTTCCGCAAGATCATCGATGGGAGAGAAGCAATCTACGTTAGTGCTCACACATATCTCGATCGAAACGATCCAAATGCTGGACCAAAACACGTGGAACGCATCCATCCTATCGTTCGAGTCCACCCAGCGACTGGCTGGAAGGCCCTTTGGGTCAACCGAGCAATGACCAAGTCTATTGTCGGACTGGACAAGGGCGAAAGTGATGCTATCTTGAACTACCTTTATGATGTGTATGAGAGCAATGTCGACATCCAAGTCCGCTTCAAGTGGACTCCAAGGACCAGTGCATTGTGGTAAGTCTTGATTCCATCCAAATTTGCAGTATTCATACTAATCCTTTACCAGGGACAATCGCATTACTATGCACAATGCTTCCTGGGATTATGAGGGACTCGAGCCAAGGCATGGGACCAGAGTGACTTCTCTGGCCGAGAAGCCATATTTCATTGCAGATGCGCCAACAAGAAGACAGGCGTTGGGCTTGGATGATTCATGAACACTGAACTTGTAAATTGAAAGCATCGGAATTTTTGTACAGCACATCTGGAGATTATGAGGGACTAGGTAGTAAGTCCGCAACTGTAGAAATGTAAGAGAATGACTGCTATCAAAACGTGAGAAGCACAAACAACCGCAAGTTTTCGAAAGTAAGAATGGCATCGAATAGACATGCATTTCTTCGCTACCAGGCCCATATCGTGTAGGAGCTAGCATGTACATGCAGATTACAGTCCTCCTGGCTAGCCAGCCGGCTAATTGGTGAATGCCGCACGTTGAGGAGACAGAGAATTCCTGAGGAATTGGAAGTTTAAAGATAAGAGAACAAAAAACAACTCGCGAGAAATTGTCGACGCGCTTGCGAAGGAATTCCTGTAGACCGTGGTCTTCATTCTAGCTTGCAAGACTTGGAGAGCTTTTGGTTGGATTGGTCGCGGCGAGTCATCGCGACTCTACAGCCATCCCAAAAGCTGGATCGAGTTGATGATTCGTTGACAATTGCGAGTGTTCGATGTTCATCATGATAGAAAATGGTGTGAACGGTTGACAAATGAGGGACGTACGACGCGCTGGAAGAAATGAGCGTCGCGTCCAGCCGAGGTCAATAGCGTGTCACATGACCAAGACGAGCATCGAACAACCACCTTAAACCTCGATTTCTACCTTGGCAAATTTCTAGGTGAGCATCTCGCTAATCATCGACAGAATGTATCTTCTTGGAAATACCCCAAAAAAGATTAAGGTTGAAGATATATCCATCCCAGGAGGAAGGCTGGGAGCTGATGAGCTGGCCAGGTGATGCATTTATCACTTCCTGCAGGATGGGTCATTTTCAGCTCAGCTCAGTTCAGCTGAGACTCCATGTCTTCATCCAAGACATGCGATAAAACATTTACTCAACGCCAGGCAACACACTGTGAAGCCTCTCGAAAAGAAAAGAAAAAGCAGCATGGAATCCATCGCAGACCAGCAAAGACAACCCCTTCCCAGTCCTACCTTGGATGTCAAGCATTCGGTTCTGCCTCCGAAGCAATGGGACCCAGCAAGCGCCTTTCTCACTGAGCTCGAGGATATGATGGCTCATGAACTCTTTTCTATTGCGCCGAAGATATATAGTTACCAAGAAATCCCCTCTGCTGGCTTCATCCGTCTCTTGACATTAGAACCAGGCTTCAAGGAGAGGCCCCTCCGTGGCTCACTCAAACAAGTCCGCATCGACAAGCTTCCTCGCTATGAAGCACTTTCCTACTGCTGGGGTTCTTCCGATAAGCCTCGATCCATCGAACTTGACAACGGATCTTTAAATATCACCGAATCACTTCATTCCGCACTTGTCCGGCTCCGTCGGCTTACCAAATCCCGCCTCATCTGGGCTGATGCTTTATGCATTAATCAAGATGACAATCTCGAGAAAAATCACCAGATTTTGTTGATGAGGCAGATTTACTCCTCAGCATTCAGAACTCTGGCATACCTTGGTGATGAAGCGGATAGTAGCGATTCTGCGATTCAGCTCCATGAGAAGATTGGAGGGATCAGTTTCAGTGGTCTGCCGGAGAAATTCGTTACCATGGAATGGCTACAGTCTCATGGCCTCCCAGAGTACCAGGATCCTGCATGGTTAGCCTGGTCAATTTTATGGCGTCGTCCTTGGTTCCGTAGAGCGTGGGTACTACAAGAGTTTGTCCTGGGTAAAGACATAGTGCTCATCTGCGGCCAAAAGAAGATCAATTGGAAAAGGTTCGTCAGTGCCACAGAGAAGATGCAAGAATTCAATCTCCTCAAATGGACGACTACTGGCGAGGCTCTTGACGATGGCATCAACGATGCATATTCGGGTGCTGCTGCGATGCTGGCAATGATGGCAGTCAAATCCGGGTCCAGCCTCAGCTCGGGGATTGCGTATTACATTCGAAGCTTCAGCGAAGCCGACGAGAGCACACTCCAGCAATTAGAGTCCCATAAATCTCTAGCGGAGAAACTACCTGGCTTGAAAGATACGATTATGATGCTTCGCAAAGATCCGTCGTTGGTTGAGCCTACCATAAAAATGCTCGAGGAGAATATGGGAGCTTTCGGACTCAGCGAATTGACTGATCCAAGTATCCATCAACCACTCATCAATCTTCTTTTCATGTTTGATAGGAGTGAGGCGACGGACCCCCGAGATCGACTTTTCGCGCTGCTTGGACTGGCGTCTGATGGCACTGATGAGGACTTTCGACCCGATTACAATGAATCCATCGATTCGTTAGCTAGACGCTTCAGTCAAGGCTTCATTGAAAAGGGACATGGAATGCAAGTACTGCATCTTGCTGGCCTCTCAAATGAACTGCCAACCTGGCCTTCTTGGGTGCCGGATTGGACTCGGACGGGAGTGGTGGAGAGAAAAGTTCTCTGTGCTCGCACCATATGGGCACCTGTTGATAACAATTCTTACAAAGCGGGAGGAGATCTCTTACCGAACATCAGAATTAGCCAGAACCCAAATGTGCTGCTCGTATCAGGGAGCAGAGTGGATACGATTTCACAGCTCGGCATGGACGCTTCAAGTATTATATCACCCACAACTACCGACATCTTCATCCTCAGGGAATTCTTCGCCTCAGCAGACGACGTCATCGGCCCAGACTCATCAAAAGTCTACCCTCCAACGGGCGAGAATATGGACGAAGTCTACTGGCGCACGCTCATTGCGAACAAAGGCATGAATTCCGCGGAAGCAACTTCAGAATATGCGCTTCAGTACGAAGAATGTAGGCGGTTCTTCGACACTAATACCTTAGAGTCCTTGACTTCTGTTGAGCAGCTGCTCTCCCTGAACCTGTATTATGGATGTGTAGCATCGCTGCTTGCCACATCTAGGGTATGTAAGACGGTCAATGGATTTGTCGGGGTAGTTCCTATCGGTGCAGGGGTTGGAGATTTGGTGGCTGTCTTTGCTGGTGGCGCGATGCCCTTTGTTTTGCGGCCTACTGAGGAGATCGAAGGTGGCTTTAGGCTTCTTGGAGGGTGTTATATGCATGGCTTGATGAGAGGGGAGGCTGTGCAGTCGCCGCTTTGGAAGGAGGAAGAATTCGAGTTGCATTAAAGAAGTTCATGGATAACGCATGAGATTACTATCTGCAATAGATATCGACGCACAAATAAAGTACAGTTGAGAAAGCGATGATTTTACCATTGAAATAGATAATAGCTAGCCTTCCCGCAGTATTTACGTGAATCCAAGATTAACAAACAGTAGGAGTCATATCGTCATTGCATCATCCCACATATTCTTCATCCCTTAGGCTCTTTATACCTCTAGTACGTCCCAGTCTTACAATCCAAATTAGCATACCCCGGAAACTGCTTAAACTGATCGTCATCAATCTTCGTCAACTGCGGACAACTCAGCGCCGACAAACTCGTCGCCGCCTGCCCCGTAAGCCTCTGCATCGCACTCGTCAGACCATTCAGCACCCCGCTGCACTGGATGAGATCCGGCGACGCCTGCACGGCAAACTGCATGGCGAAGCAAGCGAGGTTGTTGCCTTCCGTTAAAGTGCGCGTGTTGTATACACCGCCTGTGAGATCCTCGGCGTTGACCCCGGTGAAGGTACTGGGTGTGCCGGTGTTACCACCGATGTTGAGGAATTTGGGGTATTTCGCGGCTGCGAGGAGTGTGTCGGCTTGCAAGAAAGGGATGCTGTATTCGTCACCGACGGCGCGCTTGTACCAGTTATCTGGGATACGCTAGATTGTATGTCAGCTTGTGTCCTAATATTACTGCTTTGGGAGAGATGGGTCTGGAGTTGAGGGTCAACAATGTTTGGATTGAGTCTCGCTTACCTCGTGACCGGGAGTGTGGGTCAGGGTTCCGTCTGCATTCTTGGTGACGCTGAAGAAAGAGTTCAAGACATCGCCGTTGAGTCTTCCGGCTGGGTATTCAGCTGACTTGTTGCTCATGAAGCGGTAGATGAAGGTGTATGCCGCAGGCTGGACTAGCACGCCAGTGAACGGTCCTGCAGGACATCAGTCAGCCTCGCTCATACACAAAGATCAAGCCCAGCATGAAGGAAAGACACTAACCATTGAAGAAGTAAGGATTGTTCTGAACGGAATGGTCAAATCGCTGAGAGCGGAAATCGGTAAGCAGTGGAAGATCGTAATTATCCCCATTTGCTTGACCAGCGTCGTAAAGCTGTTGATACTGATCCATTTGCAGGGTAAAGTCGTTACCGTCGAGGTACAGGTCTCCACGGCTGGGAGAGGCATCGGACTCGTACTTGTTGTGCGAGCCTGAGATTCCTTGGGGGACACCAAGCAGGCCAATTCCGGCGTTTGCTTTGGAGGGTCCCCCAATGGACCAGGTGAGACCGTCACCATCGATGGTGCCCCCGAGGACAGTGAGGAAGCCGGAGAGATCGGCTGACATGCCGAAGACTGTGGATGGAATGTGAGTTGATTTATGTCTTGCGGCATGATGATGGCTTACTTACCGTCATAGGTTCCCTTGATGAAGTCTGCGTGAGATCCAACTCCGTTATGAGGAAGATACCCGTGGTTTGCTTTTCGCTTGTCAGCCTACTATCGTGACCTTTAGGATCAGGGTGATGTTACCCATTGCGTTCAAACCTGGACATGGTCCACGTTGGTCACCAGCAGCAAGGTTTGGTGCCACGAAAGCATGCTCGCCAGTGGTAGAAACATGCTGCAGTCTATCGTTGAAGGTGGGATTGAGATCGGGTGCTTCTTGTCTGCCGACAATACGACGGTCTGCTTTGGCTCTGGTTGCAGCTTCGAGTACACCTGGAAAGGCAGTAACTTCTGGGGCTAAGATACTGAGGAGGGTTGCTCCTACGAAGGAAAGGTGACTTTGCTTCATGTTGGAAAGTATATGCAAGAAAGAGTGAAACAGTGAGTACAATCAAGCAGGTTAGTAGGAAATGGAATATAAGAGATTTTACAAAGCTGCTTCTGTGGATTTCGTTGTTTTATATCGAAACCGGGAAAAGGGGCATACAGGTAGCATGCAATAGAGTTTCGTTATTCCCATTACCGTATCTAATATCAACTTCGCTAACTCTGTGTGGCCACTCTCAGCGTCTGTGTGCGATTCGCACATTTCCTGCAGTCAGGAAGACGTCCATCCGTTAATGACAGTTGTGGCTCTTGAAACCGTTACCTGCACAGATCTGCAAACAGCCATCCGCAACCCTAAGTAATTCCGAGAGTAATCGTCCATTCATGATTCAAGCAATGTCAGCCACCCACGACGAGCTGCCAATATCGTCTTAGTTGTCGATCATTCAATTCGGAGATGCTGATTATTTCTGTGTTGGGATCGCCGAGGCTGATATGCCTAGGCATCACAGTAAGGTTAAAAGGGTAGCTTGGGACGGGCGCCACCGTCTAAACCTAGGCACGGCCAGTACCCCGCAGTCTCCTGGAATTTGTATTATTTTGACGAGGTTTTAGAACGTCACCAATGCTGAACAATCTCCATTTCCCCGCATTTGTTTAAGCCTGCCCGAGGGACAATAATGCAGATCAGCGCTTCTGGATTTTCGAACTTGCTGACCATGGGGGCTAAACGAAAAAACGCTTCTTCGAGCCTCGAGAACCGTCGGATTCGGTAGTTGTATGGTTTCTGGGCGGTCGACGACGTAGGTCTCGAAAGATTTTCGTTCTGTTTGACACTCCTCCATTGTACTACTGCACAACTTCCTTCTTCTGCAGGAACTTATCGTATACCGTATTCGCACCGGCGTCTGAGAATTGTGACGGACGTTATCAAGATTTTGATAGAAACGGCTTGGAGATATGAGTTGTAGAGAGCCCAGCTCAAAACCAAAGCCATGGTCAACGGGGCGCATTTTGACGGAGGAGCAGAGGAGACGGAAGAGAGAAGTAAACCGACTGTCCCAGAGGAGGAGGAAGAACAAAATAGCGCAACGAGTTGAACATTTGGAAACACAACTGTCAAATCTCCTTGACAGTTCTGCATCACCGTCACCTACGAATACGGTGTTTGAGATAATGAGCACTGCACCTACTCTAAAGGCTGAGCAAGTCTTGCGGAATTCTGTCCCCAGTGTATCGTGCCGTCAACAGAGCCCGCCACCACGTCACCAAATTTCAGGCAGTTTGCACCCACCGAGTCCACTCTCACGCATTCAACAGCTCCCGCCATATTACCAAATGAAAATACACGATAACTACATAGACTCCTGTCTCCACCTCACACTACCCGTCACCCCTCCAGTCGCAGCCGCATTTGCCAAATCCAGGACCTCAGCTCGATCCGAGATCATCACAACGTTCTGTCAGCACTTGAATAAGTCAATCGCAGCTTTACCAAATACCATAATATGTTCCAACGATTTGCAGAACCAGAATATGTTGGTTAGGGCGGTGCTGTATGGATGGAGTGTTACCGAGACTTTACCGCGACTTTGTCCGCTATGGACGATTTTGCAGCATGTTGATACGAGTCTGTTCAGGGAGACGCCGGCGATTGAAAGATTTGTTTTGTTGAGACATATTCATATGATGATGTTGGTAGGTTCAGTGTCGATCAAAGATCAAAAAGAGAGGAAGCTGACAGGCTTGGAAGTATAAGACAGGTGCTCTTGGGCCGAAGCAGCTCCCTCTTTGGTACAGATACAGGTAAGTCGAAGATGGTATGTTTGGAACAGCTCATCTTACAGGAAGCAGGCCAGCGCAGCTCCTGTACGAACATCATCCATCAATCGATTACCTTGGATGGTAAGACCCTCGCCGTCCCCGGGCATGAAATCATACTTACCTTCAGTCAGGCCAGGTCTTCGAGAGCGCCTTGTTCTTTCCAGCGCATTACGAATGACCGACCAATTCTGGGCAATATTCGGATCCTGCTTCCGCTTCGAATGGCCATACACCATCAACGCATGTTACGAGACAGACGCTGCAACAGGCATGCTTCGCTATAGTCCTCTTTTCGACGTCGAGTCACTGAACATTGACTCATGTCGAATGACTTCTCAATTCTTCGATGCATTCCCGGAGATGGCGGATGACATTCGGACTGCTTCGTCAGAGCCATTGCAGATTTTTGGGATTGATGATCATGAGAGTGTAGATAATATGGGATTTGGCGGGATTTGCGGTCGAGTTAGTGAACAGACGCAGCTGGTATCGCCCAACTGCTCGACATTTGGTGCAGATGCAATGAGTCCTTTCGTGGTCGGTCCAACTTGATTGGCCGAGGCGGAAAACTGAAGAGAGCATTTAGAGTTGGAAAGGCTCATATCAGGAGAATCAGACTCTCTCTGGCTTTCAAGACTTACAGACGGGAAACTGCACATCGCATATACACTGACTGGCTTCAGGTCCAACAGTTTTATCAGGCTCAAGGAGTCGGGTGACCATTTCCCTTCCCCCCTTTTATCTCTCGCTTATCGCCCTCACGTAAATATCCATGTAAATAAATGCTTGGACAGCTTTCTCTTCCAGATTCTCGTCCACGTTCGAAAACAAGATGTTCCAATCAGAGGCAAGTCGCTCGCTCCGTATTCTCGGCCAATCAAACTCCTTCCAAATCCTTCCATCAGCCGTCTTACTTGCACATTTCTCGGTAAAGCGAACACCCCGATCTGCGAAAAGTTGTTTATGCGAGGTACAAATTGCCTTGCGATAAAGATCTAGGGATGCCTCCTATTGTTTTTTCTTGTCCCATTTACGTGCTCTCGTCTTGACTCATTCTTTGTATGGAAGCAAAATATGCTGTATCTACTTCTGCGGACTGTTGTGGCATTTGCAATCACTTATGAACTAGGATGGATACTTTACTGCCGGTTCTTTCATCCTCTTCATTCCATTCCGGGCCCTTTTCTAGCCTCTTTCAGTCGGTCATGTATTGTCTTAATGACAGCCAGGGGTGATATGGAGCGCATACAGCGAGAACTGCATACGACACATGGTGAGCCACCAATGTTGCCTCTCGACACACATCTCAGATGTTGATGATACAGGATATCTTCTTCGAATTGCGCCAAATGAAGTTTCATGCTCAGATCCAGAAGCAATTAGGGTATCCCCTTTCCCTCAGGAAATCGACTTTCAATATAGCGCTGATATTTCACAGGTCATCTACGGCACCAAGAAAGTGTTCAACAAGGTTAGCAATTTCTTATATTAACCTCCAACTCATCACTTACTGGCCAGTGCAGACTGATTGGTACGACATATGGGCTCCACCAAATCTAGCATACACTGGCCACTTTCCCACGCGCGATGAAAATGAACATGCCGAGCGCCGCCGTATCGTCAACAATGTGTACTCCATGTCCCGCATCCTCGAATCCGAAGGAGTGATCGATTCTTGCACGAACAAATGGTGCGAGACTCTCGTGGAGCTTGCGAAGCAGAAATCAGTTGTGGATCTGAGATTTCTGGTCAACGCGTGAGCTAGAAGTCCTGAAATTGTGGTAACGGGGAATATTCTAACATTCACTTGTACTGATTAGCTACATTAATCAAGTACTTCTTGGACTCCTTTACAGCGGCACCTGGAACTTCCCAGACAACCGCATGGAAGATGGCGGCTGGATAGAGAAGATATCGCCCGTACTCGCGCTGTTCTCTATCGGTGGAACTCTGCCATCATATCTAGTGCTCATCTACATGCTCTCCTCTATAGTCTTCGTTCCATCCATTCGGCGAACCTTAAAAGTTGTTCGGCGTTTATCTGGCGCCTCCGCAAAGGCAGTTTGGAAACGCAAGGAACAGATTGATGGGAATGAAGATGTGAAGCAAGACATGGTTAAGGGGCTGTTCGAAATCAATGCCGAGAAAGGGGAGAAATATAATTTCAAGCATGAACATGTAGTGGCTGAGACTCAGTCTGCATTGTACGTTTTGCTTGTTGGTTGAGGACGGCATGTTCGTGATTATTGCTAATCTGATCAGGTTTGCGGGAATAGACACTACATTGATTGCAAACACAGCAACTCTGTACTATCTTATGCAAAATCCAGATGCGTATCGGAAGCTGACAAATAATCGACGAAGCTGTCGTGAATGGCACTCTCTCTATCCCAGTTTCGTATGCAGATGCAGTAAAGCTACCTTACTTGAAAGCTTGTATCAACGAAAGTATGCGTCTCCACCCGAGTGTCGGACTGACCATGCCAAGAGAGATTCCAGAGGGAGGAATCATAATCTCCGGAGTGTATTTCCCAGAAGGCTATCGCATCGGTATCAATCCAGCCGTTGTGCAATACGATGAGGACGTCTTCGGATCAGATGCTGGAAGCTTCAATCCGGATTGCTGGTCAGGTGACGATTCTGCGAGAATGGATAGGACAATGCTACAATTTGGTGCGGGGACAAGGACGTGTATAGGGAAGAACGTAAGTGTTTCCTCTAGATTGAAGACGAGAGACAGTTTGGCTGATATTTGACAGATTGCTTTGAGCGAGATTTACAAGCTGATTCCTCAGCTTCTAAGGATGCTCAAGATTCGTCTCGTAGAGCCAGCGAAAGAGCTAGAGACGAAAAATTACTGGTTTAACAAGCAGATTGGGGTCAAAATTCGAGTCGAGGCGCGAGACACTACAGCCATTCCAAGATCTTAGTCGATTCTGAGACCTTGCCAACAAGATAGCAGGAAACTGTTTTCTGGGCATAATTATTTCATCCTCGTGCTAACATATTTTCAATACTCTCCTTTTAAATGTGAGAAAACCTCTGCAGAAAGTTTGAGAGCCTTGGGCCGAAATTTTGACATCCAAGGGGTGATTCCAAATGGCGTATCTGCTTCGCACACCTGACTCTGACCTCGAAAATGCCGAGGGATCAATACTGCTCAGTTTCTAGTGCCCTAATCAACCGTAGGAATGCAGCAGTGGTTGACTTGGGATCTGGGCTACCAGCATATTAAAGACTAGCTTGCATAATTGGATTTGCTTCGATAAGACCGCAACCGCAGACTTGGATGCTGACACTGACGGAGTTAGGGACAGGCCATTCACTCCCGCTAGCATCACTAGACCAATCTCATCAGCAAAATGCGAGATAGTATTTATTTGAATTAGCAGATCCTGCAAAGTGCATTTCCGCTGTTCTTTGTTTACTTCTCACATGGATAGGCTAGGCGAACTGCCGCTGTGTGCTCTCATTTACGTGACAACGGCATGTAGAATGATCGGACAACAACGTCGAATCAGTCAGAAAGCTATCAATGATATTTAGTGAGCCAAATACATATTAGCCACCTTTACGAAGGAGGTAAATGTAGTATGAAAGAAGAGAGACATTAAGCAATGATCGAGACGGACGTGCGGGCTGTGGCTCATCTCGGATTCTTGGCGGTGATCATTTGCGCTCGTCGCCCTCCATCAACCCTTGTCTCTACGGCCTCGAATCCTAGCCCCCACCATCTCCAGACCCAGACCAAAGAATGGAACGGCCTACCGCGATTTCGTCGAAAGAGGATTACTACAACCTGGGGGTCTTTCGACGACCCATCCGCACGCACAGTGAGGATTCGCAAACTTGGTTTACTCGTGGCCTGACCTGGTGCTATGCCTTCAACCACGAAGAGGCAGCTAGCTGCTTCGAACAAGCCATTGCCCATGATGCTGAGTGCTCCATGGCTCATTGGGGACTGGCATACTCCCTGGGCCCTAATTATAACAAGCCGTGGGAATTCTTCGACAAGCAGGAGCTTGACAGTATCCTGAGGCGGGGTCATCGAGCTGTGGAGCGTGCTTGTTCCACCGCGACAACTCCTGAGGAAAAGGCTCTGGCACACGCCCTGCAGTTCAGATATCCACAAGAAGAGGCAGCAGAGGCGAAAGAGTGTACGCCATGGAACAAGGAGTATGCAAATGCTATGAGAGGCGTGTACAAGACATTCCCCGAGGACTTGGATATCGCTGCTCTTTTCGCGGATGCCCTAATGAATATGACGCCCTGGGCCTTGTGGGATATACGGACTGGACAACCAGCAGAAGGTGCTCAAACCCTGGAAGCAAAGGCAGTCCTTGATCGGGCTCTGGCACAGCAAGGAGGTGATGCGCATCCAGGGCTTCTGCACTTGTATATTCATCTCATGGAGATGTCAACTACCCTAGAGATCGCACTGCCAGCTGCAGACCACCTGCGGGGGCTTATACCAGATGCCGGTCATCTCAACCATATGCCGACACATCTGGATATTCTATGCGGTGATTATCGGCGAGCGATTACCTCTAATTCCGAAGCCATTCGAGCTGATGAGAAGTTCCTCGCGCGAGCAGGCGCCCTCAATTTCTATTCCCTTTACCGGTCACATAACTACCACTTCCGGATATACGCAGCGATGTTTGCAGGACAATCGAAGGTTGCAATAGACACAATATCACAATTGGAGGCTTCCCTGCCAGAAGAGCTGTTGAGGATTGAATCTCCCCCAATGGCAGACTGGCTAGAGGGCTTTCTCTCCATGCGAGTGCATGCTTTGATACGATTTGGATGCTGGGAAGATATTGTGAAAATGGAACTTCCTCCAGATCCAAAGCTCTACTGCGTGACTACGGCAATGATTCATTATGCCAAAGGTGTCGCCCTGGCTGCTACTGGGAGGGTTAGAGAAGCTGAGGAGGAGCATAGTCTCTTTGTCGATGCCGTCAAGCGCGTTACCAAAAGCCGTATGCTTTTTAATAACACCTGTGTGGATATTCTCGCCATTGCCAGGGAAATGCTGGATGGAGAGCTCGAGTACCGTCGTGGCAACTTGGATGCAGCTTTCGCACATTTACAAAAGTCTATTGTTCTTGATGACCAGCTGCCCTATGATGAACCTTGGGGTTGGATGCAGCCAACTCGGCATGCGTATGGTGCACTTTTGCTTGAGCAAGGCTATGTTGAAAAGGCGTTAGCAGTTTACAGTGCTGACCTTGGTATGGATGATACTCTTCCAAGAGCGTTGCAGCATCCAAATAATGTTTGGGCTCTACACGGGTATCATGAGTGTTTAGTCAAGCTGGGTCGAACAGCAGAGGCGCGCATCATACAGCAGCAACTGAAGGTGGCTGCCGCTATTGCAGATGTGCCTGTCAAATCTTCGTGCTTTTGCAGGTTGTCAACTGGCTAGGAGTGAACACTCGTAGGGTCAGGTACAGACAGTTCTGGAGAGACGCTTTCAAGAAACAATGTTCCTCACAGCCATCAACCACAGGATGCACAGGTGGAGCAGAAAGCCAGTATTTCCTTGCTTATGAGCAAATCTTGAGAGATGTGCTTATGCTGCTCCCAAGGGAATGGTATAGCCTGAAGCCACTCTCCTGCTCACCTAGAAGGCACGTTAACCGTAAGTCAAGCATTTCACATATACATTAGAGCCTATATCCAGCACTCGGTTTTTGGCCCATCAATATTCAAAGTTGCTTGTTCAATTGAGTTTAATTTATGAATAATTACTTCTTATCAAACTGGTGAGGCTTCTCATCCTTTCTGTTCTTCTCCAACCAGAAATACCTTGCCATCTGCTTGTAGATCAAGGTCGTGGCACCGTGGAAGTTGATACTATGATCACTGTCCGTGAACCACTGAACATGGAACTTCTTAGGGCTGACCTTCGCAACAGTCAAAGTGTCAACCAGCACAGCCGAGTTCTGGAAATGCACATTGTCGTCGCCAGTTCCGTGCTGAATCAAGAACCCCCCTCGCACGTTCTGGAAACCGGCTGCATTGCGGATCGCAGTCTTGTTGTAGCCCGCCTCGTTGGTGGAGAGGAGCTTCATGTATCTCTCAGTGTACATGCTGTCGTAGAATCTCCAGTCGGATACCGGAGCTGTCAAGATGCCGAAGGAGAAAGCGTCGCTGTCGAGTTCGAGGACTTTACCGACTAGGTAGCCACCGTATGACCATCCGAAAATAGTAATCTTGGATGCGTCGACGTAGCTTCTCTTGCCGTATTCCTTTGCTGCGTAGACTTGATCGATGGCTTCGAGCGTTCCTATTTACTGTTAGTTCCTGTTCTTTGAAGCAGAAGTTGGGATTTGAACTCACCAAGTTGTCCAGAGACGACATCTCTGAAGGCACGACCCTTGAACCCAGTCCCGCGATTGTCGACCACGAGTACGATATACTCCAGCTCCGGGTCACTCGCCAAATACGCACGGAAATCAACCTGTTTGAAGTTCTTTGTCGTCCTCTGGTCGTTGGGACCTCCATACGGGTCGAAAATGACAGGGTATTTTTTCTTGGGGTCGAAGTTCGGTGGCAGGCGCTCCATTACATTAAATGTAAATCCATCTGGGCCTTCCATCTCGAACCATGATACCTTAGGCAGAGTGTAACTTGCGAGTTTCTCTGCGAGGACCGCGTTGTCGTTTATAGTTTGGAGGGCTGTGCTAGGCGATTTGGTGGAGTAGAGCTTCTGGTAAGGGAGTTCGGGCCCGTTGTAAGAGAGGATATAGTATCCACCTCCAGCAGAAAATGACGCGGTCCACACCCCAGGGCTGCTGTCGTCAACAAGTGATTTCTTGTTTTGGCCGTCCAGGCCGACGGAGTAGAGATGTCTTTCCATGGAGTTACGCTCAGTGGAGGTATAGTATAGCGTCTTGGTAGCAGAGTCGATGTACAGGATGCTAGCAACTTCCCACTCTCCCTTCGTGATGGCCAAAGGTGTTGAGCCGTTTACAGGGTATAGGTAGATGTGCTGCCATCCTGACTCGTCGGAAAGATCGACGTAGGTGTTCGTTCCTGGGATGTAGGAGATAGCCAGGTTGTTCTCGATCCATCCTGGGTCTGTCTTGCGCTCGCGAACGACGGAACTGGATTTCGTGGCGGTGTCAACGAGGATGAGCTTCTCTTGGTCTTGGACTCTGTTGAAGGATCTGAAGATCACGTGGGACGAATCGTCGGTCACCCATGCTACCTCGCCGATGATGAGATCTTCGGGTGCGAAGGAATCGAACTCGATGGTTGTGGGACCGGCGGCTAGGTCTTCGATGTTGAGTAGGTTGAACTTCACGGTTGGGTTCGTCTCGCCGACTTTTGGGTAACGGAGTTGGAGGTAATCTGGGTAGACTCCAGCGGTGTCTCCGTCCATATAGTAAGGCACTTGGTACGTGGGGACCTGTGCGGAATTAATACATATATTCTTGGACCATTGGCTTGGGTATAGGTGTCACTCACTCCTGTCTCATCAATACTCAAATAGGCGAGTTGCTTTCCGTCTGGTGAGAACCACAAGAGAGAAGTCGTTCCGTAGATTTCTTCCTCGTATACCCAGTCTGGGATGGCATTGAAGACATCGGGTCCTCCATCCTTGGTGATCTGAGTCGATGTGCCATTTTGCCAGATGTACAAGTTGTTTCCTCTGGCATAGGCGATGGTATTTCCAACTGAAGACCAGCCGGCGTACTGAATGTCTGAAAGCGGTCAGCTGGGTTGGTCACAGAGGACTTAATGGAACACAAACCTCCAGCTTGATCAGGAACCAGTGGTACTGTGGTCTTGTCTTTCACATTGTAAATGTAGTAGTCCGCGGTGAAGGTATATCGGTATAACTCGGTGTAGTTTGCAATGAACAGAACATGGTCGCTGTGGATCAAGTCAGAACATCTCCATAGTCCGAGAGCCTAGCTCTATGAGAAAACCCTTACCCGCTGGGTTGAATCGAATAATCGTAATAATCTTGAACAGCTGCTCCGAGCTCGCTAGCAGTGACGAATGTTGAACTGTTCCCAGTTACGATATTCGCCAGGACCAAGTCGCCGGTCGAGGTTGTGTCGACGTAAGTACCATCTTCACCCTGAGAAGTCCATTGCAAGCTCGTCCGCTCAACCGTAAAGTTTCCACTGAAGACGTCTTCGAAAGAAACGACTTTCTTGGCGGGAGTTGTGCGAGCATGTGGCGGAAGAGCATTGGCAGTGCCAGCTAGCAGAAGACTCACTGCCGTGCTGATGATCTGGGGGGAAAGAGTTAATTGGTCCACTTATCGAGATACAAGAGGAATTGGATCCTTCGAACGTACACTGAGAGACCGCATTTTGCAGTTATTTCAATATTCTCGTAGGAACAGTGGGGGACAGCACTGTAGTGGGCTACCGGTCAGAAAACCGAGAGCGACGGTCCCAGCCATTGTTGGCAGCTCGAGTGAGCTTTATAGCTCTGAAGCTGCCCATTAACCGCTGCATCAAGCCGGCTGATCTCAATTACGAGATACTTTTCTTATCGAGGCCATTCAATGTGACCAACATGACCTTCCTGATTAATGACATTTTATGAGTCTGCCAAGTGGGGAGAGTCTTGGATGCGGGGCACGACAGGGTGCTGTCGGGTACCTGGAAAGTGGCGTGCCATGCGGGAGAGTAGAGATCAGATAACTTTTTATTTCGTGCCTGACCTGAACAACAGCAATTGAAACACGCGTTAGTAGATGTGTCGTTCAAAGAACATTGAGTATATGTAGTATGTGATGGTTATGAAACAAAACAATCCGATCGTGACAATGTAAATCGCGTCAATGGAGGTTGGGGAATCAGGGACAGCTGCCCTGTGTGAAGCTTGGCCGCCTTGGCTTTTGCATGGCCCGATTGCTAGAATCTTGGGGAAGCGTGCGACCTTCTAGAATAGGAAGGATATGCTACAAGGGGCCTGTGAAACTCAATCGCGCAAGAATCCGTTGACGCGTAATGTGTGGTGCAAGAGTGGTGGGCATTGTGAGGCAATCTTTCGGTAGAAGACGATTCATAGGTCATTTGCACATTTACTTGTGTGGGGCAGCAAGCATATAGTTTTACAATAGACGGGCGAATGCTTTGTAAATTACCACCAGCTTTCCCGATACTTTCGGCTCTACATTAGTACTACCGAGATAAGCTTACCGCTGTTTGACTTTCATCAAGGTTTAGCAGTAAAACCTTGTCGAAGACTTCGGTTCGCCTATAAAGTTAGAGAGCTTCCATATCAGAGAAATTGCCGTTCAGCTAGGTTTATTGCTGCATACATCTAGTCCGTGATACATCAAACTGTCTTGACTTATATCTAACCCAAGATTTGATAATCCGACGCAGATTAGCTTAAGAACCGGAGACAAATATCAAAAGTCAAGTACATTCCGTATTTGTGGAGAATAAGCTTTTCTTGTCAAGGTCCAACCCCGCTTCGCCTCCTTTAAGCGAGTCATTGTCTAATCTTCTGGAAGTAAACATATATAAGCGAGCCCTGAATACAGTTTCCGTTCGCATGATAAGCAATGAATATCACGATATTACGAGTCAATGTGATTTTGTTGATATGATAAGCAAAGGATGTCACTTCATTACGAGTCAATATGGATTCAAATACGAATAACTCTACCGGGGTATGATTTAAAAACATATTATATTTCTTCCGTTCTTGCGAAATATCTATGGAGTCTGGGGTAATCACTGACATAGATAAACGAAAAGGAGCAGAGGCACAACATTCAAGCTTCTATAGAACTCGCACTCCTCCAGTTACCAAAATATATTGGCTACTTTGACAACTGAACAGTCAGGCTCTACAACACAAGCCCAACAGCCAAGCCAAAAGCGCCCAATGCAACCCCTCCAGCTCTGATCTTCTCTGCTGCGTTGGAACTCGTTGCTGCTGCTGCTGCTGCACTCGAAGTCTGTGTGGCAGTGGTATCACTGCCTGTACTGTCCGCAGCTGAGGTCCTTGTTGCAGTTGTATCTGCACTTGCTTTCGCAGGCGAGTTTCCAATGGCAGTGCCGGCACGTGTAGTTGTTGTAGCTACCTCTGTTGCGACGTTTGCCGGTGTACCCGTTCCTGTTTGGACGACTCCACTTGGTGATGTATAGGTTCCGTCTTTGAGGCTACCGTTTCCTCCCAGGTCGTCATGATATGAACCTAAGAATGGAGTCAGCATTGTGACTTTTGGGTAAAATGTTGAGGTGAATTCTTACCATCGCTCAGGTTCACACAAAGCAGGGAGTCATCCGTGTATTGATAACAAGTCTCTGCGCTCGAGCAGGTGAGGGTTGCTCGCTTGTTGAATGTATTGCGCTTTCTCAGCTTGATCAAGCCGTCTGATGGGTCATCACCGGTCCCAGTTCCAGCACCAGTGGTGTCGTCACAAGCGGAACCTGGCAAGAATAACTCAATTGACAGTCCAACAAGATACAAAAAATTTCAAGCCTTACCTCCGACAGCGTTGCATTGCCCCGCCATGATCAAGTCCAGGCAGCCGGTCACACAGGCTTGATCTTGTTTGCAGTAGTTTGCACAGTCCGAAACGCTTTGTGCGCCTCCGTAGATGTCTCCTCCATTTCCCCCTCCAAAGCTGGTTCCGAAGTTATTGTTGGTGGGCCATGGTTTTGCACCCGAGGCTGTACATGTAGCTACTGCAGTGAAGTCGATGATGGCTAGCGCAACGGCGGCCCTGGTGAGTAGCATTTTTATTGAACAGACAAGGTTGAACAACAAGGTGTGAGAGGGTTAAAATCGAGGAGAAAGTGGATTTTGAGTTTGATATTGCCGGGTACTTGATTGCTTGATACAGAAAATCATTTCCAAATACGGCAGCATACCTCTCTTTTAAACCCATCCACATTTCGTCTGTCCCCTGACCGGTAAGCTCAATCAGTGATGGAAACATTGATTAAGTGGGTCAGAAGATACAGGCATGAGCCCAGATGAGTCTTTATCAGATAAAACGAGTGTGCCGTTCCAAGGTGACTTCAGCCTTGCTGAGCTTGCACCTTGGCAAGAGAAAGTAGTGGCAGTGCGAGATGACCTAATTGGACAGTTTAACGACAAATCCGGTGAAGCTGAACAATTTTGATAATTGCGGCGTTTGGTCGAAGTTGGGATGGGAAGTTCAGTCCTGAATAGGTGTTCAGCCTCAGCCGTGGCGTTATGAGGCGTTCCTGGTCAGTCCGCCTCGCCTTGTGGTCTAACGCCGCCAATTTGCGTTTGTCGAGAATATGATAGGTTTCTAAAAGCCAACGACTAGAAATGTGTCGGATTCGGCAAACACAAAAAGAAGCTTAAACCATAGATCAATCCCCGGAGGAATATCCGCTCCTCACATTAACAACTAACTGGCCCCCGAGGTCGTCAGTTTTGGCGACTCGGTTCGCTTTGACCTGCCACGCCTTATCATTGAGCCAAGCCTCCACAGCTCAGACCAGCCAGCCATCTCAAGTTTATATCTACTCGGTGACTTTTTCTGGCGTGAAATTCCAATGGTAAGGTTGACTTTCTCATGCCCGAGTTTCGTGAGCATGTTTGCTCTCAAGTCCATCTTGCCCATCCGGCATGATTCTCGATGTACATTTCTGCTCCACACCGATCAACGCTCAATGGCACTGATGATGAGCATCCAAGACTTAAATCTGTAAATAATGCACACAGTCAGAGATGAAGGAGGCGCATCGAACTAAACCAAATACAAGTGTGTCGCGCTGTCAGGGGGTCGTCTTGGTCACCCTCGCCTCCCTCTATTTCTCCTCGGCTGATTGAACGTTGATTTGATTTCGTTTGTAATGCATTTCAGTCGTAGGCATATTTTTGTATTTCTAACAAGCTAGAGCATAGTGCATTCCAGAGCATCTCTTTTTTCTTATCCGAATTCAAGTGAGCCCAGCTCCACACGTTCAAATAAAGCATGTCCTGCCTGCGCCATCCCTATATGTCGTGTTCGTAAATATATATCAAAGAAGGGTCAAATAGTCTCAATTTCTCAATTCATTCATTCCATGAAGTCGTCTGATTCAAGATCCGCCCACTAGGCGACTATTCCCGTCTTCTGTTGCGAGATCAACTCAGGCGTGCTCGCGCCAGGACATCCCACTCCCTTCACCCCCGTGAAACTCTGCAGAGTGATAATCATTGCCGTTGCCCGGTCCTTGTTGGTTTTTGTATCCTGTACTTTTGGGTCGGTGTTGAAGGTAATGGGTGTTCCGAGGACATTTCCAGCTGCGATATTGGTAGCTAGCTTAGAAATGAATTCCGCACGCGCGGGAGGACAGGTCTTGGGAATTGCAACTCCATTTGCACCTATGCCTGTGCCAGACTGGATGGAGAAGACTGGGACGAGAGAAGGATCAAGATTTGTGGGATTGTTGTTGTTACCGGGTGCATTGGTGCTCGCTGGTGGATTGATACTCGTCGTTGGAGACCCGGCAGGGGGATTATTGTTGGAGGGATTGCTGTTTTGAGGCGGGTTGCCTTTCATAGGCGTGCCGATGTTCGTAGCTGGTGATCCAGGTCGCCCTCTATGTCTTCCGGGCAATGCATCGACGCTGAGGCAGAGAAAGAATACAAGCGTTGTGGAGATAGACAATTGCATTTTTGATCTCTGAGTATCGTAGGTCCGAGAGAATGGGATGAGTTTATGTAATGAGTTGGAGGAACTGCGGGTAGACTCGAAAGGGATGAAATAAAGTCAGAGCCAGTCTGAGTGGAGAAAGAGCAAATAAAGGAGTGACGAGAAGTGGAAGTGAAGAACAATAGTCCTATCGAGGAACTGGCAGGAACTGGCTCTTTGGAGAATACATCGCAATCCTTAAGTATCGCATGTAGTAGCCTCAAGTAACTCACTCCTTCCACCCCTCAGCATCACATTCACGTACAGAAACGGCTTCATTCGAGAATGGACCCTTGTTTCAATAGAAGCTTTGTTTGAACCATGGTGCCTTATTTTAGTCGCTAGTGCAGTGCTTGCGTTTGTTTCGTCCAAACATGGCGGTTGTTGTCGATCTGGCACAAAATCGTGGGACGGTAGCACAAATAGCCTAAACTGTCATTCATGGCATGTTTCATCCGAAGTCGAATGAAAATCGATTCGTGGGGTGTACAGATGTGATCAGACCGTCTCTGTACAGTTCCTGTTTCAGTTGTCGCCACCCCACCACTCCTTCAGACGCAACCCCCTGGACTAACAGATAAGCGAGCTCCGACTTAGGTCAATAGAATGATACTGTAGGTCAGGCTATGGCTCTGACTTGCTGATTGTCAAGTACACAGGAGGTTCTCAAATGCTACCACCGCTTCAAAATCATCTGTCTGCCGTCTTTTATTCATGGTGCAGGTTTCAGCTCCATGCACACGGGAACTCATTTCCATGTGGGCTTGGTCACGTGAGTTGTCACAGACTTGCTCTGGATATCTATGTTGTGGCATTCGTTGTTGAGTGCTATGTTAGGAAGTTCCCATGATTTAGGCTTATGGCTATCTGTTTCGGACGATAAAAGAGGTTCTGTTATGTACAGCATGAAGCCTGCGGCGGTGATGCCTGGAACGATTCGGCTACGGCTCCAGCGTAAACAATAGAGAACTCGGAGAAGGCAAACCATTGACACGGGATAACGCAAGTCGTTCGAACAATAAAGGGCGATTTTTAGAAGCATAAGTTATTGAGATATCACATTCGCTAAAAAATCGGAGCTTTTTAGCGTTTGCAGGAATTATCGCCAATGATCTGTGGTCAGCTTCACACAGCCTCGAGTTTGACACAAGAAAACAGTTTGCAGTTCTTGTCTAGACCCAGGAACTGTGCGGCATAAATGATAGAGTTTCCTTTTGGTTACAGAGATCAGAATATGAATGATGCACCACAAAGAAGGATTCTTGATCCGGATTCACATGCGGAGCATACTCATTGGCAGTCATAGCGGAGTTAGCAGTGTCATCTGCAAGCCACAAGTAATCCAAACATGTGTCATTTCTTGAGCTAATTCGAATTTTCCTATGCCACCAGGAACAACGAGGATATCAAGAGGCTTTCATGTTCAAGAAAATGTGAGCGGCGTAAAGCTGAGGTTAGAACGTCGATGAGACTAAAGCAGTGCCGAAGAAGTGGGAGCAACAAGCACAGCCCAAGGGGTGTGATAATGGAGCGACGTGATATAGCCGACGAAGGATAGGATTAGGTTTATGACGGTGGATCCGAAGTTTCAAAAAGCCTGTCCATATGGTGGTGCGTTCATCATCAGCCCGGGGAGTGGACGCACGTCGTAGGAGCTGATGGTACGTGGGTAGACAAGATACGGTTTGCTATTGTCGAACACCACCGTCTGAGAGGGACCAAGATTGGAACTCCAATTAGTAAGATGACAAGTGCGAGGCTGTAATGATATCACTCGACCAAATTTCACTTCCTGCCGAGTTTTGGACTCGTGTGTACTTAATCCCAGTCGTAGATAGATTTTACTGGCGGCTATGTACTGTATCTCGTACGCGTGTTGGGTAGCCAATCTCATGTAATTGAACTCCATCCCCCAAACATGCGTAAACTCGGCGATACAACAGTATGCTGAGCCGTAGTTCACTCTCAACCATACCTAACCACCAACATTTCGTAGTTTACCAAATGAGAGACTGGGAATGGGTGCGAAGATGCAGCTGTGCAGCCTTCCATATCTGGGCCACTCACGCGAAGCTTACTCAACCGAAGCGAATAAAACGACAAGTACATTCAAACTGGCTGAATGTCGACGGCCAAGACTGGACTGGTTGAGAATATACGCGCGCTTCCTTTATAGTACTGCATCAAGCATTTGGAAACCCAATATTGTAAACCAAGAACAGCTGCTTGCATCCTTTACACCCCTCCAACAGAGTCGGATTGCCTTCTTCCCTTCGACTAGTTCATGGTCTACATTGCAACACTGCTGATTATGCACCTACTCAATCCAGTCGTTCCCTTTCTTGAGATGATAGCAGAATCCAGAGACCTGAGCCCATGGCAGACTTACATCTCCGCTCGTCTTTGCATCAGCAACGCCAAATTCAGACTCGCACCCCAGGTGCCCAACCTAGTCAGCATCTCCGCCCCACTTCTAAACAACACCTTCTGCTGCACCTTCCCGTCACCCTCGCTATTTCTGCATCAGTCCTCAACAGCGAAATGAACGAGCTATTCCTCAGATCTTCATCCAGCTCTAGCCGTCGAAGCAGCTGGGCCCTTTGCTCCTTCGCTGAAACACTTACGAATACCCAGAGGATGACATGGCACAGGAAAATAGCGATGAGACTGTATGGTGCAGTGTCTAGGTAGCCGATCTGGCCGCCATTATCTGATGGGCTGAGAAACATGATAGCTTGGACAGCACGTTGCGCGACTTGTTCTGTTTTCAAAGAGGATGGGCGGGCCCAGGATGAGAGGCTGCTCATGGCCTGGGTAATACCGACTGTGCCATCTTTGCCGATTGCGTTTTGAAGGTCTGGGAGTGGAATGTAAAGGAGTATGGTGCTTAGTCTGTGAAGTATGTGAGATGAGCGGGTAAAGTATTCGGTTGAGGCATCGCGGATAGGATGGTGCGATGAAAGGTAGGATGAGGCAAAAGACTGGAGTGAATCTATAACGACACATCAGAACATATCCATATCCATTTTGATGGTATAGGCTACAGACCTTCCATCTGAGATCGAGATGTGGTGTTGAGAAGGCGACCTGAGGAACCACACTTGGCCTGATCGTGGAGATCTGCTTCGTTCAGAGACCACTCGTCGTGGTCGATAAGATTCCTAGAAATCGCATATTCTTGTGTAATCTGATGTATCTGTGGTGTGATCGTAGTGAGAACAAGAAAAGCACTCCATGGATTGAGGTTCAAGACTGGCAGGTGCCCTTGGGATTGCCCCTGGGATGTCGTTGAGTTGCTACTTTTGTGCCCCACATCATCACCAAGCACGAATGGACCGACAGCAGCAGAAAATGACCTCGAAGGTGGCACAGTTGCTGGACCTAGCAAATGCTTCCAACTTCTCGCTGACCCCGCTGCCCAAAACTCCTCGTCACATGGACAGCCTAGGTCTCTGACTTCGCCGACTGATATAGTTGGCGGCAGGTTCAATAGACCGGGAAACTGAGAATCAATTGTGTAAACTACCCAGGCGAGCCTCTTCTGAGACTCCTCTTGCACCCATTGTCTCCAAGCTGAGTCTAAAGTTGAGGCTATTGTTGCTTGAGTGGTCGTTACAGGTAATAGCTCTCCAAATTTGATGCGCCGAATGTATGTTACAAGTGCACCTCTTCCCACCTCTGCAAGCTCAAAGGCTCGCTTGTTCCCACACCATAATCCTGTGTGTACAATCAGAGCCTGGGCGTAAATTATCATGGGACTGCGCATGAATGCATTGTTGCATTCTACTGCGACTTGAAGATGCCAGCGAGTAGCATCGAGAAGCACTATAGCGAACCTACGGGTGTGCTTTAGACGGCTATAAATGGCACCAATGATAATCATGGCGGCGATGAGGGGTGGTGGCAGATCCTTGTTGGTGTTGATAGTTGCGTGGTGGAGGACGGGCATCTGTGGAGAGAAATGCTTAAAAAATAATCCGATGAAGAGATTTACCACATTGAGCGGTGGCAGGACGAAGGATTTTCTCGTAGAAGGATGTTCTGTGAACTGTGGATAGAGGAAGGACTCCAATTGTGAGAGTGTTGCCTCTGAAATATCGAACCTAGGATCATGAGCGTGAAACAGTGGGTGACTGCCTGGGACGGAAATTGGATGTGCGGATAATATCTGTTGAGAATTTGGATTCCACTGGAAAGGCCATTTATCCTCTTCAGATGCCTCATTAGGAGGTGAAGAAATTCGGCTAATTGGTCCATCTTGGTGAAATCCTTGGTATGATCTTCTCCGTTGCTCAGCAGCTCCTTGCTCTCTCGGCGGGTCAGCAAAACCCCATGTCTCTGCAGATGCTAAACTTGGACCAATGCCGCTTATTCCTCCCAATTCGTTACCAGTCTCGCGCATAGCGGAGTAGAAATCAAAGGAGAACCACTCATGACCAAGAGGCGTTATATCCTGGGGTATGAGGAAAGATGAGAAATCGAACGGTTCAAATGGCATATCAACGTCATATGGGAAGTCGGAAAAGTCATCATGAATCCTTTGCATGTCCTGGACTGAGTCAACGGGCGGTGCCAGATGATTTTGCGGGTGTTGCACGTGAGGCGTCGGCGAAATATCCTGATAGGTTTCTATATCCAAGTCCGAATGGCGGCCTATAGTAGGATCAAGAGCAGAGTCATGCTGTAGCAGGTCACCACTTTCAACAGCAATGAAATCGGGGAGAGCGGAATTGGCATCCCGGATGTCGTCCTCATTCTGCTTCCTTCTTTTGACAGGTCGGCGTCTTGTCTTCGCTGTAGCACGATCCCATCTTTCATGGCCTGCTTCATGACGCTTCAGGAGATCGCTTCTTGTGAAGCCTTTGCCACATATTGAGCAACAATGAGAAGGTGTGTTATCTGGAGACTACGTCAGCCTCGAAATGAACCAAAGCCAGTCTCGGAGGTCCTACGCGTTTTCAAATGTCGACTAAGATTTTCCCTTCGGTTGAAATTCTTCTCACATAGCCCGCAGCTAAATGCTTCCTGCTGGAAGTCTGAGTGGTTTGATGCAGTAGAGCGGGCCACATGTTCCGGAGCAGCATTGGGATCTGGATAGTCCACAGAAGGTCCAGATTCGGATGCTTGATTGTCTCGGAAGGTGGACATTGTGAGATATTTGCTCGGCTTTTCGCGAGAGTCCAATCTAAGCAAATAGATAAAGCAGAATTTCCTTTCCAAGGACAACGAGATGAGGTGGATATTCGACCTCGCGTAAATGGAAACGCTATCTATGGCTCTGGTTTCCAAGTCCACTCCAGTCACAGTACAGTACTTTCCCGTCCACTTCCCCGCACGCTGCACCCCGCAAAGCAACGCCACACCAGCGATTCAGCGCCACAGATCCTTGGCCCATCTGGACTGACTGACTATTGTTACATTATTATTATGAAAAAATATGATTACCTGTATCTGGTATCTATAGCTAACTTAGCCATTTCGGTAGCAACCTCAAAATCGAAAACTGCCTCAACCATCTAAACCATCCACTGGCTGGCGCTTTCCTTTGTGCGGCCGCTGATGCTCTCGTACTGGACACTCCGACCTTCGCTACCTTCGCCGTCATATTCTTAACCTCTTCGCTGGTCTTTTGCATTCTGATGGTGACTATGCCATCCTGACCTGCAACAACTTGAGATGCAAATAGTCCTTGACTATTATCATCAGCACGTCTTATACTCCATCCACGTGGCGCGACAACCTCCGCAACCGAGCCACTTGGCACCTTCAAAACAACACACCCCAATCCCAAAGACTCCTGCATGTCCATCGAAACCTCAATGCGACCAACCGGTGTCGAAAGAGCTACATCCACACTGTCCAATCCAGCCAAAACAGGCTGCACTTTCCACCGTGTCCAACCGGGCTCCAGCGGTGCGACTCCTGCCAGGTACCTGGGAAGTAAGTATACAGGCCACGTTGACCAGCCGTGCATGAGAGATGTGTCTTTTGTGAAGGGTGATCCGTCCGTGTTCAAAGCTTCCCAATGCCCCCCCGAGTAATTCGGGTTCGTTTCATCTGCCATTGCGCCCCAGACTCGCTCGATTAGCTCGATTGCTGAATGCCCATGTTCGCGTTCGAAAAGTGCCTCAGCTGCGAAGCCTGAAGCGTATGGACTCACCACTTTGTTGTCGTCCCAACTTGCTAAGCTTTGGAATGCTAGTGGGAGTTCTTTCCCCTTCGGTGCAGCCAAAATTGTCTTTGATGCTGCGTGGATGGGAGACAAGCCAGTCGTGATCGCGTATGCGTTGATGTCTTGACATATCCCATTTGGAGAAGCAGTGTCACTCGTTCGCATGATACCCTCGGTATGGTTCCATAGATGAGTGAGAATGCTCTGTTTAAGAGAGGCTGCTCGTGGCGAGAAGGGATCCTTTGAACCGTGGACCCTGCTCATCCTCGCCATGGAGGTTAAAGCATCGTAGTATGCGATGTTAATTTTGCCCGAAGCTCCGAAGATGGGGACACCCATAGGAATCCAGTCCACTGGAACTGTTAACTGCGGCTTCGAATTCTGCTGGACCTACTTACTGGAAAGTGGAGGTGGCGCAACAACAAGACCTCTCTGGTCGGTAAATTTCTCTACGAAGCCTAGCAATTTCTCCAACTTATGCCAGATTGATCTTACAGAAACATCATCACCCGAGTGCATCCAGTAGTCCTTTATAGCGACAACTAGTAACAACGCGTAACTGAGAGAATAGAATGCATAAGTTGGGGGTTCGATCGACTCTTCGTGGGTTGGTGCCTGGATGGGACACAGGTTACCCAGATAGCCCTCTGTCGTCTGATGACTGGTGAGAAGTGTTATGCTCCCCAATAAGGCGTTGAGATTGGCTGTGGAATGGCAAATTGACCGTCCCATTACGAAGAGATGACCAGCGAACAAAGCTCTGTCCCGTTTGGCCCCATCGATAGTGCATGAGAGGGCATTCGTGCCAACAGCGAAATCTGCGAGTGTTCGGTCTTTGCTTGCGAGAAGGAAATCATTCTGATACAGAGATATTCCTCGCGGATCGGTGACTTGAACGTTTCGATAAGTTGAAGCATAACCCTGTGGTCCGCCAAATGCCACTGACCCGCTGTTGTTCTGGCTTTCGCCAAGAATAGGGTGAATGTCAACATCTGATACCATAGCAAGTTAACACCATTGAGCGAAACCGAGACGCTTGAACCCGTCGCAATCGTAGTGACAGAAATCCAATCATCCAAAGAAATTTCGAGTGCTATTTCCCATCTTCCACAAGCTTTCGTTGGGAAAACCCCATTCGTGTCTGACAGGCCCTGGAAAGCCGCAAGAGCCCTTTTCTTTAAGTCGAGGCAGAAAATTAACCCATTAGCCACCATGTGCACTCCCCAACTGGCACCCCCTTGCTCGATTTTTACGTCGAAATTAAGCTTCACGTCTCTCCATCGAGTACCATGTCGGCACGGCGCCCAGTGCTGTCCAACGATGCGCGTTCCCTCTTCGGTCACTTCCCATGCCTGGTGTGTCTCTCCAGCTTCTACTGTGCAGGCGTCAACGGTTCGGACTCCATCCACCCAAACTTTGTTGAGAAGTTTATTTGAACAGGAGAATGAGTTGATGGTAGGGTTTGGGGCTCGCATTGGCTTGAAGCCAATTGATGATATGCAAAGGGAAGAGTTCGGTGTTTTGAGAATCACTCTCTGTCTGGTATCTCTGGGATCGTTGCGCGAAAGGTAACTGAACTAAAGTCCCTGTCTCTGATGGCTCGAAGGCTTGCTCGTGTACTCGGTATGTGTCCATGGCATTGGAAAATAAGAAGAAAGGGCCGTCTCCTGTAAGACATCAGCAATGATCCCGAAACAAAACCATAGTGTCTTACCAGTCTCACACTGTATTCCAGCATAGGTTTCGCTGAATATTATGTCAACCTCTACGACTCCATCTCCAATAACACTGCTACTTTCAATGACAGGCATTCCCCCAACTGCAAACTCATAGTCAAACGTTATCTCGGAATGTCCTTTTAGTCCATTAGAGAGCATGAAACCTGCAGCCACATCGACATCTCCTTTGCAGGTCCATTTGGAAGGAGTGGTGAAATCCATATCTCTGTTGAACTTGGGACACTGAGGAGACCACTGGGGATAATTATTCGTAAGATTGATGCAGTGGAATTTCCGGCAGTCAAAGATACAAGCAAGAACGAGAGTCGCGACTCCTTTAATCCTGAATAACAAATCGAGTTTCTTGATCGAAGGAAGGCCAGAAACTATCAAGCATTGTTTAAGGGAAGAGAAAATAGAAATACCGTTCGCAAAGACTACGAGTACTACATACAGTATCCACTGAGAGTACCGTCCACCTGGCGTCACTGTCATATAGCGTTACTCTGTGGTCGTGTTTTGTTTCACTCGGGCTTCCGAAGCGAACAACGATCTCCATTCAAGAGCACGTGACCCGGCATGTCCACTGCAAGCACTAACGTGAAGGTTACCTACCTAGTAGGACGAACAGCTGTCCACTTCCAGTTCATCCTCCCTAGACCCAGTTAAGTACGAGTTGCACAACCCGTCCACTACTCGCTGTTATCCCCTCAACTGCCGAAACCCACTTTTCCAGGGCATAACGCTGAAGCGAGGCGCTAAGGCTGCCTGGACAACAACACAAGTATTCAAATTTCAGCGTTCTTCGCCTAATTACAGGGTCTCCTACAGGTGTGTTTGATCCGGCAGTTGAGGGGATAGCTGCCCACCAAGTACTGTAAAATACATTCCGGGAGATAGGGAGACTTCCCCGACTACATCCATCGGCTTTATCACTGCCACCACAGCACGTCCTGCTTTGGTATATTTCCCTCTCCTTACAAACAATCATTTCTCTAGACATACTGCCGAATCCCCAGGCCCCATCCACGCCTGCTCAACACGAGCTGGGCCAGCTGGCGTAATCCTGACAGCGACCTGCCAGTGCCCACTACACTAGCATTCACCCAGCAAGGCGCCATTCAATGCACAGTCTACACCTCGATAAGCTGAGAAGGCGTGCACCACGGTTGGCCCTGAGCCCCAGACAGCTCCGCTGGAACTGTATCCAGCACAAAAGGTCGTTGCTGAAGAGGGGCTGTGTGATGCAGTTGAGTACTCAGGAAAGGATGAAGGGATGGTGGAAGAAGCGCCTCGGGTTTTGAGTCATACTTGGAGTTAGTGGCTGGTGGGTTATTGGGCTCATCTGAGAATGTGTGTCTCAATGTACGTTTTAGTCCTAGGCCTGTTTCCAATCCGAACGTGTGTTATCAATAATATGCACTTCGCGAACCGTGTATATCCTCTCGTGCCTCTTACGCACTAGAATAAAGCAGCAGAGTCCTCGATTTAGGCTGCGGCGTATATGGGATAGCTCATGCTGCAAGCACGTACTTACTTAAAGATACACATGGCCCAACAGTGCACCGACATGTCTACAATCCAGATTCTTTCAGATCTTCATCTCGAAACCCCTAAAAGCTACGATGTCTTCCAGATCATCCCAACATCACCATACCTGGCTCTCCTCGGCGACATCGGATGTGTAAAGGACGAAGAGTACTTTACTTTCCTCGAGCAACTTTTGTCCAGCCACGAGATTATCTTCCTTCTCCTCGGCAATCACGAGCCATACCATAGTGATTGGACAAACTCCAAGCAAAAAATATGAAACTTCGAGTAAGAAAGTTCGGGAAAAGAAGGCGTCCCAAAATCTCGCATCATTCGTCTTACTAGATCAGACTCGATTCAACCTTTCCCCGAAGCCCACTATCTTGGGCTATGCTGTTTTCCAAAATTCTACCATCTCAGATGAACGACGTCAGCTTCGGTATAAACGATTTCTACCATAGTCAAGATTGGACCGTGGAGCAGCAAAATGAAGCTTTTGCCGCTGACTTGGCCGTCAGATCCCCAGAGCATTGCATCTCCATGTTCACTTCCTTTGCAGCTTTGAAAATCTTTTGTGTTTTGTTTCAAAACTCCCGAAAATATTCGAAATAAGTACTAGAGCTTGCGAGCTACATATCTCTTTTCTAATGAAGCAGTACTGACTCTGAGAACTTGCAGTGGCTGAACTCGGAAGTTGCGTCGATCATGGATAATGAGTCAGAGCGCCAAGTCATTATTCTCACTCATCATAGCCCTAGTAATTCTCCCGCAGTTATCGACCCTGTACATTCTCAAAGCAGGATCTCGTCGGGCTTTGCTACCGATTTATCCGGTGAGCCATGCTGGACTAGCGGGAATGTGGTAGTATGGGCTTTTGGACACAAGCATTTTAATTGTGATTTTGTTGAAGAGGGGAGTGGGAAACGGGTCGTTACGAACCAGAGGGGTTGTTATTTCCAACAGGCAGTGGGGTTTGATGTGGAGAAGCGCGTTGAGGTTTGATCATGATGCGGGATGCTGGAGATCGCAGTCGGCGTTTAATCTTGCTAGCTATTGTGGGTATGGAATGACCGCACGAATCGATCATTGGCGTAACGCTGGAGACAAGCAGATGGACCACATTTGGGGCTATTAGCGGTAGAATATTCATAGATTCCTGAGCAAGGCGTGGCATTCCATAGGTTTCTACAAAACCAAAGCCATGCCAAGTTGTAGAAATAGCACTCGCCGAGGCAACAGATAAAACGCAAACTGCAAGGAGGTATCATTTATGATCATCCTCTGTCATCGCTTAAATGAAAGCCAGCAAATGCCCTGACCCCAAAGCAACGCCTTTGAGTCAGCCCATCAATTTTGAAACCCCGGAATCAAAAAACGCCAGAGATGATATGTTTAGGAAGACCTTGGAACCCTCGCCGAGAAAGGAGCTAGCCATTGGAAGGAAATCTCATACTCGGAGTCATTGAAAGTCTTAAATCCATTAGTGATTATTAGAGCAGGCCGTGCAAGATCAGCGATAATCTGCTTAACAGGCGCTTCGGCGAAGGGAGAGAACACTATGGAGTCCTGGTCAATTACTGCAAAGCCTTCTGCACCAAACTTCCCAAAGATCGTAAAACCTTTTCTCTCCAAAAATTTCACCGTTTCGTTTGAGTAGTCGGGGTCCTGGGTTATCAATTGGACCGCTTCACTCCCATGATTCCGACAAATCTCCGCTAGAGTCAATGCAATCAAGTGATGAAAAATGCGGCGATCCTTGCCGCGTGTAATCTCTGCCTTTGATGCATCATCTTTTCTCATCCAGTCTGGAGGTCTGCGGAACATGTCACCCAACCCAAAACACACAATCTTCGCCACCGTCCTAGTCTTGATATGCGTGTCAATATAAGAGCTTAGAAGATTGTAGCTGGCACTACCATTCCAAGCAAGCATCTTGTCTTCGAAAATCAAGTCCAGCTCCTCTTCAGACTCGCGAAATCTCCGCACAGCTTGGTTGGTCCATTTCACAAGATATGAGCAGTGATACGTTTCGGGGGGGGCCTGCGGTTGTTCTTTGATAAGTTGCCAGTACCCTTGAAACTGAACATGTGGCTTCCTACCAAAGCTTAGTACGGCGCAAGTATAGCAAGCATCGACTGACCAGATTGGCTTTTGTACATCAACTAGAGGATTTCGTATTTGGATCATCGTGCCGTCAATGCGGCGAATTGCAAATTTCTCGGTAGTATCGGATTGTGTAAGTTGTCGTTCAATCTCTACGAGATCTGCCTTGTTCCAAAGTTTGACTCCCGAATCATACAGTTCTGCTGCACGTTGGCTACTACTTATCCAGTCCGAGCAAGCGTAAGTGCTGATGGGCTCCTTGTGAGGGAAGTTCCTGCTGAGAAGTAGTGTTAGCATCCTCTGCGGCTTCCGAGTGTCAAACTTACTGTTTGAGTAGAATCATGGTGCCTGCAAGAAGAATTAATACTGTGATCATCGCCATTTTAAATAGGTATTGCTCCTGGGTCTCGAGCTCTGGCAGAGATTTGCACTTCGACATTGTATTATTAGCAGGAAGATACCTAGCATGGACTGTACAGTCTACTTCTCTTTCACCAGCAACACAAATTTGTTCTGACCTGAAATGCACTGACCTATTAAATGAAGTTGCCTCTGTCAGAATTACAGTTGTATAAGGAGCTACTACAGAGAGAGAGAATCTCCTATATAAAGGAGTAGTGTACTTAGTAGTACGGCCTATAGTACTAAGTCTACGCTTATAATCTTTATATTTCTAATAGCTCTTTTATTCTTTATATCTGTAGTAAATAAAGCTTTCTAAAATAGTATAGTACTAAATATTCTTAAAGCGATACTAGAGTATTACTAAAGTATTACTAATAACTTATATTATATAAGGAGCTTCGATTATACCTTATTAACTCTTATAATATATTAGTGTATATATAGTACTTATATCTCTTATTTTCTTAGAAGTTTAGTAACTTTATAGTATTAAAGTATATAAAATAATATAAAAGTATACTTAAATCGCTCTCTTATTAATAATCTCTTACTCTTACTACTCTTATTTACTCTTATTTATAGTTACTTTATACTTTCCTTTTATAACTACTAAGATTTATTCCTTACTAGCTTTCTCTTTAGTCTCTAAAGTATATAAAAATTATTCTCTTCTAGTTTTATTTTCTTTCTTTCTTCTTTTAATTATAAAATAAGATTTATCTTAACTATTAAGTATAGTAGTTATATATTATTATTTTACTTAATTTATAGTTATATATTATTATTAAAGAAAGTATTTATTAAAGGACTAATTTTCTATAAAGAATATTCTATTTTTATAAGTTCTACTACTAGAGATAGTCTTAATTTATATAGGTCTACTATTAATTAGCTAATTATTATTAATCTTAAAGTTATTATTAGAGAATTAATTATTACTAAGTAACTTTATATATATCTTATATTATTTAAATAATTCTAAAGGTAAAGCTTTTATAAGAGTATCTATTATATTATTATTACTTAGAATATATTTTACTACTAACTTATTATATAAAACTATATTATCTTAAATATAGAATTAGTAGATATTAATATACTTTACTTTTAGATAAAATTTTTATTCTTTTAAGAGAGATTTAGCTTTAGTATTATTAAGATATAGTATAGGAATTCGGGATAGCTTTATATTAAAGTCTTTCTATAGCTTAAGTAATTAAGCTACTTCTTTAAAGCTATTACTAGTAGTTATTATCTTAGAATCTAAGCTAAAGAGAGCTATAGATCTTTACTTATTAGTAGCCTAAGAGATTAGACTTCTATAGAATCTTATTATCTATCCTTAGAACGATTTCCTATTATATTCTATTCCCTATATAATATTAGTTTAAATATTAAATATATTATTATCTAGCTTCCTCTTATATTCTATTCTTATTCTAAATATTATTCTATTACCTTTTATATACTATAGATATCAGAGAAAAGGTTTTATATCTTAAAAGTAAGATTTAAAGAGATTTAATATATACTACGCTAGCTAGCTTATTATATAAGTAATATTAAGTTATATAAGGTTTAAGAGGTATATTAAAGAGCTGATAATCTACTAAAATAGTAAGATCTCTTTAAAGGAAGCTAATATAATACTTTTATCTTTAGCTAACTCCCTTAGTATTATTCTAGTAGTTATAAGTAAGGTATTACTTCTAGCTATAGCTATTCTAAACTTTTCTAGTAGCTTTTAAGTATAAGCTATTTAATAAATCTGTAGAGTCTTATTCTTCTTATCCCTTTTAACTTATAAGCTTATAAATATATTAATAGCTCTAAGGTCTTTACTTTTCTAGGTCTTTAAGAGCTATTTCTTAAGATATTTATAATTAGTAGAGTTACTTATAATTAATATATTATTAATAAAGACTAATATATATACTTTATTCTTAAAGATAAAGAGATTAGAGTTAGCTTTTAATACTTCTAGACTTAGCTTTTCTATTTTATCTTTAATAAAGAGCTACTATTTCTTAGGTACTTATTTTAAGCTATAAAAAGAGTATAAGAGCTTTAGATATATATCTTTCCTTTTATTTAACTTTAAGTAAAGCTTATTCTATATCTCTAGTATCTTATTATTCGAAATTATTATATATATATCTTCTTTTAAGTATATATTTAAGAAAGTAGTATTAATATTAATATACTTAATCTCTAGGTCTCTTTTAGTTATAATAGTAAGTAGTACTTATAAGGTAGAATAGTATATAATATTTATAAAAGTATTAAAGTAGTTAAAGCTATATTTTTACTTAAAGCCTCTTATTATAAGCTTAGCTTTTCGCTATACTATAGAGCTATTAGAGTTAATTTTATTATATAGAACTAGTCTTAAAGATATTAGTTTTAAGTCGGAGGGAGGCTTATTAAAGTATACTCTATAGGTTCTAGCGCTTTATATAGCTTATAATTCCTTAAGAATAGTAGCCTTTTATTTTACTAGATTCTTCCTTAGAGCTTCTATAATAGTTATAACCTTAAGAAGTTATATAAGTTCTTCTTTAAGTGTAATTAGCGCTATTTAATAGGTTAGTACTTTATTAAGGATTTACTAAGAGTATAGCTTTATAGCTATTACTTAAGTAGCTTACTCGAAGTATTATTTTCTACGCTATTTCTTATTATATCTTAATAGTAGAATATTATTAGATATATTTACTAGTTAAGTCTATTTAAGAAGATATTAATTAGATACTCCTTTAGTATCTTCTATTATATTTTCTATAATTAACTTTCCCTTTAAAGGATTTTTAGCTTTTATAGCTAGCTTTTCTCTTAGAGATCTTTTAGCTTCTATAGCTAGCTTTATTCCTAGAGGTCTTTCTAAGCTTTTAGTACTCTTAGCTAATCTCTTAGTAAGTACTAGATTAGTAGTTAGTAGTAGAGGTCTTTCTATTACTTTATTACTATCTTTTAGTATAGTTTACTTACTACTAGTATATATAAAGTATATTATATACTTATTAAAGTTATAATTAGCTATTTCTAGTTCCTTAAAGGTCTCTATATTTAGAAGCTTATAAATTAAGGTATTAGCTATACTTACTAATATAAAATACCTCGGAATCGTCTTTTACTTTATTTTACTTTAATATAACTCTAGTAGATATAAAAGGTATACTATAAAGCTAAATACTCTTATTTTTAAGAGGTCTATAAGCTATCTTCTATACGCTTTAATTAGAGTAAGTCTAATAACTGTTTTATATAGTAAAGTAGTAATTAAGTATCTATTCTTTAGCTTAGCTGCTTACTTAATAGCGTAATACTATATATTCTTAGGTATCTTCGTGTTATAGAGGATTAAGCGTGTAATCTTAGCTAGTTTATATATTTATTACTCTACGACTTTATTTAAAGAGTATTTATATAGAGAGAAGAGTTTAAGAATAATTCTACTCTTTTATAGCTAGTTAATAAACTTAGGACTAAACTCTCCCTTACTATTATTAGTCCTTTAGTAGATAATTATATAGAATTTACTTTACTCTTAAGTTTTAAGCTATAACTTTAATTTCCGAATAACTAATTAAATAGTTAATATAGACTTATTAACTAAGAGATCTACTTAATATATCCTTATAATATTATCTACTACTAAAAGGAAGTATTTATAGCTACGAATTAAGTATAGTAAGATACTAGAGATATTAGCGTATAGTTAATAAATAAGTATATTAGTTCTACTATCTAACTTCTTATTAAAATACTTTTTTATATAGCTTATAAAGTAAGCCTTATAATACTTCTCTCTCTTTAGCTCTGAAATAGAAATCAGTCTTATTTTATAACTACTATAAGTAACTAGTTTCTTTAAATAAGCGTAATTTATATAGCTTAAACACTTATAAAGTAGATCTACCTTTATTTCTTTTATACTAAGCTAACTCTCTATTTATTCCTTTAGTAGCTTTAAGTCTAATAGAATTATATTATATATAACTTAATATTAAGGATTTATATCTAAAATATATAAACCTCTGTTTCTTATACTTATAAAAGCTAGTTTACTATTCTAATATCTATTTACTAATATCTTAGTTAGTTCCGTATTAATTCCTTTATCTAAGAGTTAATATATTAATACTAGCTTTATAGCTCCGAAGTTAAGTATATATTATATATCTTTAAGAGTTAACTTATTAATAGTAATATCTTTATAACTTTTAGTTATTAAGTATAAATTAGTCGCTATTTTAATATATTTAATATTATACTAGCGCTTAAGTTACTTAAACTTAGCTAGAACTCTACTAAAGTAGTAAATAGTACTAGAGTTAATTTTCTAGATAAATTCTATAATAGAGATTATTAATAAAATATATTCTATATCTTTAGTATAGTAACTCTTTTTTAAAAGAAATATAAGATAAGTATTATTATTTTTAATTTCCTCTACTTTATTAGCGCTATCTCTTATATAAGTATTCTTAGCTTCTATATAATCTATATACTAGTAGCTATAGCTTTTATACTAAGTATACTAATTTCAGCTTAATTTAAAGCGATTTCCTCTCTTTTCTATATACTTTTTATATTTCTATTAGTTATTACTTTTACTATTATTATTCTATCTTTCTTATTTTCTTCTATTCTTATATATATTATCTCTCTTATATAAGTAGCTTCTACTTCTTTAGCTTCTACTATCTCTACTACCTCTTCTTCTATTATAGCCTCTATTTATATAGTTCGTAATATTACTAGTAGCTATAAGTTAAAGCTATTCTCTCTATTAAATTTAATATTTATTAAACTTTTATATAATATCTCTAAGATCTAAGTCTTATAATTCTAAAGTAAGTACTATAGTAATCTAAGCTCTAAATACTAGTAATAACTATAATAGCTTAAGATATATATCTTTATTAGTAAAAGGTTTACTATTACTACTAAGCTTTACTTTAAAGAGTAAGAGCTTTATAATATAGTTCTAAAGTATTTCCTCTCTTAGAATAAACTTTATCTTAAAGAAATTATCTCTTATATTAGTAAAAGTAAGACTCCTTTAAACTACTTTACTTTTATTAGTATAAATAGCTTCTTAGAGAAGCTTAGCGTTATTTAATTTAATAATATCTTTATACTTAGGAAAGAGAAGCTTAGAGATTAAGTTAATAACTATTTTAAAAGCTTTCTTCTTTTCCTTAGTATAAGTATTCTACTAATTAATACTATTTAATACGCTAACTATAGTAAGAATATAATAAAGAACTCTAGCTTTAGCTAGTTCTTATTTAGTCTTAAGCTCTTATTTAAAGAAGTTATTAAACTCTAGTAGAGTTTTACCTTTTAAGACTCTAGTAATAATAGGAATTAGTACTTTTAATTAAGATAATATTATAGTATAATAGTAGATATACTAAGAGTTAATAAAGTAGAGATCTTAATAAAAAATAAAGTTTTAAAGTCTTTTATAATTAATTCGAATTACTACTATATTAGAATTATAGTTATATAAAGAGCTACTATAAAGAGAGAGAATCTCTTATATAAAGGGGTAGCGTACTTAGTAGTATAGCTTATAGTACTAAGTCTACGCCTATAATCCCCATATTTCTAATAGCCTTAGCCACTTGACCCCACTTGCAGCATCCGCCACGCTTACTGGACTGTATCGGCCCGCCCCCACAGCGGGAGAGCAAACCGTACCTACCTAGGGGAATTTCAATGAGAGCTCGGAGAGCTACCCGAGCTACCTACGGTTCAAAATTTAGCGCTACCTGCAAATCCCCGTAAGGGCGTAAGGGAAAGACTAGGTATTGGAGTCTCGAAGAGAAAATGCGGGCACTAAAAGCAAGGCACGTGCTCGTGTGCGCGTGAAAAGACAGAGAGTCAAATCAGGGCGCCCGAAATCAGTGGCGTCCCTGGCGCATGAATTAATGGAGAACAGGGATACATCAGTACCAGAATACGCTGTGATGGCTGACTTCCGAATGATCGATCACCTTCGTCGCGCTTTGAGTGGTGAACAAGAGCTACCTTCCATCGTTCCTGCGAACTTCCATTGCTGCTTGGCGCTCTGCAGGCAGGCTTGCTGTGAAACACCAGAGCGCTTGATGCTGTTCTAGATTTCATGAGCCCGTGAAGTATCGAATATTTTAAGGAGCACCGATGTCAATTTTACCACTCCAAAGCCTGTCGATACTGTAGGTCGAACAGAACTTCAAATGCCAGGTGATTGTTCAGCAAGCCGCTGCGGTCGATTGTTCCATGTGTATGCACGAACCTGGCCACTGAGTACATGACAAAGATTAGGCAGCCGCCAGACTGTCACTCTATTTAAAGCATGAAACATGAATTCTGCAGGCTCAGCACGACCGAGCCATCATGGTAGGTGTGATGTTTACAAACATACAGGCGAGAGCATGTTCACTGGTCATAAACACCCCCTCCTCTCGAATATGGCCTGGGGCTGTACAGACCGCCACGCCTTTCTCTCATTAATCACTGCGCTTGCGGTCGCATAATATCTTCCTCATTAGGCCGTGGAGAATGACCCTTACGGCCAAGAGTGTTGCGATGTGTGGGCGATTATCCCAAGCGCTTTTAATTTCCAACAAACCAAGTTTGCCAAGGGAGAGACTTGGAGTTTCCGCCATCTTTATAAGAAAACATCTTCCATTCTTTGTTTCAAATCCCAACTCATTAAGAAAATCACTTGTATACATTGTTGAACTGTCATTCTTCCCGAAGTAAGTGCATTCAGAATCTGCGATTTGGTTGAGACACTAACTAGTATACAGACTTCCTAGCACAGCGGCACGGCACAGGAAAAAACAAAGAACTAAGCAGGTAAAGAAATCTCTACCGTAAAGCCACCTTAGACCTCTATTCTTTGTTTTGATAATAACTTATAAAAGCAAAATGTGTCACTGTACATTCATAAGATACAGCCAATGCCTGCATACGGTCTTTGCAGGGATGGCTGTGTGCGCGGCGCCATGCAACGCGAAGGGGACGAATTGTCCCCATTATACCACAAGCACTTCAGACGTCGCCGGTGAATGTCCTGAGTGCGTGTATGGAACACCTTCTCCATCAGTTTAAGACTTCCATTCCATTCCATTCAGGTTGTCTTTGGTGGGGCAAAAGGAGTGGGGCAGAGGAAAGGCCGGGGGTGGGCATAGCGTCTGTCTCCGTGTGGAGAAAAGACTTGGCAACGCTAAGCAAGGGCTGAATCAAAGGCTATTTAATCCACGAAACAACTTGATCTTGTCTTCATTCACTTTCACCCTAACAAGATTCACTTCACTTATTCACTAACACACCAACACCAATGATAAATCGCACAAATGGCAACACGTATCTTTGTTCAGTGTAAAACTGACAAAATGCCTGGATCAGATGTTGAGCAGATCCCACTTATGGCAAATGCTGCATGTCGAAAAGTTTGGAATCGGGACTTTAATGAGAATCTTCCTGACAACGATCGACTCAGTAGTTTTGGTGGATGGATGAACCCTAGGTGTTTTCTACTGATTGATAACGGTCCTGTGGATATGCCATATACTCTTGTAAAACTTCGCTGGGATGGACAGAAGCTGTTTGTATTGAATTCCCTTCTTTTTATGCTTTTACTAAACTTTCTATAGGGCGGATGACTTAGGGCCGTTACACTCGTATATTCAGAAAGAGTTTGAGACAAGATATCAGTTCAACCCCGCTGATCGACCAAAAGCAGTAGGTTATATCTCATCAAATCAAGTTGGCGAATTCACTAATTAATATAGAATGGACTTAACGATGAACAGTTGAAAGAATTTCTTGGACCAGAAGAATTCGACAAGGTCATAAAATCCAGAAGTGAGATGATTGCAAGGCACCAGGCGAAGATATGCAAGCAGACCTAAATTAGTCAGTCAAAGATAATACCTTGGATAGAGCTACTGGGACAGAAGTAAAACTGAAGGTACTTTTGCGATATCCATATCGCAAGCAAGACAACGACTACCTCCTTCTACTCCTTCGTTGCAGCCACGAGGTAATACTTGCACCAAGATAGTAAGGTCCCATCTCCAAACATATCATGTAGTCACCAGCAAGGCGAAAAAAAAAAAAACAAGTAGTAAGATCAAGACGGTGACTTGATGCTTTATCTCTGAAATGGAAAATAGCCTACTTAGTAGCGATACACTTTTTACTTATACTTAAGGACTCTTACGATCTTCTTCCTCTTTTTATACTACAGGACAGCTCAGGACAAACTGAACAACACCATGTATCAATAGAAGAGGCGCGATATCTACGACTATCCTCACACTGTTATCACACTGCCCCCCCCCCCCCCCCCCCCCCCCCCCCCATCTTCCACTTTCCAGCCTCCGTCTGCCCAACACATTCTCGCAGGGATCAGCCAGTAGAATATTTTCCATAGGGCCACCATACATGAGAAGACCCTCTATGCTCAAGATCATAGCGGATTTCTCAGTGCTTGCTGCAACATATATCAAAGTATAGCAGTGGGTTGGTCTAGGTATGGTGCTATTTCATACTCGCTCCCTTCCCTTGGGTCCCCTGCGGAGCCTCGTGGTGCTAACGATCCAGGAGGCCGAGACCCAAATAATTTCAAGATGCTTCCTCTGCTCAGTGCAACACTCGAGGAAATTGCCGATGGTCTCGATCAGGAAGCCTTTACCTCGACGCAACTGGTTCAAACACATAAGGCGAGGATAGATGAAGTGAATGATTTCTTTCGCTCTGTGATTGAGCTGAACCCAGCGGCCGAACTGCGGCAACTGCCCTGGATGCGGAGAGACGAAAACAGGGGGCATTCCTACTCAAAGATAATATCTTTACCTTAGACGATACTAAAGCGACTTATAGATCCACAGTACTTCGCGGATCGAAACTTGGATCCGAGGCGGGTGTCGTCAAACTACTTCGGGATGCTAGCTGGGGCGGTGATTTTGGGGAAAGCTAACCTCTCCGAATTCGTAGGCTTCCGACACACAAATGCCAGTACTGGCTGGAGAGCTCGTGGACGACAAGCCCCAGAAAGGAAGTCCGAGGCTTCGCCAAGATATATCTCGGCTCTTAGAGTCTTGCTCATGCGGCAAATTAAAGGGTGAGTTTGTCTACCCGCCAGCTACGGCCTTGCGACCTAATCGCATCAAGCGTCGTCAAACCCCAGAGACCGAAACTGTTTGCTGACTTCCTCATGGAGAGAGGAAATCCTGAGCAAAATTTCGGTAATTAAACTCCTCGTAAAGATCAAGTTCGGTCGCTTTTCAACGGGTGCCGATGTTTCAAGTCTCCACTCCTTCGATAGCCAGTGGGAGCCGTAGCCATTCTATCCAGCCCATTGTTAGTGAAAAAGAACCAAGAATTGGAGAAATGAAGGTCTCAAATGTAAGATGAATGCGAATTGGGAATGTCACGGTCACTTCCTTGGCAGCGATTGATTTCAATGAGATTCGACATTGCCCCGTCCGAACACCAGGGTGGCAATCATCCTCTGACGCTGGATATCGGGCAGGTAGGTTTGGGATGACCCCTTTCTCTGAAGGTTGCCGGTCTGAAAAGTAATAACATGTAATGCCGAGGAGGAGTGGTGTTCTTGCAGGCATGATGTCAAAGTATAGTACTTGGTCTAACCCAGCCTGTTCATTGAAACACACTCGTTCGTCGTTGAAAATTGCTCTGCGGTGTGGCCCACCAGACATCTTTACTTCCACTCAGCTTCCAGTATCAATTCAGGATGTAAAAGTGACAGGCTACAAAAGTTGCATGATAATTGACTCGCATAGATACTTATGTACTCTCTGAATCTTCTGGTAATGGTAGCTCATCTAATTCGTGCAATCACAATACGTAGCCATCCTGGTAATATTGCACTTTGCGCAACACTTCCTGAATAGCCCATACATGCCTCTCAATTTTCGCTGCAGAGACCTTTGGATCAAACTCTCCAAATGGATCAAAGCTCAGATTCTCATTCTCCATAATGTCCACCTTGATGCGAGAAAAGAGGGCGTTAGAGGAAGGTTCTTGATCTAGATAGATAAGATACTTCCCTACGGGGGTTTTTTTACAGACACTATCTGCACTTCCTACAGATATTATCTGTAAACAGGTATTTTAGACGGATTTTCTATCTGCATTTTAGTTAATTATCTGTATTTTTCTTAGCTAGAAACTCTAATTTTAATCGATTTTTGAAAATTTAGAGTAAAAATACAGATATTATCTGTAATTTAATGGAAATACAGCTATTATCTGTATTTTAAGAGTTTTCTGACTAATAAAGTTAAATATCCCCTCTCTTATTCCCCCCCCCCTTTCTTTCCCTTCCCTTTTCCTACTCTCTCCTTTAAAGGTAGGTCTCCCTCCAAGGTAGGTCTCCCTCCCTCCCCTCCCAAGGTAGGTCTCCCTCCCTCCCAAGGTAGGTCTCCCTTCCGAGTGTTCCGGAGGTAGGTAGTAAAAGGTCTGTGTTTAACTTTATATTAAAACATGAAAAGTTCGAGGTACCTAAACTCTCGTACCTTAACACATGCTAATTTGTCTATATTTTTTTAATGAAATTGTAGCAGATATTATCTGAATTTTATCTGTATTTTACTACGTTTTACTACTACTAGGAATACAGATAAAATACAGATAATTTACAGACGTTATCTGCATGAAAAACCCCGTAGGGCTTCTTACCACACCAACATGAAGTTCTCCTAGCGTCGTCTTTTGCGTCTTCAGCTTCGTTTCGACGTTTCAGATCTTCGAAGTAGTAAGAGGATTCACTCTGCTTTGCAACCATGCTGAGACGACTTCCAGGCGAGATTTGGCTAATTTCACATTTCGATTCAAAGAAGTCCAATTTAGTATCAGGCTTCACAGAGCTATGTCAAAAATTTGTGGACATTTAAATCCATGATTGCCAGCAAAACTGGTTCACTACGTCTCAGACGTTCGAGTCTTGCAAGTGTGCAGTGACGGACTGTTGACACAGAGCTGCACCCAACAATAAAGTTTCTCCGAAAATCTTTTGGGTTGTTGGCTGACACTAAAGGGCCTGGCGATTGAGAAGTGGTGTGGTAATGCTAGCCAAGTGTAGTACCCACTTCCGAGTTATCAGAGAGTGTACCAGTCATTAAGCCCGCAGAAACCTATCTTCCACTCTCATTGCATGCCTGACTTGGTCTGTGTCTATAACGATGCTCAGTCTGCTACCAAAACGAAAAGTGGAGGGGAAGGACCATGTGATTTTGGAAAATCGAGTGATGTTGGCGGCTATCCGCTTTCTGCTTGAAAGGCAGAGGAGCTATACAAGCAGACGGAAACCAATTGTGATGACTTTGAAAGAATCAAAGAATGCTTTTATAATATTACTATGGATCAACTTGGCGAAGCAGGATATAATAAAATGCTCTAGATATTAACGAATCATAGGTTGGTGGCTGTCGCTGATGAGCAGTAGGCATTTGCAAAGGCAATCACGGTACCAGCAACAGTAATACCGCACGCTACATTGAACAATCTCCAATTCTATATCCAAAATCGACGTTACTACATAAGTAGTGGAAGCCCGACTGTTTGCAGCCGAGAGAAGAATATCGAGCGAGCATGTTGTTGAAGCAAACATGCCACAAGATGGCAACGCAGATTGACCTGGGATAACAGTGGAAGTAGTAGTAGTAGGTATATGGGTAGCCGTCACTAAGGAACAAAGGCCTTACGAAAGCGACTACTGTGCTAGCAACAGTTATATCGCGGGCTCCGTTCGAGCAAACACGAAGTCCACATCTGAAGTTTGGGTTACTGCAGAAATAGTAGAAATCCAAAGGAGGATACCCCAGTTCCAAGTACTGCGCCAGCATATTCTTGAAACAGGTATTGTCACAAGTAGGTAGACTAGGTTGCCCGACGTTCGTAACCGGGTGGACCAACCGAGCTTACAGGGTGAGGTCCATGCTACATGAAATAATCCTCAAATTGCCAACCTCACTCACCAGTTGCATCGCTCTACGAAAATACGAAAACAGTCTTGTATGTTAAAGATATGAAGTGAAGGTAACTAAGATTTTATTAGAATTTACAACCAAGGTAAAAAGAAGGCAAAGGAGATAAAAGGTACTATACAAGAGGTTAGAAGAGGTAATCTCGCCTAGCTTAGGTTACACCTTCCTAATTAGGAATAAATAACTGAGCTATCCGAGCCAGCTGGTTGCCCTTGAATCCTGAATCGTCACATACAGCCTGTCTCGCTGGAGTGAAGAACCTCGACTTCTCGGTGATTCGACTCACTTCCCTAGTAGTATAACTCTACAGCGGAACTTTACAATTCATCTCAGTTAGTTTCTATTATTTAATATCAAGTATTAGACAGTTCATCTAGCTAGATACAGTCTATTTTACCAGTAGTATAAAGCACGAACTTATGTCCCCCACTTCGTAAGAAGCTTATGGGAAGAAGCAGCTGTCAACATAATTACTGCATCTTGCATCCTGGACCTATCACTCATCAATTGGTCCTACTCCGCTCCGGAAACTCGTGTCCTCTAGGCTGCTCTCAAGGGCCTTCATCTCGTCTTCGAGTTCCTGGGGTAAACAGTTATGCTTCGCCGTCTCGAAGTCCACCAATAACACGTCATGCCCATCCCGTACAAGAAAGTTGTGTTTGTTGATATCCCCGAACTTGATTCCAAGCTCATGCAATCGCCCCAAAGCCTTCTTACAGCTGTCGATGTCTCCTGACCCCGCAGCCCTCGCGCCTTGTACCCACTCAACGACGAAGCCAACCACCCGCCCGTCCTTACCTTCGGTGAGATGGCCGAGAAATTTGGGGCCGATGCCGCTGTCATTGATACGTTGATAGGCAGTCGTCTCAACCTCGATATAGGGGATTTCCCAAGGCCAAACGGCTATTTTGACAAGTACGGGTTCGCCGTCGTTAAGTTTGGGATGCGTTGAAATGTGGACTCGTTGCTTTATTCGGCTTTGACGTGTAAAATCCAACTCATTCAGCTTCACCGGATGCCAGAGGTTCTCTACCTCGGTAAGGTCTATCGTCTCGGTCTTGACGAATGTAATTTCCCCTGCTTTAGGGTCCTTGGCCACATAGCCTTTGTTCCAATTCCCGATTGGAAAGGGTGGAAGGAGCTTGCCAAGTAGAATAGGCTCAAAGGTACGATCATCTTCTGCCCCACGAAATGTTCCTGGCGCTGTGGTCACGTATTTGACGTCTCGCATGTCTAAAAGAAAGCGGTAATCGCTGTTGTCGGTATCATCCTCGTCAACGAGACACGCGAGGAGCCGAACGTTGGTATTTTTTGGTTTGGGAACGGCCATGGCAGAAAGTGGCGCTGAGATGTAGATAACAGGAGAGTGAGATGATGGGCAAAAGAGGGCTCGGTATACCAACAACAACTGTGTAGCTTTCAGGTATGATCAGTCGGAAGCTGTCTGGTAATGGAACCGAAAGATTCGCCGGGGTCCTGGAGTGGAAGGAGAGGAAGGCGAGACAATGAAGAAGTGTGCATGTACGAGCTACGACGCGGCCGAAGCACAGCACCTCATAGTGATAGAGCTAACCAGTAAGCTTCTTGATGCAAGTTTCCTAAGATTCCCACAACCAGATCCAGCTCACATAGCGGCTAGCAAGAGCGTCAAACGTCGCAAGCTCGGGGCCGAGCTAATAATAGCTCGCCGGGGGCGCTTACATTGGTGTACAAGTGCCGGTATGAGGAGAACATGCAAGAAAATAAGCGGAATCACAGCTTCCAGTTAGCCGCGCGTTACGTCGTTCAGGATAGGAGGCCAGTAGATATATAAGTATCGGGAAGATCGCGAATATCTTGAACAAGAGCATTAAACCAGCAAGGAACAACTACCCTCGAAAGCAAGGAATGCCCAGACAACATACCCTATCTATACATGTTGTATTGCAGCCCCTGCCCCTGCCCCCGCTACTTAGTTTCTCCGTCTCCGATTATCAAGATAAGTTAAAAGTCCTCTCCTTACGGACCTCCGTATGCTAAAATCTGCGAGATATGTATCCCTGTACATGCAGAGTCGTGGTACAGACAGCACACCAAATCTGGTGCGGGAAGTGCGGGTACGGACCGCACTATGTTTTTCTTTTAGTCGACTCTTGCTTCCACGAAATATGTAGCCGGACGAGAACTAAATGGCACCAGCTCTAGAGAACTCATTCTCCTTGGCAAACAATCGAAATTGGGGGTTGTTCACTAACAGTGCAAGGGCGGTGGTTGGTTCATCGGATAAGCTTGCACGAGAACCTATTGGCAGATCACTGATCGAAGAGGGATCGCTAGTCCTGGAATAAATTAGCTTAATCTATAGGTCTTGATGCAAGGTATAAATTTCGAGCTTTACACGGATAGTCGACAACAGCCGCTTGGGAGGCGACACGTTTATTGTGAAGTTAATGCGTTACACACGAAACGTGCACAGTGTGACGCGCTTTCTACTCTTTTTTCTTTTCTATAACAAGAAGTTTCTATCAACCCGATTCTGCCCAATATGCCGCGTGCTTAGTTGAGCCATACTCCCTAACTCTTGGCCCAAACTCCCCCAGCCTGCGCTCTTCATTGGCGTCAATAACGTCCTGGTCCAAAATGCTCTCCCATCTAAAGTACATATCATCCTCACTGAAACATTAAATGGTTGACCCCATAGGGTCTCCAGTGCGCGTCTCTTCGAACAAAAAGCCAAGATCGCGCATCCTCTCGTCTTCCCAGATGTAGAAACCGAACTTCCGCCACTGACTCCAACTCATGTACCGTAATGGCGTGTTAGGCCGGTGAGCCATCTCTATCTCCGAAGCCATGGTTTTCTCGGCCTCGTTGTCTTGATCGAGGGCGTATGGGCAAAGAATTGATGGGATCGGCCACGAGTTGCGAGTGAGAAACGGTCTCGATGACACTGGCTCTTGAGAACGAGTATTCAAGGATGTTATCGGGTCAAAGATGGTAATACCATTTTGACCGTTCCTTGATACGAGATAATCCTAGATAATAGACAAGATGTTAGCATTTGGTTATGTATATTCTTGCCGAAGAATTGGTTTTGCTCATGTTCGAGAATGAAGAATTGAGCTCCAGGTGGTGAAGCTCTTGTGTCGTGCTTAGCTAGTGACAGTCGACAGAAGTTGGAGAGGAGAAAGTTGAAACCTTAGAAGAACTTGTACATACAACTACAGTCCCGAGCTGCTGCATCACCCGATGGTTGAAGTTCTCAAGACTCCAAAACGAGGAGACGTCTAGACTCTCGAGGCGAGCCAGATCCTCCACAGGCCAACGGAGAAGCTTGCTTTTCTTGAGCTTCTTTACATCTAAGAAGAGCTGTATGCGCCAGAGCTGTCTATTGGTTCGTTGCTGTTCGAGCCACGAGAATGAGGAACCTGAGTGATTCACGGGTGTGAACGACTTCCCTATTGGTCTCCGCTGAGGGGACCAGTTGAATCCCTCCCTCCCACTATACCGGAATTTCTGATCGACGAGTTGAGATGGTTTCGAGGCTATACAGAGGTCCATAGAGGATAGTAGCAGCTCATTTGTTAAATTATAAAATTGGTACGCAGTCGCCACAATGCCACGTAGGATGACAGACGATGTCTCTTTAGAGATTGCTAGTGGTGGAAAGGCCTCCCTGCAAGCTTCACATGCCTCCAGACGGTCGCTTAAGCTAGGATGAATCCTCCTGATACACCTGGTATAATCAGGGCCATTGACGTAGTTCTGACAGTAACCATCACGTCGCAGAAACGTAGCTGTAAAGTCTTCCAGGGATCGCGAAGGAATCACTTTGGATCGAATAAGGATAACAGTACGGATCAAGCTTTGAATCTGCGCCGGTAGACTGTGAGATATAATGCTTTCTGTGATCTCGGCGCCATACTTATCAAATAGTGCACAGACAGACGGCGAGACTTTGTTAAGATTGCAGAGGGACGGCAAGTCGGGAACACTGTTGAGAATCAACAAAAGCACCTCGGTAGGAACTTTCGAAAAGTAAGGGTCCTCTGGATTCATTGACATCTCGAGAACGGCAGCTGGCATGTATCGCACGTTTCTTTCGTAACTGCTAAGTCTGCTGGTAATGGAGTCGACTGTCTTCGTGGCAACAAAGAGGAAAGTAGAACAGGTCCTGTCGTAACAGAGAGCGGAGTAGTACCATGCTCGGCACCCACTCGGCGTCGACTGTAGCTTTTATCAGATCAGATCAGATCAGAGCGAAGCTGCAAAGAAGAGTTTTGGCTTGTCACACCTGCACGTGTACAGCTAGCTGCATATGCAGGCTTTCAGGTTCCACAATGCACCATTCTCCGTTCCTGCCCGGCGCGGGCATTGCCGCCAGCCGAGCTTCGGCTCGACAAGCCTCTACTGTAGCCGCACCATCTCCTCAAACTACACCTCACCTCCGATCCATCAAAGACATAGGTAACCATGTCGGGAGTATCAGCATTGATTCGGGGCCTGAACCAAAAGATTCGATCGAACAGGACGACAGACTATCTCTGTTCTACGCGTACGTTTCTCCGTCGACGAGGATCGATTGGTTGAGTGCGCGCGATCCCTGTGTGACCTGCTCTTCGAAGTGAACGTCAATTGCTGACCCGACTCGCTCTCAACACAGATTTCTGGGGTCCAGCATCCAACTTCGGGATTCCAATTGCCGCAATTCTTGACACGAATAAGAGTCCGGATCTGTGAGAATATTCTACTGATTGAATTGAATTTCGCATACTCGACACTGACAAAGCATTCAGTATTTCCGGTCAGATGACTGGCGCCCTCACTATCTACGCTTTCACTTTCATGCGGTACTCTCTAGCCGTGATCCCGAAGAATTACCTTCTCTTCGCGTGCCATTTCCTGAATGCTGGCGCGCAGCTGACGCAAGGATATCGATGGACGATGTACCATTATGGTGCGGGTGCTGATGGCAAGGCAGGGAAGATTGCTTCAGTTTGAGAATTTTAGATCGTTCTGGGCATTTTTTCTCTTTTTCTCCCCTCGCAGGTAGATGATCGCAGGCGACTAGAGCTTGCTTTGGTGCCTAATCAATCATGATTTTTCACGCTGGACAGTTAAATGGATTTGTTTTTTCCCCCTTGGCATCTAAAACTTAACGGATGTCCTCGAGCCATTGTTTGTTGCCCGGAGGATATAGAGTACTGTTTCATCTATATCTTTCTAGCTGTCTCGTTCCACAAACTCAACCATGATATCCTCCGTGAGGAATGTCGTGAACCGCTCCACGATACCGATATTCTTAGTCTTCGTGGTCATGTGAAAGGTTCAAAAGAGATAGTAAGTGCTATAGTTATTTCCGCCTCTGCCAGACTAGATAGTGTTATAACATAGAGATATTTAGAGTATATAATAATTCTATTACTTTTAGAGAATTTCTAGCTTTATATAACTACGTTCTATTTTCTAATTTAATATAGTATTAAGCTAGCTTTTATTACTTTTAAACTAAAAGGTTCTAAAGGCTCTAGCTTATGAAACTAGTAGTTTTTTAAAATAAAAATAAAACCTTATAACTTCTAAAACATTAGAATTTATCTTATAACTAAAATACTAGAATTTACTTTATAGCTTTTAATATACCTAAAGTTATATATTCTAAAAACAAAGTATAATATCTAAATCTAATAGCATTTTATAATATATATATTAAGTTTTTATTCTAAATTTAAAGCTAATATAAATTATAATTATTTATTATTATCTAATTCTTTTATAAAGCTATTAGCTAATTAGATAGTAGTATTTATATATAATAATACTCTATATAATAGTATTAAAGGCTCTTTAAGTAATTAAATTAATTATTATTTATTTTAAAATTATATATAAAGAAAATAAAAGAAGTACTCTCTTAGGCGGTATAAAGCTATAAAATCTAATTAGGTATAAATTAAAAGCAGATAGTTATTCTTATATTATATACTTCTAAGGTAAATAATAATAGAAGTACTACTTATTATAGTTAGCTATATTAAGTAAAAATAAATAATTAAACTAACTTATATAAGCGTAAATTAAGTAAATAATCTAAGTAATATAAAGCTATATCTTACTATCTTTATAAACCTTAAGCTTATAATAAATTTATAATCTTTAATCTACTCTTACTAATTAAAATTCTTTAAATAATAATAATAATAATAATAATAATAATAATAATAATAATAATAATAATAATAATAATAATAATAATAATAATAATAATAATAATAATAATAATAATAATAATAATAATAATAATAATAATAATAATAATAATAATAATAATAATAATAATAATAATAATAATAATAATAATAATAATAATAATAATAATAATAATAATAATAATAATAATAATAATAATCTTTAAGTAAACTAGTTGTACTAGTTATATTACTTATAAGTCTATAAGTTATAACCTTTAATCTGCTTTAATAGCTTAATATAATAATTAAGACCTATTTTAACTTATAACATAAGCTTATTTAATATACCTATAATTAAGTCTTTATAATTTACTTTAAAAAATCTAAGATATTTAGCTTATTTTATATTAAATAGTACTAATTAAATATATTTAAAAATATAATTAAGTTTATATTAAATTGTTTAACTTATAATTATATAAACTATTATTAAAATTAAATACTATAGTACTTTTATCTTTTATTAATCTTTAATTATTTATAATAATACTAAACTATAAACTTTAAAAGTATATTAAAAGATAAGTATAAGTATAATTTTATACTTATTATAATAAATTAATTCTTTAAAAAAATAATATTAATCTTATACTTCTTATATATATAACTTATAACTTAATATAATTATTTATTTTTAATTATTAGAAGTTTAATAAACATTTAAAGATATATTTTTAATTAAAGGTTTATAATTATAATTTTTTAAAATAATAAGTTTTATTATATATTATACTTAAATAAATAATTAAATAAAAATTATAAACTAATACTTGAACTAATACCTTTAACTTTTTATTAGTTATTATTAAGATAATTAATCTAAGCTTTTATTAATAATAGATTATACTTAATTAAGTCTATTATATTAGTTATTAAAAATATCCTTATATTAGCTAAAATATAAGTATAAACTATAAACAAACTAAGAATAAAATAAACTATAGCTAAAAACTATATAAACTATTACTAAAAAGCTAAATATTATAAATACTTAGTTATTTCCTTATAAATATAAGTAAGTCTAAAAAAGCTTAAAAGTTTATTTATAACTAATAAAAGAAAAAGGAATAAAATTAAAATAATTTATACTAAAAACTTAATTAAAAAGTAAGTGATTTTATTTAAGTTATTATAAAACACTAAAAATATATTACTTAAAGAAGAAGCTAGATAATTAGTAAATAAGCTTATTTAAAGTCCTTATAAAAAAAGCTACTTATTCTACTTAGATCTTCTTACTTTTATTAAGGTCTATTTAGTATTCTTAGTAAATAAGCTTTAGTAGTATAATTATAATCTACTCTTTAAATAAGTATTATAAGAGTAAGAACTTATTTAAGTGAATATAAAATAAAAGTAAGAAGTTTAAGATATTTTAAGTATATACTTTAAATAGAATAAAATATTATAATATTAAGTTAATTAAAAGGAATTTAACTTTAACTTAGAGTTTTATCTTAGTAGAGACTTTATAACTTACTTATATAAGCTTAAAGACTTTTATTAAGCTTACTTTATAAAACTAAAGCTACTTAAGCTACTTCTTTAATAACTAATTATATAAGAAATAAATAATAATAATACGTTTAATAGTTTTATAAATAATATAGTGATATCTTAAGTAAACTAAGGGAAATTTTTTGTAGCTTAAAAATAAGCCTTTTTTAGAAGAGAGAGGTAATATAATAAACTAATTATAATTAACTAGTTATATAAATAAGATTAATATTATAAAGTTATAAGGCTAGAGTTATATTATAAAGTTATAAGGATAGAGTTATATAATAAACTTAAAACTAACTTAGTTTAATTATAGCTATATTTATTTTACTTATTCTTAAAGCTTTTTAAAACTCTCTTTTTTATTATCTTTTTTACTTTATATTATTATTATTATTAAATCTTTATTATATTATTATAATAAGGTTAATTAAGTATAATATATTATTAATAAAAGCTTAGACTAATTATTTTAGTAATAACTAATAAAAAATTAAAGATATTAATTTAAGTACTAGTTTATAATTTTTATTTAATTATTTATTTAAATATAATATATAATTAAAGGTCTAATTTTAATATTAAAGATTTAATAAAACTTATTTAAAAATAAGATATAAATTATAGATTTTTAATTAATATTATAGTTTTTAATAATCTATTAAATCTTTAATAGTTAAAGATAAATAGCTATATTAACTTATAAATTATATATATAAAAGTATAAGATTAATATTACTTTTTTAAAGAATTAGTTTATTATAATAAGTATAAAGTTATATTTAAACTTATCTTTTAATATAATTTTAAAATCTATAATTAAGTATTATTATAAATAATTAAAAATAAGGAAAAACTAAAAATAACTTAATATTTTATTTTAATAATAGTTTATATAGTTATAAGTTAAATAATTTAATATAAACTTAGTTATATTTTTAAGTATATTTAACTAGTAATACTTAATATAAAATAAGCTAAATATCTTAGATTTTTTAAAGTAAATTATAAAGACTTAGTTATAAATATATTAAATAAGCTAAATATATAAATTATTTATATTTAAGACTTATAATTAATCTTTTAATATGATTAGGCTATCTTTTTAAAAAGTATATTATAAGTTAGGTTCTTTTAATTATTTTTATTAAACTATTAGAGCTTTATAAGTTTAATTAATATAAATAAGCGTTATAACTAAGCTAGTCTTATTATCTAGCCTAAACTTAACTAGAGCTAAGTAATATATATTTAAAAGCTTTTCTAGTTTATTTAAGATATCTAAAAGCTTTTCTAGTTTATTTAAGATATATAAGTCTAACTAGCTTAGATAAATTAAAGTCTAAGTATATAATTTCTCTTTTATTTTAATCTATCTATTAATATCTTATTCTTCTTATAATAGTATATTAGTTAGCTATTATATTTTAGTTTTTAAGATAATAGATAATAGTAAAGTAAAAGTCTACTAGAATCTTTAACTAATAGGCTTATTATTTTATTAGTTTCTTAGTAATTATAAAGTACTTTATATATATTATAGTTAAGTTTAGTAAGGTTTATAGTCTTAAATAAGAATATAACTAAGTATTAATTATTATTATATTTTTATAATAATATTTCTAAAATTATCTTATTAAAAGTATTAGTTTTAATTTATATTTTTTATGATATATTATAGTATTTAAAATAAGTAAAAGATAAAACAGTCTCTTTTAAGACTTAGAATATAATTAATTAGACTAGTATTATTTTTTAAATAGGCTATAGCTAAATCGCTATATAGAAATTACTATACTACTATATACTAAAATTCTAGTAACTTAATAAGTATTATCTATTAACCTTACCCTATTATATAATTTTATACTATAGGGTAAAGATTACTTATATTAAGAATAAATATATATACTTCTTAAATTACCTCTAGAACTAGAAATTAAAGTTATTCTAACTAGTAAAGAGATACTTTAATATAACTTAGTACTTACTAAGAGAGAACCTATATTTTATTAGTATATTAGCTAGATAGTATTAAAGATATTACTTTAATTGCTTACTACTATAATAATATAATAAGAAGTAATTAGTAGAGTTAAGATATATATAATATATAAAGTCTGATAGATTAGTACAAGTGCTTATTATATATTATATATAGTTGTTTATATAAATTTTAGTAGTAATAAATATATTCTTTATTTTAGGCTCGCTTAATTAGTATATAGTAGTATAGCGATTTCTATATAGCGATTTAGCTGTGGCCTTTAAATAAGACTAAGGTTTTAATAAGTTTTACTAGTAGTTTATTAACCTTATTATAATCTAAGATAAATTTCTAATAAAAGTTATAAAATCCTAAAAATAACTAATTATTTTAAATTATTTTAAAGATTTTTTAGTTATTTATATATATTATTACTTTGAAGTTAATTTTAATTCTTTTAATAGTAATATAAAAGTTAAAGAACTTGATCTTTTTAATATAAAACTTACTTTTTTAAATATTAGTAAAAAGTCTATATTATTACAAGTACTATAAAACCTTTTTAATATATTTTTTATATTTTAAAGGGTTATTTAAGTAAATAATAATATTATTTAAGTATATAATATAAAAATAATCTAAGTAATTAAAGATTATATTATTTATAT